ACTGATTTAACATAGACAACCCTTATTGTATTTGAGTATATAGACAGATTAATTTAGTAATATATCAATTAAATCATATTCCTAAGTCTTTTAAAATAAAAGTGTATCAAAATAAAGGGTTTTTAAATGCCTATTTTTATAAAGGTAGGTAGGCTACTGTAGTAACTTTGTACTATACTGTAGTTGTTATGGAAAGAATTCATTCCCGATCCAGGAATGATCACTCAAAATTTACACTGCATAAAAGACCGTAGTAGTTTGTAAGGTAAGTGTTGTGACAGTAATGGTTTTTATTGATTTGTTACAGAGACCGAGATTTTGGTGCCAAATCCTATTCAAGAACACCACCATAAAGAATACTACAGCCACCCTAAATGCCTGATGGCCCACTTTATGTAAACTGTAATTAATTTGAGTTTGAAGTAGTACAGATACAATTTTAATTTCTGTTCAGTGTGGTGTGGAATGCATAAGTATTATTTTATGTAAACGTTACCCTCGATTATTTTTATTTAGGCTAAATGTATTACTAACTGTCGGTAAAGTGTTTTGATTTCTTAACAGAAAATGGTGGTGGTGGTGGTGGTTGGAGTTTAAGACGTAGAAGACTTGGGCCTCGCAAAGTGGAATTGAATCATGACGATTTTGAGTCTACTACTTCACAACTTCTGAGGAAAACCCATGGCTGTGAATTATATTTGTTTGAAAGGACATGTGATTACTAAAACCAGTACCATAGTGAAAATGAACACCATTATAATCATAAGGTCCAGTTTCCTCAATTTTTATTAACCAGTACAAAATAAGAAAAAACAGGTGATTTAGACTAGTTGAAAAGATTGTGATTTTAGTTTTACTCTGAGAAATTTTAATTTAATTTTAATTTTGTGACTAAAGCTTGGGAAAGAAGCTGGTATTAATTTGAATGTAAAACTTCACGTAGCCAATTTTAAGGGAAAACTTGTTGAAATTATAGCAATGGTTCACACTCGTGTGGTTCGAGTTTTAATTCATAGCATGTACTGTAAATTTGTTTTATTAATATTGAGGGACTTAAAAAAATCTATTGTAAGTTTTGTTCTTAAACTGTTTAAAAATTGCAAGTGGAACTTTGATCTGTTTGGGATTAATCCATTCTTATACGTGATATTAATTAATTGTTCCTCTTTTAAAGTCAAATTACAGTAATGATATGCTTTATCCACATTTAAAGATTGCAACCTCAGGTTACTTGAAATACACTAAAGTTGATGTCACAGGCTAAAAGCATTGACTATTGGGTTGTATTAAAAGACAAAGCTAAAAGCTTGCTCAAGTGTTGTTTGATCAACAATTGCCAAAATTAACACAAGTTGTGAGTTGTACCATTATGATGTATCATGCAAGGAACTTTTGTAAAGGCAAATATTTACTATAGGCCTACTGTTTCTGTGACATACTAAAACATTGTGCATTTAAATGCAAGTGTGTGTTTAATACACATTTATTGAATGTGATATAATAAAAGATACCACAAAAAATTTATAGTGATAATTTTATTTGGAATTGTTAATGTTAGCAAAACTCTAGTTTCAAATTACTACAGTGGGTACATGATTCGGAGGAACTCTCATTAATAATTTTGAACTGTTCCTAAATCTCAATTTAACTCGGATCTGATTCAAAAATAATTTTGACATTTATTGTATGGTGTTGCTGGTTGGTGGCATAGAGGAGGGTATCATTTGGCGACAGTTGTGTGTTCCTATTTTGACATATCTGTCTAACTTTGGTGTTCATAATGTTTTTAACATGCAAATTGTGCTAATACACAATTTGTGTAGTACAGTCAATCAAAATAAATATAGTTTGTGACGTTTAGTTTTTGTTAATATTTTGTAAACTCATTTTAATCCGATGAGAGTAATAAAATGGTTTTATAAAATGATGTTATCTTGATATCCCTCAATTACTTCCCTAACAATGTTTTATTAGTTACGATTAAAATTGTATTTAGGGTCAAGAGTAATTGGTTTGATACTAATTTAGGATTAGCTGAGTTACAGCCATTGATAAATCTTACTAATATTATAAATGTGAAAGTTTGAGTGTTTGTTTGAGGATTGGGCTGAAATTTGGCATGATGATAGCATAATTAATTTGGCATTCCCGATTAACATATAGGCATATTTTTATCTAAAAAAATCCAGTGGCTCTGTAGTTCTCTGTGTTAACCTTATGGAGTATTCATATTTGAGGGAATTAAAGAATATAGTCGGCTGTTTCAACTTAAAAAGTTGGTTCTATGATATGCAAAAGCATTAAAAAGTTATAAAATTTACCTACAGGGTGCAGCACTATATTCTTTTGCATCTATATATATAAAAGGCAAAGCCCTCACTGACTGACTCACTCATCACTAATTCTCTTACTTCCCACTTACCTAGGAGGCTGAAATTTGGTACACTGATTCTTTATGCATTAAATAGGAAAACTAAGTTGTTTTTATTCTGATAGGACTCTCGGGCTCCCCCCCAGTGGCTCTGGAGTTTCCCATGATAACCTTATGAGTACTCATATTTAAATGGAATTAAAGAATCTTAACAGCTGGTTCAACTAAACAATTTGATTCTGTGATGTTCAATAGAATTAAAAAGTTAATAGGTTTACCAACGGGGTGCAGCACTATTTTTTTTTTATTTATGACAACAGCTAATTTGCAACCATAAGGTGAGTGAGCGTAGCGAACGAGCTTCAACTGGAGCTGGAGGCAAGTTAGCGTAGCGATTGAGCTCCATTGTTTATAAAAAAGCCCTTGAATAAATGTTTAAAAGCATAACTACTTTTTTCATTTTTATATAATTAGGTAATAAATATGTTTTATTGACATTAACACAATGTACAATAGATTATAAGATTGAATATAATCTTAAGACGTCTTAGTCTAAAATCGCAGCAATGCGCGACGGGTACGCTAGTCTATATATAAAGCCAAAAGTACCCATGAACTTTTGAGAAAACTACAAGTCACACCCCCATAAACCATATAGGTACTCAAAATGTTCGCCGTGACGAGAAACCTTGCGCAAAACTATCCATTATGTCATAAACTGCCCTATAAGGTCATAATCTATACTAATATATAAAAATGAGATGGTGTGTGTGTGTCTGTTACCTAATAACTTAAGTAAGAACCACAGAACCGATTAAAATAAAATTTCGTATGAAGGTAGCATATGCCTGGTTAACAGACCTATCTCTATTATTATATTTCCCTTGGGCTACGCTCCATGGGCTTCCAAAGTTTCAATGTTTACATTTTGGAAGAATGTAAATAGTACAAAATATTAATTGAAGTAAGCTGTAAATAATATAATTTTACAGTTCAAACAGCAGAGGTTAAGGAGGTACAGGTTCTGCTCCCAAGATTCTAATGTTTTGTGATTATGAGAATAGTTTGATTAAAATATTTATGAAAATATACTTATTTTCATGGAAACAGAAAGGATCATTACCTACAATGTACAGTATATATTTTTTAAACAATTTTTATATGGTAGCTTTTTGTTTAAGAATTTGAACTAATAAACAAATTATTGGATCAGGATTAATAATTTTAAAAACTAAGAGATGTATCTACAGTACTGGTACATTTTTAAAAATTTAACTGACTCAATGTTTACACTTTTAATTGTGTTTTAATTCAATTTACAAACTACATTTTGACTATAAGGCCTACCTACTTTTATTCTGTCCAGTGGTAACTACTACTTATACTTCACATTAGCCTTTTTACATTTACAGAAATCTCCTTAGTAGTTGTGTTTTTACAACACTGCTTTAATTTGACTATGGAAAATATCACAATACTAAAGCTGCACGCAATCCACTTTTGTTTATAAAATCAATTAAATATCTGTAACATAACAATGTTTCTTTAACTTACTCAATGTTTTAAATAATTATATAAATTAATGAAAATACATACACGTTTTGAACTATATGGAACGATTTAAAATAATAACTGTTATGTATTATATTGTTGATTTTATTTAAATTAATGAAATTTGTGCCCTGATTAACAATATTAGTGGTTGGCTTTCTAACTCAAGGTAATACAAGTTTTCCATTAGTTTATTTTTGCTTATTATTGTGATATATACGCTCGTATAGTATACGAGCCTGTAGTGCAAGTCAACCTTCTATTATAAATACTCGAGTGACGTCAGAATATAACGGGAATAGCACACCTATGTATTTTCCTTCCACCATGATAAATACTATTTATAATATTATTTACAAAACTCGTTCGTATAGACTATGATCTGTAGAGTAAGTGAGCCGTGCCATGGGCTGAATTTTTATTTCAGGATTAATTTTGCCAACAGTGTCATTTGGAGGCTTCTGATTGGCTGAGAAAACACCATTACCGGAACGATACAATTTGCCGTCATCGGCCTCGGTGGCGTAGTGGATGATAGAGTGATGGGCTGATAAATGGGAGGGTGGGGTTCGGTTCGAATCCCCCCAATAGTACTAACTTTTTAGTCTAGGATTTTTTCATTATCAGCAAGTTTGGTTGGTTTGGTTAGGTTATGACCTTTTAATTTTATAATTAAAACATTACAAAATTGAATTTGAGCCATTTATAGTTTTATTTTATGAACAGAACTATTTTTTCGATTAAACCTTCATTCGGTTTTTCATCATCAGCAAGTCTGGTTCGTTTGGTTAGGTTATGACAGTTTAATTTCATGATTAAAACAATATAAAATTGAATTTTAGGTATTTATTATATTTGTGATTTTATTTAATGAACAGAACTAATTTTTCGAATAGTAACCCTTCAATAGTCAATCAGAAGCCTCCAAAAGACACTGTTGGCAAAATTAATCCTGAAAAACAAATCGTGCATCCCATGGTTTGGCTGCCTCCAGTCTCCACCCTAACAAGAAGAACAAACAACTTCGAACAGAACAGAATCAAGACAAGAATCAAGTAGTGATAAAACCATTATCAATATCAGTTCAGTTGTTTTGTTTGTATACTTTTTTGAGTTTGTCTAAGTTAACCTATATGGATAAAAAAACACTATAACTAAACATTATAAATCAATCAGTCTTTCATAACACTGTTAAAAATTAAAAAGAGTTATTTCAGATAATTTATCATTATGTATCAACAACAGCAGTCATCGGTTAGTATGCAAGTTTTAGGATATTAGGTTAGGAATTGGTTTAACTTAGTACATTTTTTAGGTAGCCTAACTTACTGTAGGCCTAATGTAAAGGAATTCAATAATTATATTCACCCAAGTAACTGTAGCCAAATTAGTTAGTTTACGTAGTTATTCAATGTAGTTAATTTACGTTGAATTCATAAACAAAGGGAGTAACATCTATGTCCTCTCCTAGGCCTAACTTTTCCTTGAGGTACCGGGTTCAAATCTAGCTAAACCACCAATGAATTTTATCATATCGAAATGCTAATGCCGCAGGTCCTAACATAGGTCTAAACTTAGCCTGAATGTGAAAAACAATTCTGGTTTCTTGCCAAGCGTCCTAAGTTAAGTTAGTTACTGTAGTACAAAAAATCAGGTACATTTTCTTAACTGGGCTACACTAATATTCATTGAAACTATCGATTCGATAAGTAAACTGTCGCATCCGAACCTGGATGCGAGCGAAGGAGGATCAGGTTCGGATGCGACAATGGCGACGAGTTTAACAACTATTTCTGTGCTTGGGAATGAAAGGGTTTTAAGCTGTTTAATGGCCCATTATGTGTATTTTTAAAATTACCTGTTGTGTTATCACTAAAACAATCATAGAATACAAACCAATACATGTAGGCCTACAGCATTATAACTTTACACCAATGAAAAGGACTTTATTCGTATCATCTACTTTGTTCACATTGAAATACCTGAAATGATTGATTACCGTCCATAATTAATATCTTTGATATTGCTAAACAACTCATTTAATAAATTTGATGTTTAATTCAATCCGAGCAAAGATCGGTCTCCTGGTACAATTAGTGACTCAATTGTCGATTTGATTTCCAGTTGTTTGGCATTGTTTTTAGTTCAACCTTTAATTTGATGTAGGCCTACACAAAGCACATGTCAACCTATATGGTAACATTTAAGAATCTCGGCATACTCCTCAAGGGATTGGAGGTGGAGAGTCAATGAACCCATGAAAAACAAGATATTTAGGTCTAACTAAGATGTGCAGAGTTTAAACATTCTAACCTATTACCGTTTAAAAAAAAAGTAGGAGGGAAAGGACTTCAAACCATCGATATATAACTACTTCAAACTCACCCTGTTTATAGATTTTTATGTCCGTTAACGCTATAACTTGAGCAATTTTTGTCCGATTTTGATGAAATTTGGCTTGAATATGTAGGCCGGGATAAACTTGAATGAGTTTGCGAACCAGCATGATTGGACATGGGAACCGGGGTTTGGGGCTTTCTCAATTTTAACCCCCAAAATATAAAATTTCCCAATCTCTCTTAACCGTTACAAAGAGCTTAAAACAATCAATAATTTAGTATATTGAAATGTTTTTATTACAGTTACTGCCTAGGCATACTGTTTACGAGAAAAATTCAGAAAATTGTAAATTTAACCCCTTCGCTTACAACGACGGCGATCCGCCGTCGCGCTCCCGTTAGCCATTGTGTGAAGCGACGGCGAATCGCCGTCCGCTATTAAAACCTGTTTGTGCCGAGTTAGTTCCCCAGAAATCCAATAGATCGCATATGCTTCTTGTTCTATGATTTCCAGGCTTTCTTTTGGTTATATTTTCGTCATCTCAGTCCAGTCCAATCGGCAAAAAAACTGAAGTTGAAATGGTGCAACTTAGCAGCTGACGACGTCTACTCTGGTTTCACAGCTGATACGTTGTTGTGTTTACTTCGACGATGTAAACATTGTGTTAGAGCCTTGTTTTACTTTATTATTTTATTGAAAAGTGTAGTTATCTTATAAAATAAGTTATAGAATTTACTTAGTGTAAGTTTTTATCAGTATTTTACTTTTTCGTCGTTATAATGACTGAGTTATTAGGCCTATCATGTCGTGTTTCACTTCGTCGTGATAAAGATTGAGCTACAGTATCTTGTTTTACTATATTATTCAATTGAAAAGCTTTTGTATAATACGATGAGTCTTCAAAATAACTTGGTATTCGTGGATGAATGTGGAAAAGAGTTAGATGAAAGTGACATCATAAAACTTATAGGGGATTGTGACAGTGACAGTGATTGTGACTTGTTTGAGGAGAGTGGTTGGAGTGATGATGATGATTTGGAAGGGAGCAGAATTCAAGTGAGTAATAAGTCTAATACGCCTATTGATTATGAGACCACAGTTTCCCCAGAACATAATACTAATTGTGTTAGGCCTAGGCCATTAGAAAGTGACCAGTTGTTGCTTGAACAGCCTTCTTGCAGCTATGCTAGGCCTATGACCCCTCCAGATGCCCTTACTGTCCAATATAATTCAGATTTGTCTAGTAGGCCTGAAATATTTTATCAGCATGTATCTTCTCCATCACGTGATGAAGAATTGCCTAAATCAGTCCAGTTTCTTGATCGGTTATACCGCGGTAGTATGAGCGCGCCTTCTCTCTCGCCTACACCGAGTGAGGAAGCTGACGACCCTGGTTTCCCTGACTCTAGGCCTATAAATGATATAGATAGTGGCAGGCATAGGCCTATGACCCCTCCAAATGTCCAATCTGATTTAGATTTGCCTATTAGGCCTGAATTATTTGACCAGCTTGCATCTTCAATCGTGCCTGCCCTCTCACCTACACCGAGTGAGGAAGCTGACGACCCTAGCTTTCCTGACCCTAGGCCTAAAAGTAAACCTGTTAGGGGCAGGTCTAGAGGAAGAGGTAGGCCTATAGGAAAAAAAGCTATTTCACAACCATCTAAGCCTACTAAAAGGTCCAAAACTCAAACTAGTAACGATACAGCTCCACCAAAAAAGAAGAAAAAGGAGGGTTGGCAGTGGACCAGTACCATAGAAAGTAATATAATAAATAAAATCCCTTTTACTGGTTGTCCTGGTGTTAGAGCAAGTTTGGCTAGAAGTTTAGGCTCAGCTCCCTCTGAATTAGATGTTTTCAATGCGTTTCTTGATAATGACTTTTGGCAACATGTTGCAACAGAGACTAATAATTATGCCAAAGAAACAATTAAGAAAAAGAACGAAGCAGGCGGGGTAGGAAAAACTATATACTCAGAATGGTTTGACACAACTGCAGATGAGATGGCTTGTTTTTATACACTGTGTGTCCTTATGTCGCTTGTAAAAAAAAGAACCATACAATCATACTGGTCGCCTAATGCTGTAACTGAGACCCCTTTTTTTCGTAAAGTGATGCCATTCCGCCGTTTTTTGCTACTGTCCACATTTTTCCACCTTACAGACAATAATAGGAAACCTGTGAATGATAAACTGTGGAAGTTAAGGTACGTTATTGAGTACATGAACAGGAAGTTTTCCCATCTGTACATACCTGATGAAAACATAGCTGTCGATGAGAGTCTTATGAAGTTCCGAGGGAGGTTGGGCTATGTCCAATTTAATCCCAAGAAGAGAGCCAGATTTGGCATAAAGTTTTACAAGTGTTGTGAATCTGGAAGTGGTTATTGTTCTAAATTTAAGATCTATACTGGAGCTGAAGTCAAAGAAAATGTACCGGTTGAAGAAGGAAGTGGGGATTCTACACAGGAGGAAAAGCTGTTAACGAGTGAGGCGATAGTCGTTGAAATGACAAAAGATTTGGCAGGAAAAGGACATACTCTGACAATTGATAATTGGTACTCCTCACCTCTTCTCTTCTATAGACTTAAGCAAATAGGTTTCAATGTAATTGGAACAGCTAACTGGTGGAGATCAAACATGCCAGAGAGCTTCAAAGAGGGTAAACTTAAGTTGGGCGACTACGAGACAGCCTATAGCCACGATATGTTAGCAGTAAGGTGGCAGGACAAGAAGCAAGTTTGCATTTTGTCTACCTTTCATCAAAAAGCTGACAAAAGATCAACTGGCAAGAAAGACAGAGTTACCCAAGAAATTATAACAAAGCCAGAACCAGTGATCTACTATAATCGTTCAATGGGTGGAATTGACCGCGAGGATCAGCAATTAGCGTCGTTTCCTAGTATGAGGAGGTATGCTAAGGGATACAAGAAGATCTTCTTTTACATAATGGACATTGGCCTTTTTAACTCTTATGTAGTGTTCAAAAAATTAACCAGAAAAAAATTGGGGTTCAGTGAGTTCAAGGAGAGGTTTGTCAAGCAAATGTTTGAGTCGCGACAACTGCCACCGTACAATCGAAGAGGACGATCATCCAACTCAGAAACACCTCTGAGGCTCCAGGCAGCAACTTGGGGACATTTTCCTAGGCCTATTCCTCCAAATGAAGTCAAACAAACACCTTCAAGAAGATGTAAGGTGTGCAGTGCCCAGGGAAAGCGCAGTGACAGCCGATGGGAGTGTGAGCTCTGCCTTGTCGCACTTCACATGCCAGAGTGTTTCAAGGCATACCACACCAAAATGAACTTTGCTTGACATTTGGTGAGTTTTTATAAGTGTCATACAGTATTATAGACTAGTTCCAAAACATATATGAGCCCTATGTAGCTAAAAATTACCAATAAAAAAGTTTTTTTTAATTTTTTAATTTTTTTATTTTATTTTTATATGGTATAATAAAAAATTATAGTTATATTTTTTTGGGAAATATTTATATATTTTGAATCTACATTTAATTTTGAATAAGAAAATAATAATATCTTGCATATAAATAGTAAATGTTGCCTGAAAAAAAATTAAATCAGAAATGAATGAAACTAGCCACAACAAATTCGTTTGTTTTGGCCTAGGCGGGTAAAAAAAAAATCATAAGTGAATGGGTTTTAAAATGAAGAATAAGTAAACTGTTGTAGCCTATTTTGTTTTTTTATGGATTATATTTGGATCAAAATTGAAAAATGTATATGTTTTATACTAAGTCATTGATGTTTTACTAAAAAACACTTAATTACCCTCCCTGTAGCACCAAACCTAGGTCTTTTTAAACCTAATGATATTTAAATAGATTAAAATGAAAATCAAACCAGGCAAATGGAAATTTGCTTAGTGAGCAGGTTTGCTGCAGTGGAATATTTCTACTTACCGTAACAATAAAAAAGTAATCCTTTGCATATCCTAAGTTTTCCTAATCAAGTAAACATTGAGTTTTCTGTTTTCAGGACAGTCAAGATCTAGCCTTGTTCAGGACGGTATTGACTTATTGCGTTTTCATCTTGGCCTTGCCAATATGTGCATTCTTTGCATCTAAGTTCTTTTTGTTTGATGGTAAGTAATATATATTACTTAATACAATAAGGGTTTTTGTCAGTTGACTTACATCCCCTTTTCAGCAGTCCTAACTTAGGTCTACTTAACCGATTTCCAAGATTGGAGTGTCATTTTGGTACTTTCCCGTTAAGGAGAATATTCATTATTATCGATGATTTTTTTTTTGTTACATCATTATTCTATTTTTTGATCCAATACAACGATATTAATGAACGAGAAGTCAGCTGACAACTACGATAAGTAAATGTTGTTCAGTATCAACAAACAATTTGAAAAATATTATATTGAAATGGAACTGTTCTAAAGTAACCTTACCTAACCAACAAAACTTGCTGTAACATTTCCAAATCCCGTTTCATATTACTCTCATGCCTTTTCTGTTATCAACCGAAATTTTGAAAAGGTACAGAAAGTTTGGTTGGTTATGTTAAGTTAGTTTAGAACAGTTTTATTTCTGGATCCACATAATATAATATTTTTGACTAAACAAGATCAGTTAGTTAGTTGTCAATTTGTAATTTAAATGTGTTTGAAGATATTAAAACAGAGGGTATGGATCGTAAAGGAAAAGAAAAATATCAATATATCGAAAGAAATTAGATCGATAATAATGAATGTTCCCTTTAACAGGAAAGTACCGTCATTTTAAAGCTTATGATCTAGCGCACCTGCAAATGGTGAAAATATGTCAATTTCCTTAAGGGATTCGCCCCCTTAAGTTTCAAATATTTCTAAAGTTCAATTTAAAAGATCCAGTGTTCCTGGCCAACTTTCTTTATAATAGGCCTAACAGTTTAAATACTAGTAAGTTAGTACACTTATTCTGCACTGGATGAGTGAACGTGAGCGCAATAATGGAAGAGTCCACCCGCACCTAGCCTACTTACCGGTGTCACTGGTGAACACAATGTTATTTGTATAGGCAAATCAACCAAATCTCTGTCAACAACAATCCTAACTTCTCACAACTTTCTTTATAATAGGACTAACAGTTTAAATATGAATGTAGTATAACAGCTGATCATTTCAGTTGAATGTTTAATCACAGTCAGATTGTAAACAAGAGATAGACAAAACAGTTTATGAAAACAGATTTTAACACATTGACTGCTGAAAATGCTTATACAGTAGGCCCTAATTGTGTTCCAAATATGCTACATACACACATTGAAACAATCACGAATTCCGTAATAGCCGATGGATCAGGATGTGGTAACATAACAACACAATGAAATGTTTTGAAGAGCTTATAAAAGAACCAAAATAAGTATATATTCTAAAATAATAATAATAAAGATTAAAATTAGTCAAGGAAACTTCACTGGATAGTCAATTTATATGAAGTGCCATATGGATTGACTCTACTTCTAAAACCTGTTGTTTGTACCAAGGTATTTTGGCCATGACAACAATCAACAGCAACGTATACTCTGCTGTGACGGCAGTCGTAACACTTCACTTGGCCCTGGGCTGTTACATCTACAGAGCCTACTCTTACGATCATACGCCCAAGGCTCCAGCCAAAGTGGACTAAGACACGCGGGGAAACTGTGTATGGAACAGGTAATAAACTGTGTTTTAACCCTTTAAGTCGGTTTGACAAACCTTCTTTGTCACATTTAACACGTTCGCTACCACAATTATACGGAATTTACGTTCGCATAGACCAGCGACGCAATTGTGCGTCGACTCGTTTCTCACAATAGACCACCGACGCATATTTGCGTCAGCTGGTCACATTGAAATAGACTAACGACGCACAGTTGCGTCGGTGTTCAATGTTATTAATCAGGGTATTTCTTAGCAAGGGTCTATTTTAAAGCCCTGATTTTATCGTATCAGTCTAGAGGGATATCTCCCGCAAATGTGCGTCGCTTGGTCTGTGGATATGACGATTGGTTACGTCACACAACAGTTGGCAACATTGTTGTTTACATTGTGTATTCCGCGACATCACAGAACAGATGTAAACGTTATAACCTTTGTGGTTTTGGCTAGTGTTTAGTGGAGTTTCTTTATTGGTTTGTGTAAAAGCTTGAAACAACCAAATTTACAACGACGCTTACGTGCGTCGCCTGGTCTATTGAAACGAAAATGTAATCTTTTTAACTGGATTTCATTAAATAGACTGACCGACGCATATATGCGGCGTTTAAAAATTTGCTTAAAACGATAAATAAAAACAATATTTATTGCTTACTAATTCACTTAAGGTTATTATGAAGTCAATTAGTCCATTTAAACGATATTTCTCTTTTGGTCTGTCGGCAATGTTATTCCTATATCACTTGGTCTGTAAGGAACGTCATGATCATTCCTTTTGGTCTGTAGGAGTGACCGGACCGACGCAAATGCGCGTCGCTCGGTAGCGAACGTGTTAAAAATGCACCGCTGCTGTTTGACGTGACCCACTCATCCATTAGATGATTGATCTTTTAAAGCTGTATCAAAATGTGACAGACACAGATTTATAGTTTTTAAATTTGAAAACTATGAAAGGTTAATTTTTAATAGAGTACTATGAACCCTTTAGCTGTGAATATGGACCTAAGAGTCCAGTTTAAGGCCACTAGATATTTTTGAATTCTATTTTGATGATGAAATTATGAATTTATTAATGACTAGCATCAACGCTTATGCTGAACAGCAAAGGGCAAAATGAGGGATGGTTTTTGGCTTGATTTGGGGGAAACCTCATAATGAAGTCCGATGGGCGAAAATTTTCTGCCTAAAGCTAATGATTGCAAAGAATAATTAATAGTTGTAATCTTTGGGTTAAAATACTACACTATGTTTAGGGAGGTAAGAATGCTCCAGTTTTCAAGTGACCCTATATTTAACATTTAACTGAAATAGCCTCTCTGGTGTGTGCCCCTGTGTTTAGAACAGATATAAAAGAATATTCAGTGTGGCAGATTGCTTGTAATAAATATATAAAGGCTACTTACAGTCTTCGCAATCCTGTTGATTTAGCACTATGGCTGTTTCGGAGATAACTCAGTAAAAGCAGTTGGTCGTCAGTTTTTAGTCGTGCACCTGCCTTAATGTTTTTGTGTCGTGTCCGTGCCTTGTGTTGCATGCATTATTTATTAGACTTTGACGCAATGAAAATGAAAAAACCACGAAAAAAATGAAAATATGTAAATAGTTAAGTTTAGTGTATGACGTCTACACACACACCCAACGATGGAGTTATCTCCGGAATGGCCGTAGTGCTAAATCAACAGGATTGCGAAGACTGTAAGTAGCCTTTATATACAGATATAACCATAGATTACATAAACACAATTACACCACAAAGTTCAAAACTGTGACACAAAAACAATGAAACTTGAATTAAACACTACACTTCTTTATATCTACCGATCCAAAACCTCCATGTTAATTTAATCATGAAAAACCAACACTAGCGGACACAACCAACTCAACACCAAACTAGTTAGTATAAGGGGTTGGTGTCAATATATGGTACAATGTGGTAAAATCTAATTCAATTGGCATGTTATATAGTTGTAGTTAAACTTTGATAAGCTGTTTTATTATATGAATTTTTTTGCAGGGCAAAAGGACCTTAAGTTTCTCCTGTGGCTCCGAATGCAACCTTGCATTATTTAGGACTATTGTTTTTTATTGAAGTCACGACATTAATTAATTTATTGTACATGATCACAGTAGTTTTCAGCAGTATTATTTCTTATTTATTATCATTTTGATTCCTGTTTAAATTACCAGGCAAAATTAACGTGTAGTAGTACTTCTGCTAAGTTTCTCTGTAAAAAATTATTTTCTAGTTTTGGTGGGAGGAAATCAGTAATGTAGGTAAATGTACCGGTAGCTTAAGGACATAAATGTAATTTGTAAAAAATTAAGTCTTTTTGTACATACTTGTAACAATTGTAAACATTAACAATGAATTAAAATTGTTTACCTAAAAGAGTAGTTTGTTTATTTCCTCTAAGTAAGTGAAAATAAGAATCTTAAAGACGCCTCTTGAGTTGGTGAGTACCTTGATTTAAAACTTAATCTGAATGATTTTACTTCTGTGGTGAAAGCCCATAGTGTTTCTGTGACTTTTGTAATACTGTGAATCAAAATTTTCAACCATATCAAGACATAAAATTACACTAAACTAGCTTCACAGAGAAGTACTTTTAACTATTTTCTTTTTCTTTTTGGACCTATCAAGATAATCTACAGGGTGATTGCATCCAAATTCCAAACTGGACCCACCTGTCCCAGACCTTTGTGTTTTCAAAATCACAATTATTATATCTATAGACAATAGACAATTAATCTTTATTTACACATTCATTAAGAATAGTAGTAGCGTCAAGTAACAATTTTTTCTAAATGTGTGGTTGAGGTGTTGTTTAGTCAAAGATCTGTTGATGGTATTCTTTTAAGGAGTAAAAAGGTCGATTAATGAGCCATTGATGCAAAGCTGGTTTGAGGTCATCTTCTGTCTTGCTTCTTAGATCTGGAGGTAGCCTGTTGTACATTTTCATTCCTGCGTATGAAGGTTTCTTTTCAAACTATGCTGTGCGATGTTGTGAAAGATTGTACTGCATGGTGTTTCTCAGATTGTGTTGGTGCATTTCGCCACGGCTTGTAAGGTTATTTCTTACTGCAAATAACACAACTTCCTGGATGTAGAGTGCTACAAGGGTAAGTACTTTGAGTGACCTGAATGCTTCCCTGCAGCTGTTGAGTCTGTGGAGTCCTGCAAATGGAATGATATTGGGGATGATAAAGTAGAATAACTTTTAAAACAAATATAAGGTTTTGTATATTTCTTACAAAGTCTTTACAAATATAGTTTGTACACTATTACAATATTTACATATTAGTCAACATTAGGGCCTAGGCTATTCTGTTTACATAACTATGAGTGTAGTAATATCTAATAGTTCGTCTACTAATATGAATTTAATGTAAATGTAATGAAATGAACTATTGTTGAAGCAAAGAGAACTGGAACATTCTCTTTGTTCCAGTTCTGCAGCGAACGTTTCATTTAACTTATTCTTAAATGGATATGTTTAAAATTGACTAAGGGGAACTTAGCAACTTACACAGAACACCTTGACTGGCAACAAATAACGGAACAATGGAAAATTGTTGTCAATTTCACAATTATATTATTAAGTAAGCATTTGTCATGCCACCTTTAAAATGTGTTGAAAATAATAACAGGTAAAATCCTGGTACAGCACTATTGATATATAGAAAAGAATACAAATATAAAGTTTTGTTATTGGAATTTGAAAAATGTCAAAAACTATTCTTGTGAGGTGAGATTATTTTTGAAGTAATATTAAAATGATCATGATAGTCCCAAGTACAATAGACCCTCAAACAATCCTGAGCAATTTGGGTTCTGAAAAATCTAGATTTTTGGAATGAATTTAAGTCGGCCGTTCAGCTTTTTTTGAGCAGGATTAGGAGGCACATAGGAGCACCAGACAAACACTATTTTATTTAACAGTTTAATACTCAGAATAACCAATTTGCTATACAGTACCAAAACAAGCAATAAAGTGTCTGTGGATACAAATAATGCCTTTAATGCCTAGTCGATAATCCCTTTGAAATTGAAAAAGCAAAACCAGAATAAAGTTTCTTGTATCATTTTCATCGTATCAGTCAATTTCAAAACTTAATATTGCTCTATTTTATTAGCACAGATTTTCCGGGGTTAAGATTTTTAAGAATCATATTTTTGAGAGTCTAGTGTAGAATATGGAGTCCAGTTTTTTAAGATGCAGATAGATTTGAGAGTCTAGTCTAGAGTAAGAAGTGGTACTAAACGATATACTGTATAACTTAATTGCTTCACTTTAATGCTCATTTTACTTTGTAATTATATGGTATCATGGGTCAGATGGAACAGCAGTCTTAGTACTCATCACTTTTTTGAGTTTCATAATTGGAACCTTTAGATATTTGCTTTAGGTACTTTTAAACCAAACTTACTACTAGAAAAGTAATAATAAATAAAACCTAGCTAAAAAATTATTTTAGACAGCTTCAGTTCAATTTATATAGTTAATTTCTTTCTTCTAAACTCTATGTACATCAATACAATAAAACAGTGTTATCACTAGTCTTAAAATCAATAAAAAGGCAACAATAATTAGCAGTGATGTTTTAAAAAGTGAAAGATATGTCTTTTCTTTGGAAGGGACTTGCTATCACGACCCAGCCTCCACTGTCAACCGAACACTGATGCTAACTCTTTCAAACTTGCCTGACAGGGATCAACCGGAATTAAAATATGAACATTAACAGCAAAAAAAAGCAAAAACAAAACTGTGTTCATTAAAATCAATAAATAATAACTCTATTTCATATACCTTGGTTGGCTAAAACAAAATTCTCAATGTAAAACCTAAAAGTACTACCATTTCATGGAATAAATAAATATATGCATGGGATATCTCTATCCCAACAGTAATACAATAGTCAATGGTAGGTAATACGTAATACTTGCCCAGCACTAAATCAAGAGATGAGCCCGCAACTAAATATTAATAAAATCCTAAATATTATACTAATAATACATGTAAAAATATATGTGGGAAGGGTTGAGCAAAAGTCAATGATAACAAACTACCGGTAAAAGACTAATAAGTATTTACCATTTTACAAGTATTTTATGTAATGTGAACATGGTTCCAGCCTTGGCAAAGGCCTACATAATTTTTCATAGAATTATAACAATGAATTATTTGTGGTCTACAGATTTAAATATCAAAATTGGCTGACTCGCTCCACAAAATAGCCAGATACAACCAAGGCCCCACTAGAAAAAGCAGGCCATGCTGCAGGATCCATGACGTCACACTAGTGGATCGATTTCATTGATAAATTCATTGCCATATGTTTTAGGTAAATAAACAAGCTGGCTGTTTGTAAGATTTTAATAGTAAGAGTTTAGTACAACTATCCACCACTGTGACGGTAGAGTTGCGACCCGCACTGCAGCATGGCCTGTTTTTTCTAGTGGGGCCTTGATACAACCAAACATGTGTTATAATTTATAACCTAACAGTAAACAAGAAAAATAATGAACAACTTATTTATTACATTTGTTGCTAACATAATTATTTTAATAACAACCATTACTCTCATTAAAAGAGCACTATATACACTTATGTATACCTAGATATTGTATTGGAAGGGTATTAACCATACACACAGGTTTAGGTTTGGTAAGGAAGTTGAAGACTTGAATATTACGTAGCTAGTTGCTCACGTGACTCCTGAAACAAGACAGAATTGAGAATTATTCAAGTTACCAATAATAAGTAAATTTACCAGATAATTGGATATTTATAGTTGGGTGTAGGTTATTTTTGAGAGATTTGTTGGGAAATCTATTAACTGGTAGGGCCTATATAAAAATGTAATTGTGTCCGTCTATGTGGATATTATATTACTCAATCACATAAAAACTACTGATCCGACTGGGCTTAAATTTTACAACAATATGGTTACTAGGCCTTTAAACCAAGGAACCGTTTAGTAGGCCTACTATTCACATTTAAATTCTTGCGATAAGGTTACCTATAGAATTTAAAAATTCTTACCCTTAAGGGCCCAAGGTGCTCTCAAAGGTCAATTTCCCCCTATAGTCAGGTTGGGTAACAGGAAAATATTTCAGTTCTGGCAGACAGGCTGCAATTTTAGGTGGTTATAGTATACAAGTTTCTGAACCTAAAACCGCCCAGACCCCAATTTTTAAGGACCTCGGTCGTCCGTAATGACGTCATCAAAATGGCAGCCGTAAGAGGATGTCGAGTCCCCATGAATTGGCTATAACGACCGAATGCCTGAACCGATTTTCATGAAATTTGGCACACAAGTGCTTGAATACATTATCTCGGCCTGGGTTGAAAATGGTCAAGCTTCATCAAGTCATTTCAAAATGGCGTCCATTCAAAACTAAAAAAAATATGAGGAAAATAATTGTGAATTGTTTTATACAGGGTGAGTTTTAAATGAGTTCCCCTCCCTACTTTTTTTATACATTTCTTAAGATATCAACTTTGAACCATGTCAGATCATTGTAGAGTAGCAAGTACTTCATTTCGACTAGTTTTTATTTTATCCGTTTTTTGTTATCAAGCTTTCTTGATAAAATATAACAATTATTTTGATTTAAAATGTCAATATTTCAAAAACCAAACATGACAATGAAAAACGGATTGCGGCATTGAATTCAACATAATAAAGTAGTTCAAAATGATGGGTCACAACACCCCCTTCATTTTTAAAATAATTTATCACATTTCAAAATGGCGGATCCAAGATGGCGGCTGAAAAAAATACATCTGTCATAACCGAGTGAAAATAGGTCAACAATGAATGGTGGTGTCCACTTATCTTTATCTAGCATTTTGAGATTATGGCCTTAGTTTGTAAATGCACAATGTTATAATGGACTAAAAATAAAGTTATAAAAAGTTCTCGTAACTTTAGAATGGATCAACATTTTTTTAAACGGATTGCAGCATCGTATTCAGCGTAAAAGTTTTGTTTGAAACGGTGGGTCACATCACAACCCTATCTTTACATTTGAAAAAATATTTTGTATCCAAAATGGCGGATCCAAGATGGCGGCCAAAAATGTAAACCCAGTCAAAATGAAGTACTTGCTACTCTACAATGATCTGACATGGTTCAAAGTTGATATCTTAAGAAATGTATAAAAAAAGTAGGGGGGAACTCTTTTAAAACTCACCCTGTATAAAACAATTCACAATTATTTTCCTCATATTTTTTTTTTAGTTTTGAATAGCCACCATTTTGAAATGACTTGATGAAACTTTACCATTTTCAACCCAGGCCGAGATAATGTATTCAAGCACTTGTGTGCCAAATTTCATGAAAATCGGTTCAGGCATTCGGTCGTTAAAAATTAACATTCAAGCAAATGATTTTATTGATAGATCTTTATAAAAAAAATCCATTTCATATCTGTTTACATCTTGTATAAACAGTAGGAAAATGATTAGATTTACATAATTTGAATAGGTTTTTGTTACAATTTGAAAGTAAATCGCATATGTTTGGATTAGGCCATAATATACAAAATTTTTTCTTCCAAAGAAAGAACTTTATGCACACATTTTTACAAATTAAAGGTAATAATGTTTACACCATTTGCTTTACAATTTCCTGATCATATTTTACCAGACCACCTATTTCATAAATCCTGATGGTTCTTACTCAACGATAGCATAGACTAACCAACACAAGTAAACTTCTCATCCCATTGTAAATTTTGAAGCTCATTTCCGTGTCAAGATCATGTACACTGGACGCTGGATTGCCACTATGGGTGCGTGCCAACGAAATTTTGTTTCTATTATTTTAGAGTTAATTTCTTGATTTATGCTTCACTGTTTGGTTATATAACTAAGGGACGAGTTTGGTATTGGTCAAACGAGGTTTTAAATGACTGAAATAACAAGAAACAAATTATTAAAATAAACACTACCTTTACAGTGCACCATGTAGAATTAAAAATAAAATTGGCTTCAGCTGTTTTATAAGGGTGAGAAATCTACCAAGGGATTTGTTTTATCTATGGCAATAGCTGATATATTTACACAAGTCTAACTGCAATCTATTATATTATTAAAGTGATACAATCAAATTTTATGTAAACGGTTAAGGCCATTTACCAAATAAAAATATAGGCATAAGGCATATCAAAATGAAGCTTAAGAGAGTGTAGATTTGCTGAAAAGTATTGATATGGACGAACTCCCTAAGGGCTCTGCCCCACAGGCTGATTTCCAAAGGGCTACGCCTTGCATGTTTTGGAAGTTAACGTTATTCGATTAATTTAGTGAACAACAGCTGGCCAATGCAATTAACAATAGTTTGTTTGCTTACATTTTTGTTTACTTATATTTTATTATTTACTTTTATGTTCTTTCTTAAAAGAGGTGCGGTGAATGGACAGTGAAGCTATTTCTAGCTGTTTAATACAAGTGAGTGAGTAAAGGTGTTCGAAACACGATGAATATGAGATTAACAAACCATGTATGTTGTTCGTTTCAAGATGTCATCACCGATCTTTTACAGGTCATTTCATTGAAAAGTATTAAAGTATAAAAGACGTCGTGATAGAGAGCGAAGAGTTCAAGTACAACTGTAACCACCTCGGCCACCTAAGGTATGAAGGTTTCACTGTTTTTAACATCCATTCAGATGACAATTTCTCGAACTTGGGCCCTTTAAATGAAATATAAAGTCAAAGTTGTTTAATTAATTTAATGGTGACTTCTGTAGACCCGTGAATTCAAGAGTAGAACCTCTTGTTATATTATTAAAGTGATACAATCGAATTTTATGTAAACGGTTAAGGCCATTTGCCAAATAAAAAAAAAGGCATATGGATCATCAAAATGAAGCTTAGAGTGTGTAGATTTGCCGAAAAGTATTGATATGGAATTTCCTAAGGGCTCTGCCCTACAGGCTGATTTCCAAAGGGCTACGCCTGGAATGCTTCCAAAGTTTTAATAATTTAATTTAATTTAGTTAATGAAACAGCTGGTCAGTACAATGAACTCGTGTTTGTTTATTTACTCGAAAAGATGTTTGTGACACTTTATGTAGATTGAGGAGAGTGTTATGGTTTTAAAGAAAGGTTGTATACGTTTTGTAAAGTATTGCTCAAAGTTTCATTTTGTAATTTATATAGTAAGTTACATGTAAAGAGGCTTGACTAAAATTGAGAGTTATGGTATAACATGTTTTTGTCATGAAGCATCAATATGAAGCAATCGATGCTATTGCTACACTAAGGTATGTTGTCATACTCTTTTGGATCAATTAACATTAAAAGTAGGGGTTTGAAAGTAATAAGGTTTACACTTTTAAATCAGTTTATATTTTCAAAATAAATCATAGAGTTACTGTATTTGAAAACAAACATTAGCACCACTTTAATAGCTCTCTAGGTCACACTTTCTTCCCGTTGCAAAGCACGGGTATAGCAGCTTGTAAGCAAGTTACACTTATACGCTTACTCGTACGATGGACAGGTACTCTGAGCGCTAAATAATAAAACTGTTGTTGAGAAATTATTTTTGTTGGAAATGGAAACTTGGAATAAAATGTAAAAGTGGAAACAGAAATGAAAGCAAGATTCAGAATACATCCTAGTTCACAAGCCATATTTTAAATTAGTGCGGAATTCAAAGGAAATGTAAGGTTCAAAGGATACGATGTAAGGTAAATAAATTCAACTATTACAAACAATTTGTTGTCAAGTCTTGAGCTAGGGAACTATTAATTTATGAGCCAGACTTATTTTAAATAAAAATATAAATTCCAGCTTTGCTCTGGAAGTCCTGCAGTCTGTGGTTAACCTTAAAAACTATTCAAACTATGTCCATATGTTAAGTTGTAAACAAAGGGAATTGAGTTTGATATAATGTCAACAGATAGCGCCACCATTCCCAAACTTTAGCCCTTAACTGTACTTAAGTGATGCCCTTTCTTAACATTCTGAGACTATTTGCACATCTACATGAAAATGCCTTTAATTTGACACCTCAAATGTAAATATCCGTCAAGCCGTTATCGTGTTATGACTGTGAAAAGAAAACTGATTGCGTATTAATACATAGATACCTGGGTCTTCCACTAACCACCACTAAATCACCCACATTTCCTGTCGTACCTCAAATTCAATTGAAAAGAATCTAGCTACCTCACTAAAGTGCACAATAATACCTTAGCTACATATCACAGCCAGTTTTTATGTTATTTAATATATCTAATTAATACATAGTGAACAGAGAAATAATTATGTGAATGGACTTATTCTGATTCGTAATAGTAACTAGATGTAGCTAACGTGAATTCAAATATTAATTATATAAAATTTGGAAAATTGATCACGAGACCACGACCATTTGGTAAACCTAAAAAACTGTAAATTTAAAATTCCCATGTTATTCTCATGGAGAAGTAAACTGTTGTAGTTTGCTTGTTTATGAACATATTTTGATAAAATTTGGAAAATGCATTTATTTCTTACTAAACTATTACCGTAACAATAATAAAAATAAAAATAAACACTTTTACCCTATTTTTGAACTTCTGGGATCTTTTGCTATCTGGTTAGCTTTGATATTGTTGTATTTTGTTGCCTTTAACAATAAAAATTTAATTAAAAAACATGAAAAAATAGTAGCCTTTAGAACCTCTAACAAATTAGATAAGCTTATAAATACTAAAGGAACAGATGATGATGCTAACAATAGTAACAAGAGAACCGTAGTATATAAATTATCCTGTAACGACTGCAATAAACGTTACATACTCAGGTTAAACAGGGCGGTCCTTTGAGAAAAGATTTAAAGAACACATTCCAAAAACAAAAACAACCAATATGAAAAAATCTAATTATGCTGAACATCTGGTAGCAAACAACCAAAACAATACAAATCTGGAAACCAACTTAAAACACTTATTTGCAACAAAGGCAAGATCATGAGAGCTCTGGAACAATTCTAAATTTACGAAGCCGCAAATACAATCCCCAGGAATCAGAAGGCAGTTACAGGTATTTTAACCATTTTACAATATTATTGTCAACGTTATTCAGATTAAACAACACAACATGAAGAGTAGTATCCATCAAAAATCACAATCTAACCTCTAATCAAGATGCAGTCTCTGCAGAAGATTGGATAAAGGCCACAAAATCTTTTATCACTTTAATACAGTCCGAAAGTTTTTTCTCTCTTGAGTGCAGCTCGTCCAAATTGTCCGTTTGACTCTGGAAAAAATACAGTAAGTGCACTGTTTTTTAATCCCACTTAACAATAATCCTAACTCACAAGTAGCAGCAATAGATTTATATTTAAAGATTGACATTTGAGAGCCACATTTTAAAAATGTAATGTATTTTTAATGGACGTATAAATATTGAGAACTAAATACCCTATACAAATAAATTAAGGAAAACTTATTTAACAACAATTTTAAACATAATCATTTTACTAAGCAGTAAAAAATTTTTTACTGGCTGGATTTTGAAGATTTTGATGTTTTTGACAAAACAGATTGTTTCTAAAATTTAAAGCTATACCCAAATAAAAGGTCTAAGGCAAACTTTGTTCTTCACACTAAACTTTCCATGTCTCCATTAGACAGCTGAGTGATTATAGTGCTCGTCTGGATATCAAAGTGTTGCCTGCAATCTGCTTATTTAGAGATTGTTAAATCCGTGATTCTGAGAAAAGTCTGACAATTGAACCAAGCTGTCCTTGATCTTGGATAGAGAAACAGCTGATCTTAGTCAGTAACAAAGCTTAACTCACTCATATAACAACTTACACACCCTGGTGTGTCTGTTTAATCATTATAAAAATCCAATCTAATCTACATTAGGGTTTCAAATACTTCGTAGCTAACATTATTTAGCTAGACATAGAAGAGAACAATTAATCACTATCCAGGAAGAGATCACCACCAAGTTTCTCATTTAAAACTATAATATATTTGAGTAACAGGCACAAGCATTACCAAAATAGCAATACCATTAACACCTGTTACTCACCACAAGACTCGAGCTAACGTCCTTTGCCTTCTCACGTAGTTCAGCTACTGTCTTGTGTAGCTCTTTGTTTTTGGTCCTCAACTCTTCAACTTGTTTCTTTTTCTCTGTAACATAGTCTTACAAGGATAGAAACTTTTGTAAATGTCGCTGTTATATAGTGGCCCAACTGAACTGAGTTCTATGCTAGATTTTTAACGTGTCCCTTTTATGAAATAATTTTTGCAATCATGATTCTAAATTCACTAACATAGGATTCAACATAGGATTTGTCAGGTAATACTTCAAAAAGTGTGGCAAAGCAGTTGCATTTTTTCCTACAGTCATCCGACTAAGTAGGCTTCCTTGCACTGATTATAGTACAAAAATCTGCTAAATGCTGCATTTACTTACTTTGGCGCACACTTTTTACTTTGTCGCATACCAGTATTCCAACCAAACAACACAAAACCACGTGCTTTTATTAGGCGCAAAATAAATGAAAACCATTAACATAAATTTAAAATATTTAGAAAGCCTACTGAAAACAATATCATCCCAGCAAATTCAAATCATCCCTCGCAACACAAAATAGCAGCATTCTATTCCTATATTAGACTTATTAACATTCCTATGGATAACGAAGACTTTCTTGAAGAAAAAAAACATATTACAAAATTAGCAAAGAGTCATGGATATAGCAGCAAAACAATAGAAAAAATTATATAAAAAAAACAGACGGATAAAACCAACATGTCGAAAAAGAGAAAAGAAATGAATTATGTCTACACACAACTACACATTTAACAAAGTATAAAGGAAAACAACAACCAAAATTATAAATCATCATACAGAACAAGAAACAATTAATTTGATTAATAAATTTTCACAACCAAATAATAAAACAAAAGACAAATCTGTCATATACAAATTAAACTGCAGTTCCTGCTCAAAACTCTATATTGGCCAAACAGGACAAAATTTTCAAAGTAGGTTCAAAGAACATATTCAAGCCATTAAATCAAACAACAAAACCACACAAAAATCTACATTTGCAAAACACATCCTTTCTCCAAACCATACATGTAAAAATTAAACGAAAACATTACCATACTAGACATTGTTAACAAAGAAACCAAAATGAACAAAATTTCCACATATACAAACACTACAAGACGGTAGAGACAACGTTTTAAATATAGTACACAGACACACACAAACCACTAATCCTACATTTAACAAAACCCCGCTGCAGTAAACCTGCCGAATATGCTAATTTCCATTTATGAATTGATTTGAAATTAAATCAATTTAAATAACATTAAATTAACAATTACCTAGGTTTGCTAATACAGGAAGTCTAATAAAGTGTGGTTTTATAGTAGTCTAAAATATTAATAGCTTAGTATAAATAAATAAATTTGCCAAGTTTGATCAAAATATAGGTATCCATAAACAAGCTAACTACATCATTTTAGCATATTCTCCGTAAGAATAACATGGGAAATAAATTTACAATTTTTTTTAATTTTCTGTTACCAATAACCGTACAAAAACACTTTGATATACTAAATTATTTGTTTTTTTAAGCTCTTTAAACAGTAATGAAATGTATAACTAGGCCTAAATTTTAAAAGTTCAAAAAGGCCAGTATTTAATAAATTGTTTTAATCACAAGCGCTTTCGGAAACTATGTTTCCATCGTCAGGTTGTGTTTAAACTGGTACAAAAAGTAAATATTTACAATAGTAAATTAATTTAAAGTAAAGTTAAAACAGACGATGACAAGGATATTGGAAAATATAGGAAAAAATTACCTTTTAATTTGGATATATTACAGTAAATCTAGAGAGAAAGGTCTATTGTGTTTTGAGCGTGAAAAATGAGAAAAATCCATTTTTACCCCCATAAAACCCCACGTAAAACTCCATTCCCATGGTCCAATCATGCTAGTTTGCGAACTCATTCAAGTTTATCCCGCCTTACACCTTTAAACCAAATTTTATCAAAATCTGACAAAAATTACTCGAGTTATCGTGTTTACGGATACATATATAACTAACTATCTCTCTCTCTCTCTATATATATATATATACACACAACTCTAAAAATTTGAACGAATTGTGTTTTTGGCCTCTGGGGACATCAAAATGAAAAAGTAAATTGGTCCAGGGTCTATGTCTTACCGTGCCACCTATGGTAATAGCTACTTTCCTGTAGGGAAATTCGCTAAAATTATAAGTACAGTAGACTCCCTCTTATCCGGACACCTTTTAACCGGACATCGGTTTAACCGGACTACACTCGGCGGAAATTACATCTCTTTAACCAGACAATTTTTATCAGCACATCCGTTTAATCGGACTAGATCGGCAGGAAGTGGGATATACTAAAACAAATTAGCCAAGTTTGATCAAAATATGTTTATTAACAAGCAAACTACAACATTTTACAATATTCTCCATATGAATAACATGGAAATTTAAAATTTAGTTTTTTTAATTTTCTCCGTTACTTACCAATAACCGTACAAAAACACTTTGATATACTAAATTATTTGTTTTTTAAGCTCTTTATAAAGTTACGAATGGAGTTTTTGGCCCCTGGGGACATCAAAACGAAAAAGTAAATCGGTCCCGGGCCTAGGTCTTACCGTGCCACCTACGGTAATAGCTACTTCCCTATAGGAAAATTTGCTAAAAAAATTCTGAATTCAGGTTGTCTTTGTCTATAAAACCTCGGTTGGTGTCACTAAAGACAAAAGAAACTGCAAACCTCTTCAAAATGGAAATTCCCTTTTTTTACATAAAATATATGCCAGAAAGCAACCCACTCCAACCAGTAGAAGTCCAATATCGAGTATTCTACGACCCAACTGTTTTAGATTGATTTTGACAACTTTGAGGAGATTAAGGTCTGTTAATTATCGTACTTTATCAAATGTTATTATTGTGTTTTATGTTTTTATTTATTTTATCCATTATTCTTTATTATGGACAAATAGAATAAATATAGACTGTCAAAGGAAGGTTCCGGCGCCCACCGCTAGGAGTGCTGTGTAGTAACGGCGCACACCGCTGCAGGCCGCAGGAGCCGTATGCGAACAGCAGACGCTGCAGCCGTGTGCGCCGTTACTACATGGCAAACCTAGCAGTGGACGCCAGAACTTATGCTAACCGCAGCACGGCTGACGATATTTATTCTATTTGTCTATGGTATTAATTGAAATAAATAAAAGTTAATAAGTTTCCATCTGTCACAAGTTATACATATACCTTGTAAATATGGCAGTAAACATGTATATTTCAGTAAATATGTTATCATTACCTTCTATGAGAACACTGTTGGGTGATGGGGGTGCCTGGTGAGTACAGGCTGGACAGATGCGGTTGGATACACAGAATGTATGACAACCTGTCTGACAAATTTGGCATTCTCTCAGCTCTCCTAAGCAACAAACAAAACTCTTCAATAATCAACAGCTTCAATTCAACTAGTTAGTTTAACAGAAGTTAAAAATTCTATGACTGTGGTGAACGAAGTACAGCATGGTATGAGTAAAAATTTGTCAATTATGGTAAAAGTAAAAAATTTGTTGTGAGAAATATAACTTGATTGTCACAATTGCTCTAAGACAGTTTAAAATGATAGGTTGCCTATTTTTTGTTAATGAACTGTCAGAATTATATTGGCTGGAATCAACTTGTAAATAATTTAGGCCTACTTTAAAAGTACTGTTAGAGCGCGGGACTTCAGTCCCTGAGGTCCCGGGTTCAATCCCTGCCAAGTCACCAATGGATTTTATCTAAGTGATAATGCGCAACCCCTTGGTCTAGCCTGAAGTAATGTGAAAAAAATCCCAGGCTCGTGCCTAGCGTCCTAGGAAAAAAAAACTTTATAAGTACTACCTATCTATGGCTGTAAAAACATTCAGAAAATATAGTAACAACATGGAAATCCCTTTGCAGTTAACATACACTCCAAGTTAATTGTTAAGTTAGTTTGTCATGTTAAATATCAAGGTAGATGACAGTGGTCCCAATTTACAGATGGGGACTAGTATTTGCATCTTTTTCTGCTACCCTGTGGAAAAAAAAATAGAATTTCTAGTAACAATTACAAGTTATTCATCAACTAGTTTTTAATGTATTTGTGTAGAAACAAACAATGAGTTTGAAGAATGTAGCAAAATGCCTGAAGCGCTGAAACTCACTTAATTGATCCACTTGTACTACCACTTTCACCTGACTATTACTTAGAGATGGACGGGTCCCAAAACTTCATGAAATTAAAAAAAAAAAAAAATTCCGGATTAACAGCACAGGAATACATGTGAATTGGGATTTTATCGGCACAGGATTTGAACTGATTGTCGACGATTTTGCCGCATCGCAAATGGCAATGGCTGTTTTCACGACCGTGGGAGATATCACCAGTATGGCAACTGACGATGATTATGTCTCCGGGGTTACAAGAGAAGTTCACAACAGTTCAGCGAACACGGGAGGCAATGACGATGTCTCTGTAATCGCGGGAGATGTTTAAGGTGACACTGCAACCGAGCGACATGTTGACGATCGCCCCTTGACCGTGATTCATGATAAAGATGATACCGTGAACGCGGAATATGTCAAAGATCGCGCCGTGACAGCGCGTGTGTTCGGAGACATGTCGGCGATGGTATCATGACCGCGAGACATGTCGGCGATGGTGCCGTGACCGTGTGAAGTTCATGATGGCGCTGCGAACGTGAGTCATGTTGACAATGGCGCTGTGACCACGAGACATGATGAGGATGGTGCCTTGACTGGGATACAAGTTCACTATGGCGCCGTAACCGCGAGTCATGTTGAAAATGGTGCCATGACAAGTTCGGTGGTGACACGAATGCGGGACATGTTGATGATGATTCCGCGACCACGGGACAAGTTCACAATGACGCCTCGAACGCGGGACATGGAGACTACGGCACTGTGACCACGAGGCGGGTGTCTACCAGATTTCTCAAATGAAATTCCCCACTTTTCTTTATCAATGTTTTTTATCCTGACCAACTACTCGGTCCATTTCCCTTATTACACCTTTTTCCGTCTCATGGTACCATGGTAATCATGGCACCATGTCAACAGTTCTCGCAGTCACTCGCCATCATCAACATGTCTCGTGGGTATGCTACCATTGTCAACATATCTCGAAGTCACAGCATCATCGTCAACATGTCCTGCAGTCACTGCATCATCATCAACATGTCTGCGGTCAAGACATCATCGTCGACCGATGCGATGAGGTGAAATCAGCGACGATTAGAATGAAATGCGTTCCAAGAAAATCCTGTATTGAATGTAACCCCGCCCCAATGAACGGGAATATATTAATTCTGAAAATTTACTAAAGTCTTGGAAACAGTCCATCCCTAATTTTGAAGGGTTGGATTATTCCTGACCTAAGGCCGAAATTCATTACTTTTTCACTACCTTGCAAAATTTCCAACTTTCACGGGATTCCCGAATGGTAGACACCCTGACGAGGCACATGCTGACGATGGCGCCGTGACAAGTTCACGATAGCGCCGTGAACGCTGGACATGTTGACAATGGCCGTGACCGTAAGACATATCAACATGTCCAAGATGGCATAGACAAATAGAATTAAATACGATGTTGTCGTGAACGCGGGTCTTATAGCTACACTGAACATCGACCAACAGAGCTTTATTACAGGACTGACCTGGTTTCCGACAGACAAAGCACAGATCAGAATCGCTAAGAGGAGTTTCACAATCTCGTACTGAATACTCTCCCTCTGCTTCAGGCTCTTTTAGTCGGGAGCGTTTCTGCAACTGAGGTCAAAAAAGTCAGAAACATCAATAACGATACCAATAGTAACAAGGTTGAAATACATTTTGTACTATCGAAGTAACCTGTTTTTCAGAAAAGCGACCAAGTTTTTGAATCTACAGATTTATTCTCAAGCAAAGTCTAAAGTTTAAAATCCTGATATTTAGAAGAGTCACCGAAAAAAAATAACAATGCTGATAGCAGACATGTGGCTGTACACATATGTATAGCATCATGTTTAGCTGGCAGATCCGCAGATTAATAAAAGTGTAATTAACTTATAGATAAAGATGGTTAATCAACACAATCACCTTACAGATTACAGTGTGGCAGTAAGTTGCATTGTGCTACAGAAATACAAAATTTTCAGACAAATATAAAAATAATGTTTTTACTACTAATTATGGTTTATACTTATACTTTTAATTGAAAAGGCGACCATATGAAGGTAGGTATTTTAGTTTTTGCCAGTAACAGAATTTATACAGAATTTATATACAGTAGACTCCCTCTTCTCCGGACACCTTTTAACCGGACATCGGTTTAACCGGACTACACTCGGCGGAAATGACATCTCTTTAACCGGACAATTTTTATCAGCATATCGGTTTAACCGGACAAGTGGGCGGAACTGAAACGACTGTTCTCGTGGGAAATATTTGAGACCAGTGATCACGTGTCTAAATACAATGCTCTCCTAAATTTAAGTCAAATATTTGGGTTACATAACAAGTTTTTGGGGACGACAGTTTAACCGGAAAACCCGTTATCCTGACTGGCCTCGGTCCCGAGGAGTCCGGATAAGAGGGAGTCTAGTGTAGTAGTAATTTGAAACTCAGCTTTCGTTGAAATTTTAGTTTTATATAAAAATGCTGTGTTTTAAGTAAGATACCTACTGAAACTACTGAAAGGTATCATTTACCGTGGTCAGCTCCCATAGATCATCGTAAAGATGGTGATGACTGTTTACCCTTCTTCTTCTCCTTTCACTCTTTTTCTTGATAATTTTATTGAAAGTTTCTTTAGTGATTAGACCTGTAGAAAGAAATCTAAATTAAAAAAAAAATAGCAAACCAAAATCATGACTTTAGATATTCCTCTCAAAGTTAAACATAAGTTATATTAAGGAACCATATAATTAATTTTCATTTACTTTTAGTACGGTAAACCCCTTTTATCTGCAACCTGTTAAGCATAAAACATTCAAATCAATTGCAACATTAATCAAATTGGCAACATGAACTGAAGCCAGGGCACAACTAGTTGGTAACCGCTGTGAAGGTAAAGTTCAGAAACAATTGTCAATTATCTTATCTTAAGAAATAGATTTGTTGTAGGCCTATACATACAGTTCAGATTTCAAGATTAGGGGAATTTAAATAAACGGTATCAGCAATGTGACACATACTTTCTCCCATTAGCTTGTCGACAACCTTTATCATTTTATAGGGAAAATCACAAAAGTTCCAATACTTTTGATCCGTAATATATACAGCAATGATTTTGTACTATTTTGTTTAGAATCGTAAGGGTCATAACATACAAATTTCAATCAAACCCAGCTTTTACAAAAATCAGATTTTCTGTTTTTTAGGTGGTTTTTTAATGGGAAAATAATATAGCCTTAGAAGTTGTAACAGCTTTTGAACCACAATTTTTACAGCAATGGGAGTCAGGCTATACCATTTTAGCATACTAAACTTTTATCAAAATCGTTCAGGCCATTTTTTAGAAAATTTGATTTTTTTGTTATTTTATGGAAAAATTGCCATTAAAAATTAAAATTAAAAAAAAGGAAAATAACGCCTGGAGATACCATGGGTTAGTAGTTAGTACCCAAAACGGGTACTAATGGGGAGGCCCAAAACGGAGGCCCAAATATCTACTCAAACCTCAAACTATAAAATGTTGACGAAATCAATACTTTCTATCTATTGAGCTCTTTGGGATAAACTTCAATGCAATCTTTATAACACTTAATCTCACTAACGGCTGAACATATTTTAGCCAAACTTACCAAGGTTGTTTTGTCAAATATTTGGATGGTTTAGACGCTATGAAAGCAATCCTAGTTAACTTATTTACACACAAGACGACAACACCTAATTATTAATAGTATAATTGGTTATTTTGTACTACGGAATAGGGGGAGAAAGTAAAAATAAATAAAAGTAAAACCCACTGTTAAATGTTACTGTGAATCGAAATGGCCTTTAAATGGTAATAAATAATTAACAGCAAAAATAGGTCACCAGAAACGGCCTCCTCTCCTTTTTTTTGGAATCAAGTTTTTATTGTAATCCTATTAAATGCCTTAAATTTATCCTCAGTAGCATATAGTGGATGTCTCATATTTACTGTTACTGTACCAGTAGAATTCTTATTATAAACACCATTTGGATGCTAAGTTTATGGATATATATTAGTAGATATGTAGGCAGACATATCCAAACGGTCCTACTACTAGGCCAACATTAATCATAACGATTTAGAGGGAAACGACATAATGTTGGCGTCCATCCATACCAACACAAAAATATTAAAACATCGTAGGAATTGTAGAGTTAATTATGTGGTAAAAAACATGTATAGTCCTGTTAAAATGTAAAGAAATGTTGATTACTTACCTAAAGCTAGAGCAAAGTCTACTTTATTTTCTTGTTCTGATGTTTGTTGGGATATCAAGGAATCCGAAGACTCTTCAGAAGAACTACTTAAAACACTGTAACAGACCGTAAAAAAAACTTATAGTCCAAACCACACAATTAAAGAATGTGAAGTTGATTTGATACCATCAGGAAAAAGTTTTGGCTTAAGGTTTGTATAGACACAAAATAAAATAGGCTTCTACAATATTCAATACATCTTTGAAATGTTTAATTTGCATTATTTTGGCTTACACATTTAAGTTTGAAATGATTACCTACTGTATAAGGGTAATAGTTTTTTATTTCTGATATTGGAAAGTAATTAGAGAATTATATCGATCGTGCTGCAGTAAAGTTGAGTTAAAAAAAGGTTACACATAGCCTCTCAACAGCACACTAATTGGTGTTCCCTTTATGATAAAAACAAAAAAAAAAAACTTTATGGAATTGTAGAGAACATATTTTGGTTTAGTTATTGTTTTAACATTTAATCTACAACATGGAAATTTAACATAAAAACTCTGACTAATTCTAAAGCGAGCACTCACTCTAAATTCTTGGTCCGAGCAGGAACAGGTGAGCTTGGTCTTGGGGTGACCTGAAGAGTAGATTTAGGCCGTTTACCTGGACTTGAGTTGTGGTAGGGTTCACTTGCTGGTCGTTTCGCACCTCTCAGCTCAAATTCTGTAGGATAACAATCACAGTTTCAGTTTCATAGCATTCAAAAGCCTTTTAGAGCTTTCATAGCCAATTCAACCACTAAAAGTTATTTTTGAATATGTAGACCTAAAATGTGGAAATACCACATTTATGTCAACTTACCTGTATTTCCGTTGATGGTGACCGGCGACTGACAAGGAGGGGTCCGATTCTCCTCACTTGAACTGTCCACCATAGGTTGTCTCTCTTTTGGCAACACATTGTTTCGATCACAGTTATCACTGTCACTAGCATTGGAGGTCACAAACGACCTATCCCTGTTGGCAGCTTTTTTGAGAAGGGACCTGTTGAGGTCTGAGTTTCTTTGCTTGATGCTGTATTTGTCATTTTCATTGCTGATCTTTATTTTTTCAAGATTATTTTCTTTCTTGTTGATATTTACTTTCAACTGAGAGGTCTTCAGTTCGTTTCGTAGCCGGCTAACTAATATTTTCTGGAAAGGAGAGATTGTTTATCAACTTAAAATCTTATCAAACATAGATATCAAGGAGATAATTAATTTAGACTTGCCATTACATTATGGGTAGCTTAGATATAGTCTTGCTGTTTAATGCCTCACTTGGGGGTTTTAATTATTTATGAAAATTTAATATGATTAGGCCTACAATTTATTTTATGCATTAAAATTAAGTTAGGCCTACATCATTTTAAATTTAACAATTTGGATTGTACTCACTTATACACAAAACTTGCAAGAAAGAAAATTACCTGTGATTCTCCCAAACATATTATGTGCCGCTGAACTTCTTCTATCTGCTTCCTGACGTTTTCCTACAAATTTGATGAGTAATTAACATAAGTTATTGTTATGCAGTAGGCCTACATGGTAAGTAGTTTACATTGAACTGAGAACGACTTACAGGAGACTCCCTCTTATCCGGACACCTTTTAACTGGACATCGGTTTAACCGGACTACACTTGACGGAAATGACATCTCTTTAACCAGACAATTTTTATCAGTACATTGGTTTAACCGGACTAGATCGGCAGGAAGTGGGCGGTACTTATACAACTGTTCTAGTGAGATGATTTGAGACCAGTGATCACATGTCTAAATACAATGCTCTCCTAAATTTAAGTCGAATATCACCGTAAACGGTCCGTTTTAACGAGTTTTTGGGGACATCGGCTTAACCGGAAAGACCGTTATCTGGACTGGCCTCAGTCCCAAGGAGTCCGGATAAGAGGGAGTCTACTGTATATTAAATTGCAATCACTCACAATAGGACCAAAAAGAAATAATTTGTCAAATAAATAAAAGGCCATAAACTTAAAAAACCACAAAAAAAGTAAATTTTAATTTTTATATATTTATTAATAATAAACCAAGAAAATTAATATTTACATAGCGTAGGGCTACTCAATAGGTGGAAAGTAAAAATGTATTCAATTCAACTCAACACTTTATTATTATTACTTACGGAGGGGCTGACTTGCTGTCTAAGCACCAAGACCTGGAAAACAATATTTGTGATTAGGTACTTAGGACATATAAAATAGTAAACACATAGCACATAGTTAAAGTGATGGTTCTTGAACCAGGGATGACTAAAAAAAAAATACGTTTGACAGTTTGAACAATCTAAAAGGGTTTAGGATTTTTATAAATAAATCACCCTTAAAATTTCTTTTAGTTTTTTTTATAATTATTTAAAATTGGAACACTCAAATATTTGTACACAATCCATGTGTTATAAGTACTCCAAGACCAGGCGTGTGCACAGTGACCAACTGCTTATCAACAAAAGTAGATGACTAATCAAACCTTATCTAGCTTATTATTACAACATGTAGATTCCTCCAAGGGTTTCAGAAACATTCAATATTCTCAACAAGAAGAAAGAGTCTTGACAAATTTTTAGGGTGGCTAAAAGTAGTTTTTATTCAATGTAAAGTACGGAGTACAGTAAATAGAATCAGAAAATGTATAATGTAATGCTGAAATAGTACATCCAATTCAATTGATTAACTTTTTTTTAAGGACTAGTAGAAATCCATATATAAATCCCAAAGTAGGCTACGCATGAACTTTTGAGAAAACTAAAAATCACATCCATAAACCATGTACTTAAAATTTTCATGACGAGAAACCTTGAGCAAAACCATCCATTATTTCATAAATTGCCCTTTAAGGTTGTAATTCCTTTCTAAAGGGAACTTTCCATATACCTAATGTTAGAAATACATCAGCAGCTGTACTTATTTGTTTGTTATTCTTTCAATTTATTACCTTATTAAGATCAGGTGTGATTGTTTGTATTACTGTATTCTGTTATGTTTATTCACTTCAGCTTAACTTAACTAATCAATAGTTTTATTAATACTTAGAAGTCAAACGGGGTGAAACCCGTGGGTAACTGCTAGTTATAATAAAGCTTAAGTATCCGAAGATGTCTGTAAAAATTGAGAGACCAGTAAACGATGGAATGGCCTCTGGATCATCTGAATGAACTAAGTTATCAGAAGTTTAAATTAGCCTACTTGGTTAGGCCCTACTATCAAAACGATCCATAGTATCGTTAACACTAACACCCATCCACAACCCAAGAAACTGCTGTGGTATTTGTAAACTTACAAGGATCTCTTTTACATCAACCAGGTACCTAATTTAAGCCTCTATTAGGCCAGCAGTGAACATTTATTTATTTGAACATTGTTTTTCAAAATGTAGGTTGTCTTGTTTATTATCACAATTTAATTTGGGTCTAGTTCACATAGGTACTGTGTCATAACTGATGATCTACCGAGGCATTAAGCTTTAGCCTACAACCAAAATTGAACTATTTTACAAGGACCAAGTTAAGAAGTTAGAGTTGAAATAAATGTGAAACAAAAATTGTACGCAACAAGTTACTGTAACTTGAATGCTCAAAATGGCAACTTAGGCCCTACAGAGACATAAAACAAACTTAATTTACCGAGATACATTTATCTAAACCAATTAGTATGGTTCCTTATTTCAAAATTTTTTTAGAAGTTACGTATCTCACTTTCAAGAAATCACTTTCTTCTATCAAAATTTGAAACAAGGTGGAATACGTAGAAAAGGTTATAAGTTGGGGTTTATACAAATACAGGATTAACTTATTGCTATTTGCGTTACAGTAACTAAAAATAGTTCTTACAAGACAATGCCCCCAAGAGTTTGCTTTTGTATAACTGTACATAATGTAAGACAAATGTCTTGTAAAATTTTGCAAAACCTGTTTGTATACTTGGTTTTCTTGTAAAATTCCTGTCTCTTGTAAAAATATGTTTTTCGTACTTATTAATCTACCTTTGTAACTTAATACATTGCTACACATTTTTTCAAGCTCAGGTTGGCCGATGGACCCGAGACTACCTGAGGCCACCCCTCTAATACCTCGGCGCGTCTTTCCATCGGCCAACCTGAGTTTGACAAGTGGAAGTATTCTCGTAAGCACTCATAAGTTACCTTCTTTATTTTTGTAAAATTGTGGTCATTTAATTTGTATTGTGTAGGCATATAAGGATAGCTGGTAAGTTAACTTAATCCCTTGTACTATAACTATATTCTAACCTAATTATAACCTATAATATACCTAATGTACCTATAACCTAATTCTTGTACAAATTGGCTATGGGCGTTGAGATAAATGAAATGAAAAGAGGAGTTAAAATTAATTAGGCCTAAGTGTGTTGTTATTTCTTGGACGATTTAGCCTAAGCATTATTTGAAAAAATCAAAAAAAGGTTTAATGGTTAAAAACTAGGCTCCAATTGTCCTCCATCATTGGGTTTTCAATAAACGATCCTGACTATGGAACGAGCTGATCTTGTAGTCAGTAACAAAGCTGTCATCTCATCCAGTCAACCATGCATTGTTCACTCATGTTCACTTTAAAAACACACACGATGATGTATCGGTTTAGTAAAAATATTGCTATAGGCTATAACACTTATCTACCCAATAGTTACGCAGCATTTTAATTGAAACCACCTTTTCAAAACCCAAAATAAAATTATACTCACTCATTGTTCTTAAACTCTCATTAAAATTTTAATTTTATAACAAGGTTCTTTTAATGAAATTAAAAATAACTTAAACTTAAAATTTACTTCTGCAGAATTTACTAGGTATAACTAGGTACTTATGTATAACTTACACAACAAAACCCTGACAGTAAGGCTTGCTTGCAAACTTTGGCCTGTATAAATACCTAACTTGTGCTAAAGTTGTGTCATATGAGTCTACTGTCAAATATTCAAAAACACAGCTGATAATTCAAAACAAAATTAACATAATGACAGACAAAATATGCTGGAAGATAAGTTAACATCTTTTCAGCAGCATTCCTCAAGTACATGGATTGAGGTTAGGACCTAAATAAGGACAATTAATTGATGAACATATCTTAGCGAGCCTATAATTAGGCCCTAATAATTTTTAAATCATTTCTGTCTAAAGGGTTAAGTTGGGTAAATTGTATACAAGTTTCGGCTTTAAAGGCATAAAATGTACAATATGCTTACTTAAAAATTGTAACTAAAGTTACATGTAACTTAAACTTATTTAGTTTAATTTACCAATTTACTTATTGGTAAGATAACGTGTTGATAAAAAAAAAAAATACATTTAGAAAATCTGCAGTAGAAAACAAAGTTTCAAATGAATATCAAGATAGTTGGTGTGACTTAATTTTAATTAGAAATTTAACTTAATTGTAATTAAATACAAGTAAAAGATTTCCTTTAAACTGAGTTAGAGCCATATTAAGTTAATAATAATTATTTTGTATATATTTAAACAGTTTATGATAGAACGAATTAAAAACTTTTAATTCAAAGAGTAAAGTTTAAATCCAAATAAAAGAGGAGCAAGTTTATACATCTGTTCCAGCTTCCTCAACTTTGTTTGCAAGTAGTCATAAAGCAATAGCTCTGTAAAGTTCTCGGAGATAAAAATATCTTTCAGGTCTTTCGAAATACGGTTAATTATGTAAAAGAATAGTTAAAAGTTACACCAAGTTCTAAATATCCGATTATATTTTTGAAATATATTCAAACAATACAAACTCACTTTATAAGTGCAAAGAATTAGAATTTCTTAATCGTTAACCAACTTCTCTGTAACTTAAAAACAACCAACCTGATGATTCTGAATTGCCGTGATGAGTTCATTTTGTATCTTCACAATGTCGTTTTGCAAGGTCTCGGTTATGTCCATGGTTAAATAAAAATACAAATGAACAGCAAAATAATGCAGATGTGGAGAAAATCACAGTCCAGTTCACGATTCACACAACAGCCAAGTCGAACCCCTTCCACCTCAAGAGTCGCGGCCGTGGCCGTGCTTGTAAAGTCCTTGCAACAGATCCGCGCGCGCGCACTCTGCCACCACAACTCGAAACTAAAGCTAATTGATGCCGTTACGTCAATAACTTAGTTTTAGTAGTATTATCTCTTTGCATTTAGAACAGTCTTGATGATATATTTCCAAGTTTTATTTGGGTGGAATGGTAGTTAAGGATCTCAAAATAGCAAAGTAGCTGATCATATGGTATCATTTTACCAGATGTTCTTCCTCCTTAAAAGAAATCAATAACGTCAACTTATCAACACAAAAGAATCTAAAAAAAAAAATAAATCAAAATCGTGGTTATTTAAAAATCTAGGAGTCTTTTTACCATAGGAGTAATTTTTTGCCCTAAATTCATATAATTTTATTTCAGGAGTTGAGGTAAAAATAAAATACAGTACCTAACAAAGTTATCGTATCCGTTTACAATTGTCTGCGCTGTCTTTATAAAACACAAATCTGCTATTATTCTAATTCCATCAGGAATTTCTTGTGTACGGCAGAACTCTTTTATTTATGAACCGATTTTAATGATTGAGGTGTCAAATTATAGGGAATACTCTGTAGAAGCCAAGGAATAATTTTTGTCACGCTCAGTTCAATGTGATTTGCTCCATTGGACTTAAAAGTTTTCATGTATTTTTAAATACAAGTCAAAGTTTATTAAGTTTTACAGGTTTTACCTAACATATGATTCATTTCTTAAAAAAACATCTGTCTTCATAAATATAACCTGTTTTCCTTCTGTCATTTTAATATTTACTTTTTAGCGAATTTCCCCTATAGGGAATAAAGCTATTATACCGTAGTACTCATGGTAAGACCTGGACCCGGGACCGATTTACTTTTTCGTTTTGAGGTCCCTAGAGACCAAAAACACCATCCGTTCAAATTCATATATATATATATTTATTTATGTGTCCGTTAGCGCGATAACTCGAGCAAAAATCGTCCGATTTTGATTAAATTTGGTACAAACAAGTAAACCTACGTTTATTCGAACGAGTTCGCGAACCAGCATGATCGGACTATGGGAACAGGGGTTTATGGGGGGTTTTATGGGGCAAAAGTTAGTTTTCCCATTTTTGACCCTATAAACTTAAAATTTAGCATTTTCTTTTCAAACCATTTTGTAGAGCTTAAAAAAAGAAATAATTTAGTATATTGAAGCGTTATTATGCACCTAATGGTTACGGAGAAAATTCCAAAAAACTGTAAATGTAAAATTCCCATGTTATTCTTATGGAGAATAAGTAAACTGTTGTAGTTTGCTTGTTTATGATCATATTGTGATCAAATTTGGGAAATGCATTTTACTAAACTATTATCATTTTACAAAAAAACACCTTCTTACCCTCCCTGTTGCAGCAAACCTTAGTACTCGTTAACTAATGTTATTTTTAAATAGGGAATAAATGTGATATTTTTAAGGAGACATTTTAGTGTAAATCCAATCAGGCAAATGTAAATTCGCTTAGTCTGCAGGTTTGCTGCGACGGGGGTATTCTGTTTACTTATTTGTTTACTTTCAAATACAAAGATGACTTTAGTGTAAATCCAATCAGGCAAATGGAAATTCGCTTAGTCTGCAGGTTTGCTGCGATGGGGGTATTCTGTTTACTTATTTATTTACTTTCAAATACAAAGATGACTGATGAAATTGTATAGTTTATTTATGCAGTTTCATTCAGAGTATTGGGGAGTAAATATCAGTTTATTTCTTTTTGTGATTGTATTTTATTTTCAGATTTGGTGTGTTTAACGTTATCATATATATTATTATGTGTTGAGGTTTCCAATTTTTAATTTGGACTGGGCTATCATAAAATGCCACTCAAGAAACAATCCCGAGTTTGCGATTCGGCCACGATTACTAGAAAAATACCCGGTATGGATCATAAACATAAACAAAATGACGTTGTTGGCCCGAATCCTATACTAATAGCATTGAACATATGTTTTAGCAGTTCCATTTAACCAATGTTAAATAATGTTTATTTTCGGGCCAAAAACGTCATTTGTTGATGTTTATGATCCATGGATTCGGCGACGTATTAACAACAGAGATCGTATGATAAGAAATCTAGAATATTTACCTACCTATGCCGGTTTTTGAAATTCAAACAATGTGATAGCATAGTGCATAGTGATGGTGATTATTTTAATATTGCATGGCCTATTGTCACAACAGACTATTTTGGCTTAGGAAATCTTAGCGTACAGTTCACAACAGATTTAAATTATCAATGCAATTAAAATGAGTTCCCAATCTCCGGAATAAAACTGCAATGGTATGGTAACGAAGCTAAATACATAAGGATTTGTAAAATAATATTATGGGATGAAGCTTCTGTGTTTAATAAGGCTTTACCGTCTGTATTATGATTACTGCGAGATATTGCTAGAAGAGAAGACCAAAAAGCCTTTTAATGAAAATGTTTTTGGAGGTGATTTCCGACAATGCCTACCATTTTCCCTGGCAAGAATCGCTGTGCAATGGTAGAAAATGCGATAATTATATCACTTTTACGGCCAATGTTTGAAAATATATCACTTGCTAAAACATGAGAACAAATCCAAGTGAATCAATATTTGCTGAATATCTTTTACGAATAGTGAATGGCCAAGAGAGAAATATAAATTTAAATCCATAAAAAGGACTGGTTAATGGAACCAGATTAATGGCGAAAGAGATTAATAACAGAGTATAAATCTAGAAATTGTTACTGGAAGTCTGCCTGGAAAACGAGTAGTATTACTGTACTCCAATTAAGTTTAGAATCGTCAGAAGGAAATTTTATCCTAAAACTCGAACGTCTTTGTTCCCATGCCGAATTGCTTTTGCCATGGACATCACAAAAATTCAAGAACAGGCACTTGAAAAAGTCAGTCTTATCCATCGAAGTATATGTTATATACTTCGATGGATGGTCTTATCTGCCAGAGCCCTACTTTCAGCATGGAATTGTACGTACCGCGCTTTTGATTACCGGTAACTTAAAATAATAGCAATAGTCAATGAAAATAGTCAAAGAACAATGAAACCAATGTGTCATATGGTTAAAAACGTTAGAGTGTTTACGAAAAACCTCGTATATGGGAATAGTTTCGTTGCTAAAAGCAAAACATTAATTTGGTGACTGAGGGAATTAACTTTTATTTCGAATTTTGAAAGTCAAGTGATAATGGAGTAGGAAGTAGGCTATGTTTAATCTACGATAATCCTGTCAAGCGAGTTTCATCATAACCCTTTAGAAAGATAATGACGTTTTATATACCAGCTCTGTTCAGTTAAATATCCAGTTTAAATAACATAAACTCTTAAAAAAATTACCTTGTTAGGATATTGTATCAATATTGATACAATCATATTATTAGTCAAAGATATCACGCTATTTTCACGTTACTATTCCGGAAAAGGTGTTTTTTATATGGAGACGAGTATGGTAATTGTTAAGTACACGCATGCGAGTACCAGTAACAAACATTTTGGACGAGTGACGTAATAGTATATTACGTTACTAGTCCTGAAAATAAGTGTTTACCGGACGAGTGTGGTCGTTCCTGTGCGAGACGAAGTCGAGTACAGGATTACCATACGAGTCCGGTACACACATTTTGGACGGAGTTACGTACGATACTACTAAATCTGTACAAATCCTTATATATTTCCACCAACTAAAGGACTAAAAATCACTAGTCATAAGCTATGTTTTTATTTATAACCACTCATTGCCACCTAAAAACAGTATAATCAGCTATGATTGGTGTCCGGTAATAGTAGTTTACGCAACGATTGCGTTAAGTTAGTCTTTACGACACGAGTAGAAAATTTAAGGCACTCGCCAAGGCTCGTGCCTTAAAAACTTCTACGAGTGTCGTAAAGACTATTAACGCGAGTTGCGTACACTACTTTACCTACGACAGTTTTTTATTACTAACAATCTGGTTTTTAGTTACTAACAATCACTACTCATAACTTCTTAGAGAGGTTATGTTTTCGTTTATTGTCAGTGCCACTGAAAGTGATGCAACGACTTATTGTATAATCAGCTGATTTCATGTAATTACGTGTTTGTAAAACTTCGTTAAATGATAAGTTACCTCTTTCAGGGAATTGATTCTGCTAGCAGCATTCTTACCATAAATACTGCATCAGGTACAATTTAGGGAAATATTGCATTTAATTTATTTTTTTACAACTGAATGATTATAGTGAAAGAGTTAATTTACAGTCAGATCTCAACATCGAATATTATAGAATATTATTAACAGTTTGTGCTCTCATTTCCATCTCGTCAACTTCACTTTCACTAACTGACATTTTAAAAACAGTTTAATCTACATTCCTTTAACTTCCACCAACTTAATTAAGAATACGCGAGTATCAACATGAACAAGTCGGTTCAACAATTAAATTGGTCAACTGATCAGCTGATCAGCTGATTAGTTGACGTTCGAAGCATTACAATTTCTTTTCTCTCAATACTTGAACCTCATTGGTCCGTTACCTGTGTGGATATGAGAAAACTATGCGGATATGAAATGAAACTATGCGGATATGAAAGTAAACAGCTGTAAAGTGAAACTTTTCAATTCTAAGAACTGGACTGAAATGGCTACTTTAAAAAACGGTCGTAGGTAAAACTTATTTTCCTACAGTCACCTGACAAAGTTGGCTTCCTTCTACTGTTTATAGTACAGAAAGCTGCTAATTGCTGCATATTTATACTTTGCCGCACGGTTTATACTTTGTCGTACGGTTTATACTTTAATTGCCGCACATCAGGATTCCAACGAAACAACACAAAACAGCGTAGTTCTATTATGCACGTAATCCGTGTACGCTTGGAAATAGGTTGGCAACACTTAAAGATAATAATACTATGAGCAGCTGATTGACTATTAGAACTAAGATTTAACCTGTCATTTCGTGTTTATAGTTTCGGTATTTCTGAACTTTCTGGAATTTTCTTTTAAACGTTTTTAAAACATTCCTACGATCTTAATAAACAAGAAAATTCCTTTAAAGCATTTTTTTAGGCGCGGAAACCACTTCAAATTACAAAAACATACGGAACTATATTCTCAAAACGTGGAGCACATTTATTGCCGAGAAAAAATAGCGGAGTGATACGGACCGCGAGTACTACTTTCACTTTCCCTAGGGCAGTAGGGCACCATTTTGATTTTTGTTGCCATGTTGCCAGCTGAACCTAAAAACGTGTTGTATAAGTATAGTGTTTGAAAGACTAATGATTTATATGCTTTATATAGTGACTGTAGGAAAAATATAATGTGTAACACGAGTGAAAAAGGTCTTTGCTGCACTCGAGATCATTCCACACTCGCCTGCGGCTCATGCGTAAACATTGCTCTCGTGTGCAGCAAAGTGCCACTTTCACCACAAGTTACACAAATAACTATACAGTACAGTACTACCATTGACTTTATATCTACACAGTGTAGATACGTATAAAGTCAATGGTAGTACGCTGTCAAGTACTCAGTATTAATATGAAACCTCATTTGAACAAGCTGGCGGCAAACAGCTGTTTTCTGGACTAAATCCTTGCGTGGGAAGTTCGTCAAAATAATGTAGTGTGGTGGTCGCTAATTCTGAAACTGACCTAACAATAAATACCCCCGCCGCAGCAAACCAGCAGACTAAAGCAAATTTCCAAGCATTTTTGCCTGATAAGATTTAAACACTAAAATGTCTCCTTAACAATATCACATTTATTCCCTATTTAAATAACATTAGTTTAACGAGTACTTAGGTTTGTTGCAACAGGAGGGTAAAAAGGTGATTTTTTTGTAAAATGTTATTAGTTTAGTATGAAATGAATGCATTTTCCAAATTGGATCAAAATATGTTCATAAACAAGCAAACTACAACAGTTTACTTGTTCTCCATAAGAATAAGATGGGAATTTTAATAACGCTTCAATATACTAATTTTTTTTATAAGCTCTACAAAATGGTTTGGTAAGAAATTGCTAAATTGTAAGTTTTTAGGGTCAAAAACGAGAAAACCCAATTTTTACCCCATAAAACCCCCCATAAACCCCTGTTCCCATAGTCCGATCATGCTGGTTCGCGAACTCGTTCGAATAAACGCAAGTTTACACGTTTGTACCAAATTTCATCAAAATCGGATGATTTTTGTTCGAGTTATCGCGCTAACAGACACATATATAAATATATACAGTATATATAAATTAATATACAATTGTTTGGATAAAGGGCTACTATTATAAATATTCAAGAAAGCATACTAACTCAGTACCCTGAAATTATTTTTAATTTTTTTAAACTCTACATGTTTCGACCTTTAGGCCATTTACAAGAGTAACATAACCTCACTTTAAACACAACAAATTGATTAATAAATAAACATCATGTGATGATCTTGACATATGATTTTTCTTAATATTTATGGTAAGATAATCTTTGGTCATGAAATTTTATCATATATATATAATCGATTAGTTTTTTTTTTTATTTTATCTTTCTCTTGTTGTTTGTCTTAAATATTAAATTAAATTCTTTAATTTTATATTTTTCATATTTTATGAAAAAATTAAAGAATATTGTATAGGTAACCATCCATTGCCAATTACAATCAGCTGGTGCCCGATAAAAATGCATAACCGTACAGGGTAGTACATGGAAGCCCCTAAAGGCAAAGTGGACTAACCCACACATTTTCAGTTTTTAGATTGGTATACCTGCTGGTGAAGAAAAATCAGCTCTATCTAATGGTAAAACAAGCTAAGCTCTATCAGCTGCATTTTTTTTTCTAGAACAAAAAAATGTTTAGTCCAAAATGCATTATCACACATCTTCTTCTAGGCAGAATGGACTAACCCACAAAATTAAGTGCAAATTTGGACTACCCCCCATTAGAACAATGTTAATCCAAATGTCATTTTGTTGTAAAGTCAAAATGGACTAAACTCTGACATGCCTTTTATTTTTTTTGCTCTATTCTCCTTTATACTCTATGTAGGTCTTAGTTCCACATTGGTGTAACAGTAAAATGGACTAACCTTAATGTTAAAATGGACTAACCCACAGGAGATGGAAGCAAAACGGACTACTCAATTTTGGAAATGAAATATTGTGTTTTTTTTTAATAATTTACCAAACAGTATAATTCTATGGGTTAAATCTGTCAGATTACAAAAAGATCAACTGCTGACCTAAGATATGATTTTTTAACTTTAGCACTCAAGTTAGGTTTGCTTGTAGTTACAGCGTCTGCTGGTCACATAGGTTCCTGTGCTCTTCGCCTGCAGCGGTGTGCGCCGTAACTACTGTACACGGCACATCCTAGCGGTGGGCGCCGGAACCTTCCTTTGAAAGTGTCACTTTTATCTTTCCCAAGTGGTATTTTTATTTTACCATATTTAAAAAAAAATTTAGTTTATACCAACAAAAAATTAAATAAGGAATATTTTTTACACAGAAAATAGAAAATAGGTAGATGGCATAGGTTTAATAAACGAGTCAAATGGTACAATTAGTTAGATGGCTTATATTTGTCTATGGTGCTAAGCAAGTTATCCGCTTCTTCAGCAGTCTTGACTCGCAGAAGCACTGTAGTGGGAGGTGGAGGGTCTTGTGGCGTAGGTAGACACACCAACATGACATTGTTCTTGCCCATGCGTTGTGTCGGTACGCCGCTAGACAGCAGCACATTCAACAGTACATTTCCCAGAACCGTCTCAGCTCTCACTAATAGCTGGTGCCTCTCCTCGTCAACTTTCTTGATGTACAGGGTCCCTACTCCTTTGTCCTTATAATTACTGTCTTTCTTCACAAACACCTTACATCTGAAAAAAAGCATCAAAACATTATAAAAAATACGAGTACTTGCCTTGAATGAATTAGTGACCAGTGGCGTAACAGAAGGGCCCGCAATGCGGGGGGGCCCGCGACCGGTGAGCAGAGAGGCCTGTGAGACCGAAAAATTGGAGTTCATTCTTATTTAAATGTACGAGTATTATCAATCATTCAATAATTGTATAGAATAAGTAAGAACATTGATATTATTAATATTATGTTGTTATCAGTTATCGTTTAATTTCGTTTGGCCTCTTCAGTGATAACGAACTAGGGTAACAAATTTAACGTGAATCTTTGATTATTATGCAATCTTACTTTCATCACCGAGAAATATTTTACTTCTCGGTGATTTCGTACACTGCTTATGTTGTCTGCAAAAATTTTGTTACTTTGGAGCCTGGAGTCATGAATGTTGGCTGGGGCTATTAATATTGTACTATTTTACATTTTAGTTTTGTCCTAATATTGATTGTATTTTGTTAAATACAATATACTGCTACTCTACTGACTGTGTTTGTTAGCCCATATCTTATTTTACCTCACAATTAACCAATACTAAAGACATTATTGTTGTAAAATAAACGCTTGAAATCCATACAAAGATAAAATAAAAAAAATGCAATAAGCTATTTTAGCCTTTAATAAAAGTACGTCAATCTATTAAATTAACCAGCTTTTAGTGTATGAGTTAATTATAACCAACGATTAAACTAACCTAATAAATTAATACTTTAATACTTTACTTTGAAATGGCGACCATACCAATGTAGGCATTTCAAGCCAAGAATTAATGGAGATGAGTGTAGGATGAGTGGTGCAACCTTTTAGTTTTGAAAGAGACTAAGGTCGACATATGCCTTATAGACTAGACACAGCTGTTTTAATAGCCAATACAGCCAAATTTTTTCCTTGTAATTAACGAATTAGTCTAATTATCAGGGTATTAAAAATGGATAACATGTGTGATAAATTAAATTTAAAATTTTTAACTTCCTTGGTATAAACATTCTGATACACCGATGGAAAATAAGGTTTTTTTATATTTGATTTCAAAACTATTTACAAACACTGATATTAACCACGACTGAAATACTTAACACACCCTTTTATGGAACATAACCCATAATTTAATATTTATTATTCTAATTTTAAATTTAATATTTTTTCGTAATTTATTTACCACTCTTTTTATGATTACAATATCATCATTGATCATTGATCATTGTATCGGAGGTCCAAAAATAACTCTGGGGGAGGGGGAGGGCGTTTAATTTTGTTGTATCGGTGGTCTAAAAATAACTCATAAGAGGGGGGCCCAAAAAATAAGTTTGTAGGGGGGCCCGTAAACATTTTTTAGCCACTGTTAGTGACAGTGATCTTTTTATCTGTTCGGGGAGCTTGTGGGATGTTTGAGATAGTAGTGGGAGGGCGCATAACCCTAGTCAGAGCCAAAGAGAGCAGAGGCTACCCATATAACCATGAGTATCCAGAATTGGTACTACGTACAATAAGCTTCAGTTGACTTGCTGGGAACCTGAGTCCGCCCCTTATACGATACCTAGATTTGAGCAAGGTGTGGGTTCATCTGGCCAGCATGCTTCATGGGACACATCCTCCATTGAGGTACATTGTCAAAGTCAAAGTCATCTTTATTGTCACAAAACGTTTTTTTTAAATGCTCTGGCACAGCCAGACAAAACAGGTGACATTGTCAAACTATACTAAAATAAACTAGCTTATATTGGTACAAATAAATACATAGTAGGTAACAAAACAAACAATTCACATTGATTTGTCTTGGAGAAACTGATCAATACTATAATAATTCTTTTCCAACAAAAATTCAAAAAATTTTTCTTTAAAAGATACTAATCCTATTATAGATTTGTAGTACCCAGGCAAATTGTTAAACAATCTTTTACCCATATAAGAAGGTGTCCTTTCCACAAGATTTAATCTGTGTATAGGATATTGAAAATCTGTATGAAATCTAGTGTTATAATTGTGCCAATTATTTTCACTGTGGAGTTTTTCAAAATTTGATTTCACATACAATAAACATTTAAGAATATACAAATTAGGGACGGTTAGAATCTTTAGTTCTTTAAAAAGTCGTTTGCAAGAATGTTTTACGGGTTTAAAAGTCATAATTCTAAGTATTATTTTTTGAAGTTTAAAAAGTTGATACGAATCAGATGTGACGCCCCAAAGCTCTACTCCATACTGTAAAATTGACGAAAATAAAGCGTGATAAATCATTAGTCTAGTGTTTAAATCAACAACATTTCTTAAGACCAACATTTGAAAACATACTGAATTTAACTTTTTAGAGGTGTTATGAATGTGATTCTTCCAATTCAATAAACTATCTACATCAATTCCTAAAAATTTAGCTGTGTTGCTAAGATTTATTTTTTCATTATCAAAATAAACAAAGCCTTTAAGATTGTCCCTACACTGTGCAGTTTGAAATTTTACTATTTGTGTTTTAATGTTGTTCATTTTTAAACCGTTTACTTTAAACCATTTTGACAGATCTTGAAGAGCTTGATTCAAGGCTAAACTTAGTTCATGACTGTCTTTTGATTTAATGATGGCTGTTGTATCGTCAGCATATAACAACAAACTAGGTTTAACATTCTTAGGTAGATCATTTATGTACATCAAAAACAATAACGGTCCTAATATGTCCCTGAGGCACCCCCATAACAATCTTTTCCCATTCAGAAGCATACTTAATGTTTTCTTTAATAATAACTGTTCTTTGAAAGCGATCGTTTAAATATGTTTAAAATATCGTTTAAAAATGTACTTTTCAAGACCATTTTGAAATTCAATACTAATTCCCGCCTTTCCGGTTTTTTCCGACTTCTAGACACCCTGTTCTGAGCTTATCAACAATCACAAACGACCATCTAATGCCTAATGTGTACATTTCAGAGCCCATATCTTCCATAATTTACGTTTTACAGTGTCTAAAATCATGCAATCTTATTGCTTATTATCAATGATTAAAATACAAGTTTTCACTTTCTAAATGCTTGAAAAGAGTTTTTAGAGAAGTTAATTTTTCAACATTTTCCTGGTCTCCCCTTATTTCTGGGGGGGGGGGAAGGGGTATTATATGCCATACCCCCCCGAATCCCCCCTCTTGACAAAGGTCTATCTACGCTACTGGTTTAACCATAAAAAAAACCCATCCATCATGGCACTACTAGGCAAGTAAAGCACTCAAAAGCCTATTGGCATTGTCGCCAAGTTTACTGAAATGGATAAGTTTTCACACACCTTGTAGAAAACACGGATCCCTTCTCCTCAATAGGCTTCACCTCCACCTTGGGCGGCTCATCTGATTCTTCTTCTTCTTCATCTTCTTTGTTTTCCCTTGAACTGTTTTGATAAGAATCATTGTTATTAAAATTGATGTATCCATCCGGTAATAAATACAACATTGTTAAAATGAAAATGAAAGCCAATACAACTTGTATTTATTAGCAAAATGAACCAAAAAATATCTTTGGGTGAATCAAGCAAAAACAGTGTATTCTTAAAACATAATGAGAGAAAGCTACTGTAGGCCTACATGCAAAAATATTACCAACAAAACTGATGGAGGAGATGTGATTTAGTTAAAGTCCCTAAAACTTTGTAGTTTAAGCACCATCCTTGGTCAGATGTCAAGGATACATACCAAAGGTTTTTTTGTAACAAAAGCCAAACCATAGACATCCAGCCAACCACTATCTTTTGATTTAATTCAATTTAACATCTATTGATTGTTTACTCAATTTAATAAACAAATGTAAAGTACAAAATATCAACCTTTTCATAACCATTGTATAACATTGACAATGTTTGCATAGTCATAGTCATGAGATTAAATTAATACAATTAATAATTTCTTGTGAAAGAAAATGGCCTTTTCTGATACAGGGCCGTGGCGAGACAAAAGTGGCAACATCGCAGACCGACCTACTGAAACATTTTGGCACTAATAGAGCGTCTGCAAAATGTTTATGTTAACACCTTTGTTCTTACCATGGCAATAGGCCGGCATGTGCGGCATGGCCACACAACAATGCCGCGGCCTTGTATTAGAGGAGGTTATGCAAAGGATAATTTCTTATTTCTTGTTAAGGTTTTTAGTTCTAGTTTGGTGTATTACCTCGCAGGGATTGAGCTATTGTCAGTTGCAGGTTTACTGAGGGAGGAAGTAAAAGGGTTGATCATCAAAGACGCAGGGTCAGGTTTCTTCAGGAAGCTTGAACCAGAAGAATCGCTATTGAAACCTCCAAAGATTGATGGTACACTTGGTTTTTTTGTTGAATCGTCTTGTAGCATTGGACTTCGACCAGTACCAGATTCACTCTCTTTTACTCCAAACAAAGATTGTTCAAATTTAGTTGAGTCTGTAGAATCGGTTTTCTTGTTACTATCAACGAATGTAAAAGTTTTTGTACTACTGCTTTCTGACGTTTTAGGTACATTTATGGCAAATTTATTATCACTGGTACTGCTACTAACAAAACTAAATGAAGAGAGTGTTTTAGGTGCAGAAGAAACCACTGTTGTGCCTGCTTTCTTTGATGTGTCTCGATCATCCTCAAGTTCTTTTAAATATCTGTAACAACAAAATATAAACAGTTACCTTTGTTGTATCAAAAATAAAATTTACGTTTTTAGGCACTTAAGTTGTGATATCAGTAAAATTAAATTAGCTTTACTTTAGTCAATACCGCTTGCTTCACCTGAAGCAAAATGCTGCACAACGATTTGCTTGAAGCATTTTGTTTCTTTGATTCTGCAGTGTGCTGGAGGTTAAAGCATGATTCAGCATTTGGTTTTAAGCAAAAATAAATATTATTTTTAATGGTCCTCACTTCCTTTTTAAGTATTGTTTTCACATGTGTGATGAGGAAGTCAACGTAGCTGTTGATGTATGTCAGTTTTCGAAAATGCTGGACTAAATAGAAAGAAAACATTGGGTTCACCCAATCAATCAGATGAAGACAGACTTTCAGGGTTTTCTCTCAGAAACTAAATCAGATCCGAGAAATTTTACCCCGTAAGTGATATTGTTAGAAGTCAGATACTTTGATGATTATATATACAGTGTATATATATATATATATCAATAAGTGCTGCGTGCTGTAATGAATGCTTTTTATTATCAAAATAAGTAATCAATTATAAATTTTTGATAATACATGGGTCATTGAATACCATAATGTCATGTAGTTTCCTATTTGTAACTTGCAAATTATAATAATTGATAGTTAATTCTGGAAAATGAAAAATAGTGAACGCAATCATAAACCTGTTGTCAAAACAGCAACGCAGGTGTAAGGGTTTATTGTTTCAGAGGCTAGGGTGTTTCAAGGACAAAGTGTTGGGCCTCCCGGCTTAGGGGGGGAGGGTTGGTGGTTAGAGGGGGAGGAAACTGGTTTTGGCTATTTATTGATTAGTTCACCGACCCTTCTAGACTCTAGACAACAAAATTGAGTGACAGTGACAGCATGTTAAATCACCGTGTTCTGTATTTAATTTGTTGTTTACTTTGTGTGTTATTCTATTAATTTTAGTGTTTTGTTATATTTCCTCCTGGTCCCTTGCAAATTGTATTATCAATGCTAAATAATTGTGGTCAATTCAAATTATATTTTTGATTATTCAAATCTCCTACGCAAAAAGACAAAAGTCAAACCAGGCAAGGAAAAAACCTGCTATTGTAATCCCCGTACCCAGCCATTTGGGAAGTGGTGAAAGTCTAGTCTAAATATAGCTCAAAGGTCTCACCCTTCCCTTCCCCCCTTCCAACCCCCTACTCAATGTTACTATTCCGCTCATTTCGAGGTCATTGCACAACGCCTGCCTCCCTTCTATTGTTTTGCCTTTATAGTGTTTCTATTCTGACTTTTATAAACATAAATTTATTGCTTACGTAACAGTTCAGTAGTGAAATTTTCTATTGTGAAACAGTAGGCCTACTTTAAAACAAAATCACTACCGGTCATGCCATTCTATTCTGTGCCAAGTCAGTATACCATTGTCATTGCCAGTCAGTCGCCGGCGACTGCTTTGAGTTGACCTACCGGTATTCTGTCGTGACAGCTATAAAAATAGGTTAGGACAACACCTCTTTCTTATTTCTATATTTGTATGACTGTAGAATCTACAGTAATACAAATTATCCATCATTTTATGTAAACACAAGTTACATTTCAACAAATATTGATCTTTTACAATTTTATACCAAACTACTGTAGCGAGTTCAAAGATAAGCTGAGTTTAAGGCCGTACTTTACTCGAACTCAAAATCTCGAATACTCGCCCATTTTGTGTTAATAGTATAAATAAAATTGGATCCATTAAAACCGGATCCAGTCCAAGATCCGATTTTTTTGTGGATACGATCGGGCGTCGGTCTAGCTCAGATCCGGCGGGGATCCGGTAGTCCGATATCCGGATCCGACCATCACTAAAATAGACAGTAAACACTGATTATCAACTTTTTTGGTTCGTGCTGATTTAAGAATGAACCAGAAGTATTGAAAGCCAACAAATATAAATGTGAAAACTAAGTAACAATACTACCGTACGTCATAAAATAAACTCTATTTTATTTAATACAGGTCAATAATAATTAACTTAACGATTGCTTTATTGATATATAGGCTTATTCTAATTGTTAGTGAAGGGTGAATTTCCTTAGGCCAACCATAAAATTAGCAGTGTCCATTAATGAGGTTAGGTCAGCAACTATCCTCTTGTTCATAATTTTATTTAGTACATTTTTTACTTTAACTTTTTTTAAGGTTAAGGATCCATTACAGAAACACATGTTGTATTTAATTTTTGAAGAAAATCATGGCGTGCTGCATCGAATCGAATCGCATCGATTCGAATCGAAATTCTTTGAATCGCATCGATGCATCGAATCGAAAAAAATATGCTGCATCGCACACCCCTATTAGAAATTATTAATAGATAATGTTGTGTTGTGATTGTTATACAAGAAACCCTTCCCGACAGACCGCCACCACCCACCACTGCTCGAGCGAACACCATTACCGCAAAGATACGTTGTACAGCTATCGGTCTCGGTGGTGTAGTGGATAGCGCACCGGGCTGATAATTTGAAGGTAGCCTGTTTGAAACCCACCGGAGGCATTAACTTTTTGATTCGATTTTTTTCATTATTAGCAAGTTTGGTTGGTTTGGTTAGGTTATGATGGTTAAATTTTATAAATAAAAAAATTATATAATTGATTTTGAGACATTTATAATTTTATTTTATGAACAGAACTTTTTTTTTATTTTCATTATCAGCAAGTTTGGTTAGGTTATGACAGTTAAATTCATTTAAATTTAACCAACTAACGATACGTTTTGACAGCGACAGTGATAGAGATAACAATTTCCCTTGAACAGTTCGGCTATGCACGGTATGATGCGTTCTGCACGGCGTGGTGGTGGGTGGTGGCGGTCTGTCGGTAACGTCTCATGTTATACATAATGAAATGAGTAACCTTGGTAATTTCTTAATTATTTACTAATTTGCATGGGCTGTATGACTATCAAAGTGGTAGCAAGAAAAATTAAACAACAATTTAGTTTAATGGAAATTCTAAATATAATTTGTTAAGTTTTAATGAAACTTAAAATTCATTTTCAAAGAAGAGTTATTTTATTTTTTAAACAACAAAAGGTCAATTGAATATTGAGAGCCACTAATCCTTTACTAATTAGAAGGGATTTGGCGCATGCGCAGAATGTCTTGATCATTGAAACATCAAGCATTTTGCTGTATGGGATCCATTCGTCTAGCGGCTGCTCAAATGTTTCAAGGTATTGCGAGGCGCCTCGCAACGTTTGCTTGATAAATAAGCAGGCTCCCATCAAAATACATGGGGCGCCCGTACCCAGCGAAACGGCACACGGAAGATTTCTCAGGTGCCGTTTGACGTCACTAACGCTGACGTCACTTTAAGGGAACACCAATACTGCAACGATACGATTTTGAGCCATCGGCCTCGGTGGTGTAGTGGATAGCGTGGCGGGTTGATATACCGGATGTACCGGGTTCGAATCCCGCCGGTAGCACTAACTTTTTGTCAACAATTTTTTCCATATCAGCAAGTTTGGTTGGTTTGGTTAGGTTATGACAGTTTAATTTTATAAATAAAAAATTAAAAAATATAATTTTTGGCATTTATAATTTTATTTTATAAACAAAACTATTTTTTAGATTAGTAAACTTTAATTAGATTTTTCCATTATCAGCACGTTTGGTTAGTTTGGTTAGGTTATGATAGTTTAATTTAATATTAGAAAAATTATACAATTTTCTGTTTCTTCAGACGCATCAGTTAGTGACGTCAAACGGCACCTGAGAAATCTTCCGTGTGCCCCATTGCCGTACCCAGCAAAAAATTTTGCCTCGCAACACTTGCTTCAGGTGAAATGCTGCATCAGTGTGCGTTCAGCATTAACAACCGTTTCAGCATTACAATGGTATTCACAGACACTTTCAACGATTTTGGATAAAGCATTGTTTTTTAAGTTAAATCATATAACATGTAATTTACAAAAATGTATCAAAAATAAATATAATTACATATTAGTTATTATTACATTTTAATTAATTTATAAGATTTATAAGTGATGTGTAAATAATGAAATGGACGTAACAAAAGTTAAATCTGTGGAGCTTGAGTTATTGACTGAGGTAACCATAGACCTACAAGTTTAGTTAAGTGAAGATGAGTATAAAATGAATCAGAAAAATAGCCTTGGTGTATCAAAGACACCTTGAAAATAGTTGGGCCAATCGTGTTTGAGCACATTTGTTCACAATCAATTGTAATTTTTAGACAGTTACCTAGTTAAAACTTTGAAAAACTCCAAATATAAGGTTAGAGTAGAAAATTAATACTCATCCCAGTTTGAATTAATAAAGAGTGTGAGCTCACTCCATTGCTCTTTAATTTAGCTCTGGAAGGAGCGTTAAAATAAACAAGAAATATAAATCTAGGTATAAGCATTGGAAATAGAAGCACTGGCACTTGCAGATGATGTTGTGTTTTAGTATCGGAGGACAGAGATGAACTGGCGTAGATGACACATATTCTAATAGACAAAACTCGATCCATAGGATTAGAAATAAACTATGAAAAGACTGACTTGGTACATTTAGGGCGGGGAAACAATGGTAGAGAAAGTATTGAACTATAAATTCAAATAAGTTAAAGAGTTCAAATACCTGGGTGCAATAGTAAATTCAAAACATAATAAATTAATAGAATAGAAGCATGTATGCATTAAACATCATTTGTGAATCATAATTACTGTCACATAAAACAAAACTAAGTGTATAAAGGACTATTATCAGACCAATGCTTCTTTATGGAGCGGGGAGATGGATAATAGATAAACAAACAGAAAAGAAGTTGGTTACATTTGAAAATAGAATTTTGAGGAAAATATTTGGACCTGTTAGAGAGGAAGAATGATGGAGAATCAGGCACAACCAAGAAATCAGAGAAATGCCCCATCCCCAGACATAGTAGGAGAGGCGAAGAGCAGAAGGGTGGGCAGGGCAGGCCATATATCTAGGAGGGAAAATGGAAAACCAGTTAAAGAAGTTTGGAGGAAACCCCCAGCGGGAAGAAGACCCCAACAGAAGACCAAAGAATCGCTGGAAAGACCAGGTGGAGTCAAAGATTTGCAAAAATTGAGAGCGAGGCAAGAAGATTCGGAAGACAGGGGGAGATGGAGGCAACTTATTGGCAAGGCCAAACACCACCTAGGCCAGGGAATCCAAGGCCATAGGAGTAAATAAGTAACTAAGTTAAAACTCAAAACCTGACATCTAAATATTACATATAGTTTTCACATTTATAAACTAGGCCTTTTTTAATAGGTTATTATGCATTAAAATTCTTCAGCAATCAGACCTTTAGCTCATAAGAATTCTAGTTCAACGGTCTCAATTATTATGTACTAATTAGTAATTTCGTTGATCACTTTTTGAAAATGCATTCAAAAATCCAAAACCCTGAAGAAAAAAATAATGTTTTGCTATAATTGGTGGAAATTATCACTCATGTTAATGAGTAAACAAAACTTACTTCTCATAATCTTTAAACACTGGAGTTAAAATGCAGCCAGGGTTTTTATCGACACAAGACTTGATCCAGGTTGAAACGCTCTTATTGAGCTCCTGTAGGTTGCTGAGATATTTCTGTTCAGCTGTAACTTCCGTTGACATTGGCGTAATGGTTGTGCCATTGGTGGATGGTGTAGAGGTACTAGATGAAGTGGAGTTGCTCAAAAAACCAAAACTGGTCTTGGAATTAGAACTTGGGTTCAGTGATGGTGTGCTTGGCTTAAATCCAGTGAATCCGGCAAACAAAGATTTTCCCGCTTCCTAAAAAATACAATCAAGTGATTTATTTCACTTTATATGAACACAACTGCTTTCAATGCAGTGCAAAAAAAGCAAAAACAGTGGGGGTAAATTAAAAACTCTAAGATTTTAGAAACCATTATACTCTGTTCACTAAATTAAGCAGTTTTAAGGGAATCAATTCTATCCCCTCCACTTGAAAACAACAATTATAACCATACCTTTAAAACAACAGCTCCACAGGTGAGGTTTAGCAAAACGTTGTCAGCTGCATAACAAAAATATTACCTAAATTTTTTCTGAGTAAACAGCTATCGATGTGCTAATGAACTACTCACAAGATACTGCTGTTTGTTACAGTGTTTCACACTATCTTATATACTAAAAAACTTTTTTAAAACTTACAAATGACAGCTAGACTGGCCATACTACTGGACCGAATTGCACGCGGTTAGTGCCAAATGAAATACATTTTCCTGTAGATGAACAGAATCCCTTTAATAAATTAAAATAGGCTAAAAAATAAGCACGAAAAATGAATTTGAAATTATAAAAAAAAAACATGGGCCTAATGGGTTGCTATGCTGGTGACAAAAAAACAGTATTTACACAGAATATCCAAACAAATTCCAATCACATGTTTTATTTACAGTGTGGGGTGAAAATAGAGAAGTCTGTACATTACATATTTTGGCTTGAGTTTTCAACCACTGGACGATTTCTATTTTACTATTAACTATTTTACAGAGTCGTTCAAAGAAGGGATCGTCTGTGGCAGTTAGATTAATGTATCTGCAATATTAAAATGATACATGGGAAGGGAGAAAAGGTCCACGATGTTGTAGGAAGTGGTGAAGGAAGTAGTAAAAGCGAGCCGTGCGGAGTGTAGGAACAGTCTGTGGGAGCTATATTAATGCTGTTAATACTGTTCGATGAAATGGCGACCATACATAGTAGGTATTTTAAGCCAAGTATGAATGGAGATGAGTGTAGGATGAGTGGCGCGATCTTGTAGTCTTGTTAGTGACTAAGGCCGACATTCCTTAGACACAGCTGTTAATTAATAGCCCATACAGCTAATGGCAACTAAGGGACCTACAGTTTATAGTGGAATCCGAACCACATTTTTTCCTTGGTATATACGAATTGGTCTTATTATCAGGATAGTACTGCATCTGCAACACTTAAATGCTATGGGAAGGGAGGGAAACAGGTCCACGACATAGGAAGTGGTGATGGAAGTACCTAGTAAAGGCAAGTAGTGCGGAGCGTGGGAACCGTTTGTGTCAGTTGGATTAATGTATCTGCAATACTAAGACTGTGCAGTCAGAGTAAACTAATGATTTTCTCCAAGCAAAGCTTGGTCCCCAGGTATTTGGTAGAATACAAATCCTGTAAATTTTATCTTAAAATATCAGCTGGGTAAAAAATGGCAGATTCAAGAAATATTTGAACGGTTGCCATTTTGACAAGGTTGTATTTTACTAAATAAAACCTTTAATTTGATACCAAACTCGACCTATGCTGATGCTGTTCAAGGAAACGCATGTACGGTATTAACATTTTACTGATTAGGTTGAAATTAAATCTTATATAAAAAAAAAAACTTTTGCAATCTTATTATAGCCACTGATCATACTACTGGCCCAGTCAATTGCTGATCTGATTAATCCAATTTATGTGTAGTTACACATGCTTTAAAAATAAATAGTTTGTAGACTATTCTTACACTACTTTCAGATGTTTTGACTCTTCGCCGAGCTACTTTTATAGCCCTCTTCTGCAGCAAGTCTGCTGAAGCAGTTTTGAAGGTTCCTGCTTCTTCCGATTCAACTTCTTGATCCCAATTGTCATGGTTGAGGTCTGTTGTTGCAGTTCTTTTCGCCATCTAAAAGTTTGGAATTTTATCAATAGTACGTAATCCAAAACTAATTTTAAAATTGTAGACCAATTTCTTTCTTAAAAAACGACAAGATAAAATAAAGCTATTTTTAAGAATGGTTGGGTACAAACAGGAGTAAAACATAATTATTATTTTGCAAATAAATCCCCTTTTGTTGGATGATTTTTTTTTTAAATTTTTGAATTATCCTGTCTTTGGAGAAAACAGCATCCGGATAAATTAATGGTAGCCTATATTTAAGTCTACATAACACTTACACTGAGAAGTAAATTCTCAAGCTTTTCTTGGTTAGCAAATTTCGGTATAAGAGAGATCTTAGTTGGCAAAGGGTTTTTTCATGGTTTTCCCCCGATCGCGGCAACACGCGTGAGCATATTTGGTGGTTTCGGCAACACCGTTAATCGTCCCCCACGATCGCGGTAACACCCGTAAGCATATTATGCGGTTTCGTTGACACCGAGAGTCGTTTCCCGCGATCAGGGCAACACCAGTTGTTGTGTTTCGGTTAACCAACGTTTCCGATGACCGGGCTCCGGATTCCCGGAGGTTTGGGTTAATTCCTAGAGTTTTCCAGAATATTTCAAGGTAAGATAAAATTCCCAAAGGTTTCCCGGTTTTCCCGGAGAGTAGACACCATGTTTTTATAGGTGGAACCATGTCAGTTTAGGTTGATATCGTAAGGTTTTGAGAGCTGATGATGGTGAAAAGCATCTGTGTAAAAAAAAATACCCCCACCGCAGCAAACCTTCAGACTTGGTGAATTTCCATTTGCCTGATTGGATTTTAAATTAAAAAATCTATTTAAATAACATTAGGTTTAACAAGTACCTAGGTTTGCTACTACAGGGGGGTTAAATAAAGTGGTTTTTTAGTAAAATATGAATAGCTTAGTATAAAATAAATAAGCTTGCCAAGTTTGATCCAAATACATCCATAAACAAGCAAACTACCGGTACCGTACAACCTTTTACAATATTCTCCATAAGAATAACGTAAAAATTTTAAATTTACAATTTTTTGAATTTTCTCCTTAGCCAATAACCGTAGCCTACGGTACAAAACACTTTGATATAGGTACTAAATTATTTGTTTTACTAAGCTCTTTAAAATGGTCCAGATAAAAATTTGAAAATTTTGAGATTTTAGGGTCAAAAATGAAAAAAACAACCTTTTTTACCCAATAAAACCTCCTGTAAAACCCTGTCACCCATGGTCCGATCATGCTGGTTCAGGAACCCATTCAAGTTTATCCCACCATACACATTCAAACCCAATTTCATCAAAATCGGACAAAAATTACTCAAGTTCAGGGACACATATATAGATCTACTAGCTGTAACCCGCGGGCTTTGCCCCGTTTAACTTCTAAATTTTCAAGATAATCTCGTTCGCATGGCTCAATCACGTCCTGGTTGAAGTTTGTTCGCTACGCTCACTCACCTTTAGGTTGGAGCTCGTTCGCTGCGCTCACTTGCCTTCAGGTTAGCTCGTTCGCTACTCTAACTCGCCTCCAGATTGAAGTTCGTTCGCTACGCTCACTCACCTTTTGGTTGCAAATTAGCTGTTGTCATAAATGTAAAAGAAATAATAGTGCTGCACCCTGTTGGTAATCCTTGTAACTTTAATGCTATTGAACATCATAGAACAGAACCAACTTGTTTAATTGAAACAGCTGTTAAGATTCAATAATTCCATTTCTCATAAGGTTAACATGGTAAACTCCAGATATTTTGAAATGTCGAACTAACTTATAGGGAGTAAATGGAGTTTAATAAATACAGGAAAGTTAGAACCAACAATATAGAAATCACCCAAATTTATTAAATAGGAAATTTAATATTTATTTATAGAAAAGCTTATCAATTTCACGGTTCATTAGTTAAGTCTCAAGTCAACAATAAATGACAAATTAATGTTCATGTCAGCTTACATCACAATAGTATCCATTAAATATCACTTGACAAAATAGCTAAGCCCGTGTCGAACTACAAGGAGTGTCGAACTATCGAAGGTTTACTGTGTATAGCCTAGGGGACAGTTGTGTAGTATCGGACAGCGGGTCGGGTAGTATCGGAAAAACGATGTTTCTAGCTTTTGCTGCTAGAGGCAGCACTGAATAGGACATTAGCAGAAGCATCAAGGAGAAAAACTACGTGAGCGCCATTATGCGTTTCGTGCCTTAGTAAACGTCTGTGCTGTAACAAATTTTTATTTTTTCGTTATCATTTCTGTGCACGTACTAATGTTTAAGACATCAGTGTGCTAAACTAAGAAAGTACTTTTATGTTTAAACATAATTATTTGATAGTAAAGGGGTTGAACTTTATTTTGTAGACGAATGGTTAGTTTAGTTCGGTTAGTACGGAAGTGGTAGGCAATATGGCGGGCCATGTTGGTCGGGTAGTATCGGACAAGCTCACGTCGGGTAGTATCAGACAGAATGAATAGGTAGACTAAAAGTTAAATTAAAATTATCTAAATAATTTTAAAACAACTCAACGTAGGCTAATTGATAACTAGGCATGCGGCCTCAGGTCCGCCAATTGAGCGGAGTAAGCAAGCTTTGATATAAACAAATAACTTTAATTTGTTTTCATGATTCAAATTGAATACATGATGACGTCACCATAGCAACAATCCAATTGAATTCTCGTGGTTGGTTGGAAGAGTTGAAGGAAATATGAATCCAGTTAGCTGTTTCTATTAGCCTATTTATTGGGTTGTACTAAATTTTCAACCTAACATAAAAATGCCAACATGCTGTTCTGTTAGCTGTAATAATTCATCTTATAGTATTACGGAAAAAAATAGGAATATTATCACGCTTATTTTATAACTGGACGCCCGTACAGACCAAGCAGTCTGGGCTCTACTTTTTGTAATTATTACCTTCATTTTTTACCCAAAAGGGATTAATGGCGTCAGACTTTCAAATAAAAAATATATACATTTAAACAAACAGACATAAATTACTGAACATATATTTACAACATTGGCATGTGTAATTGTAACTGTGTCTGTATATCTGCACAGAGATAATTATTTCCACACTTATAAGTTATAAATTGGACAACACAAGTTAACAAGTTTAGATAAAAGATATTTAATATTAATATAAAGATATTTTAGATATTTAATTATAATAAATAGCTATAACTGAACTTCTGTATAGGCCTAGCAGTCTAGGCATTAGGCCTACGCATCGTAATCGTAACTATACAAGCCTAACCAATTATTTACACGCCTTTGTTAAAGTGGACTTCTATAAAATCCTAGGTAATTATTTATTTATTGTAGTCGCAACTGGACTTTAGTGTGCAAGCCCAGCAAATCACTGTATTTATTTAGGATAGGCTACCGTTAATAATATTTGAAAATACTGAATTCCTGCTTCGGAAATACAGTTTCTATAGTTTTAAATTTGAATACTCTCTTTTACTGTTTATAAACTAAGTACAGTACCTGGAAACCGAGCTTTGTTCGGGAAAAATCATTCCCCCACTCTGCGATGCCAGCCTTTACTACTTCCTTCACCATTTCCTACGTCATTGTTTCCTTCCCTTCTCATAGCATTTAAGTATTACAGATACATTAATCTAACTGCCACAAAAGGTTCCCACACTCTGTGATGCTAAACTTTACTACTTCCTACGTCGTGGACATGTTGTCATCTCTTTCCATTGCATTTTAGTATTTTAAATACATTAATCTAATTGCCAACAACATTTCCCACACTCCGCACTGCTAGCATTTACTAATTCTTTAACCATTTCCTATGTCTTGGACATCTTTTCATCCCATCTCATAGCATTTCAGTATTTAAATTTCAGATACAGAAATCAAACTGTTACAATTGGTTTCCAGTTCCCAGACTCCACAGTGCTCGCCTTTACTACATCCTTCACCTCTTCCTACGTCGCGGACCTGATTCCCTCCCTTCCCATTGCATTTTAAGATTGCAGATACCTTAATCTAATCCTTATAAACAGTTCCCACACTCCGGACTGCTCGCCTTGACTACTTCCTTTACCATTTCCTACGTTTCGGACCTGTTTTCCTCCCTTCCCATAGCATTTTAAGATTGTAGATACCTTAATCTAATCGTCATTAACAGTCCCCACACTCCAGACTACTCGCCTTTACTACTTCCTTCACCACTTCCTACGCCACGGACCTGTTTCCCTCCCTTCCCATAGCATTTTAGAATTCCAGATGCCTTAATCTAATCGTCATAAACAGTTCCCACACTCCGGACTACTCACCTTTACTACTTCCATCACCACTTCCTTCGTCGCGGACCATGTTTCCCTCCCTTCCCATAGCATTTTAGGATTGTAGACACCTTAATCTAATCGTCATAAACAGTTCCCACACTCCGGACTACTCACATTTACTACTTCCTTCACCACTTCCTACGCCACGGACCTGTTTCCCTCCCTTCCCATAGCATTTTAGAATTTCAGATGCCTTAATCTAATCGTCATAAACAGTTCCCACACTCCGGACTACTCACCTTTACTACTTCCATCACCACTTCCTACGTCGCGGACCTGTTTCCCTCCCTTCCCATAGCATTTTAAGATTGTAGATACCTTAATCTAATCGTCATAAACAGTTCCCACACTCCGGACCGCTCACCTTTACTGCTTCCTTCACGACTTCCTACGTCACGGACCTGTTTCCCTCCCTTCCCATAGCATTTTAGGATGACAGATACCTTAATCTAATCGTCATAAACAGTTCCCACACTCCGGACTACTCGCCTTTACTACTTCCTTCACCACTTCCTACGCCGCTGACCTGTTTTCCTCCCTTCCCATAGCATTTTAGGATTGTAGATACCTTAATCTAATTGTCATAAACAGTTCCCACACTCCAGACTACTCACCTTTACTACTTCCTTCACCATTTCCTACGTCGCGGACCTGTTTCCCTCCCTTCCCATAGCATTTTAGGATAACAGATACCTTAATCTAATCGTCATTAATAGTTCCCACGCTCCGGACTACTCGCCTTTACTACTTCCTTCACCACTTCCTACGCCGCGGACCTGTTTCCCTCCCTTCCCATAGCATTTTAGGATAACAGATACCTTAATCTAATCGTCATAAACAGTTCCCACACTCCGGACTACTCGCCTTTACTACTTCCTTCACCACTTCCTACGCCGCGGACCAGTTTTCCTCCCTTCCCATAGCATTTTAGGATTGTAGATACCTTAATCTAATCGTCATAAACAGTTCCCACACTCCAGACTACTCACCTTTACTACTTCCTTCACCATTTCCTACGTCGCGGACCTGTTTACCTCCCTTCCCATAGCATTTTAGGATTGTAGATACCTTAATCTAATCGTCATAAACAGTTCCCACACTCCGGACCACTCACCTTTACTGCTTCCTTCACGACTTCCTACGTCGCGGACCTGTTTCCCTCCCTTCCCATAGCATTTTAGGATAACAGATACCTTAATCTAATCGTCATAAACAGTTACCACACTCCGGACTAATATTTACCACAAAACTAATAGCAATAACAACAATTAAAAGAAATAATCTGCTTGGAATAGAATAGTAAGGCCGCCAGAAATTATGCGAATCGGTGTATTGTTAATCAACGCTTAATGGTACCTATTCATCGGACTCCTTTTCTTTTGTACTGTCCTTTGTAAATAGGCCATATGTGAATATGCAAGCTGAGGTGCCCGTGGGTACAGAATGTCGAGTCGCATACGCTACGATTCTTTGTTTACATCTACGTTGTTATCTCGTAACCATCATGGCAACTCATAAAACTCATGTTAAACATTGCAAATTTAATGTCAGTCTTAAATTGTACAGGTATCATCAAATTGAAATTTGTTTGTTTCGAAACATCAAAAATATTTGTCGAAATACCCCTGGTAAGTTTGGATTCAATATGTTCAGCCGTTATTGAGTTAATTGATTACATAGTTTGCATAAGGTCCGATCTCAAAGAGCTTCGCTCGCTCCGCTCAATTAACTCGCATTATTTATTTTTAGGTGTTCCAACATGGGGAAAATTTGGCATAAATGGGATGAGTTTAATATGAAACAAGCAATCAACCAAGTTTTATTGAAGAAATTAACAACGAGACAAGCTAGCGAGAGGTTTGCTGTTCCAAAGAGCACTTTACTTTGGGGGACAGAATTAAGTCACTATCACAAGGACAGGAGATAGAAATTAAACCAGAATTGGGTTGCTTACACTTGAAAAGGGCATTTACTGACGACCATGAACAGATTTTGTACGATTCATATCTTATTCTTTAGTCTTTAGATAGCCAGCCTTTGTGTACGGTAAAGATGTATTTTTAAATGTTGCTTACCAGTACCGTACGCTATAAAGCTTTAAAAAAATTAAGACTAGGTTTCTAAAAAATTAACCCTCCGAGTGTCATGCGTCGCTGCAGCGACGCGTAACGCACTTTGTATAGTGTCGTGCGTCGCTGCAGCGACTCGCGAACACTGTTTACGGCGAAGGCTCTATGACTAACTGAATCGGACTGTACTGGATTGAGTTAGGTATCGTTCTGTCCGTAATATTCTAAGCTTTCTGCAGAGGTCTGTCTCTAAGCACTATTCATTTTAGTTCCGAAAATATTGTAGCAGACAGCTGACTGAGCTGACGTGCGTGTATTTGTAAACAGCTAGGTTACCCTCGGACCGATGACTGATGTGTTTTATTACGTTTATCATTGTTTTAGTGTTAAAAATCAAAAGTAGTGATATACGTGGTGCATTATAAGAAGATTTAAGTGGTTTTGAAGTGCTGGTTGATGATCCTGAAGAAGTAGGTAGTGATATTGATGTAAATTATCAGCCAGATTCCTAGCTATGGTTGGGCTATGCATTCTTAGCTAAACGCTATGTACTGAAATCTGTTTTTTGCCCATAACTTTTTTATTTGCAAATCTACTTTCTTATATTATTATAGATTTGTAATCCTCATAAAATTTAGAACAAAGTGGCCATTTTCAAATATTTATAGGCCTATAATTTATACAATTTCATTGAGCGCAAACTTATTTTTTTTTGAAAATTTTCGAAATTATACATTTTTTTACCTAAAAAAATTTTTTTTTTTTTAAATCTTCCTTATGTTTTATATATAATATTGAAGCCCAAGATTTTCCAAACAAAATGGTATATAGAACAGTATAATTAACATTGTTTTTAAGCTTCTCAGATCAGTTTTAATAAAACCTTGCAAATGAGCAAAAAATAGGCTGACATTAAGGCCAAAACACGTGACACTCGGAGGGTTAAATAAAGAAAAACAAAAAATAGAAAGATTTTTTCTACGAGTTTATGAAGAGGCATCCAGACCTGAGGATGAGGACGGCAGAATCAACCAGCCTGCAACGAGCGTCTGGTTTTGGCAAAGATCAAGTAGACCTTTTTTATTGTAAAAAACTGTTATTGTAAAACCCATTTTTATACTTATAGCCTGATATAACTTAGTTAAGCTTTTTATAGCCTAGTGTTGAAACAATTTGTACCGATAAAAGTATGTTATCAGGCTGCATGTTGTTATTTTTTAACCTAAAAGTAGTTGTAGTCAACCCTGTCTGACACTACCCTCCAAAAATCAGATGGGCCCAAATGTAAGGGTTAGAAAAAGTGTGAAAGCATCACTATGCATTCATATTAGAAATATTATATTGATTGTGTAAGGTATAAAAGTGGATATGATAGGTCTATGCTTTTTAGGTAGCTTTATTATAAACTAAACTTATACCAGCTGCAGCTGTCTAGGTCTTTACTATTTATCAAAACTAGCGAGGACCATAATATTGAAAGCCTAGGCCTATAACAGCGTTTACCTTGTTGTTATGAATTGATAGGCCTAAGTAGGCTATATTCCGTAAAAATGTTACAAACTTTCAATTATAATGGTAATTATATCGACCTCCGGACCTCACGCGAAATTAAAAATTTTTTTTTCCAAAATGTTCGAAATTTCACGCTGATTTCAAAAATGATTGTCGTTTTTTTCGGAAACGTCCCGTTTTCCCGGAAAATGGGAAAAACGGGAAAAATATTTTTTTGCTCAAAACCCATGTTGTGGGTACTCAAATTGTGCGGAATTTCCTCCTGAACAAGAATATATAAATTTTATTACGATCGGACCACTATTAAGTAAAATATCACCGAAAAACGGGAAAACGGGGAAATTCTTCTTTGCTCAAAACCCATGTTGTGGGTACTCAAATTGTGCGGAATTTCATCCTGAACAAGAATATGTAGTTTTTATTACGATTGCTTTTAAGTAAAACATCACCGGACAGGTTACCCAACCTAACATAACCCAACTTAGGTTTAGATTAGGTTAGGATAGGTTAGTTTAGGTAAGGTTAGGTTAAGTTAGGTTAGGTTAGGTTGGTTTAGGTTAGGTTGAGTTTCGTTAGGCTAGGTTAGGTTAAGTTTGGTTAGGTTAGGTTAAGTTAGGTTAGGTTAGTATAGTTTAGGTTAGGTTAAGTTAAGTTAGGTTAGGTTGGTTTAGGTTAGTTTGAGTTTCGTTAGGTTAGGTAAGGTTAAGTTTGGTTGGGTTAGTTTGGTTAGGTTAGGTTAGTTTAGGTTAGTTTACTTACAATACTCATGTTATTGATAAACTTACCTAACCTAACCTAAGTTCCTAAGTTAGGTTAGGTTAAGTTAGGTTACACTAAACTAACCTAACCTAACCAAACTTAACCTAACAAAACTTAACCTAACCTAACCTAACCGAAACTAACCTAAACAAACTTAACCTAACCTAACGAAACTCAACCTAACCTAAACCAACTTAACTTAACCTAACCTAACTTAACCTAACCTAACCTAACCTAACCTAACTTAACCTAACCTAACCAAACTTAACCTAACCTAACGAAACTCAACCTAACCTAAACCAACCTAACCTAACCAAACTTAACCTAACCTAACCTAACGAAACTCAACCTAACCTAAACCAACCTAACCTAACCTAACTTAACCTAACCTAACCTAAACTAACCTATCCTAACCTAACCTAATTTAACCCTAAGTTAGGTTATGTTAGGTAAGGTAACCTGTCCGGTGATGTTTTACTTAAAAACGATAGTAATAAAAACTACATATTCTTGTTCAGGAGTACCTACAACATGGGTTTTGAGCAAAGAAAAATTTCCCCGTTTTCCCGTTTTTCGGTGATATTTTACTTAATAGTGGTCCGATCGTAATAAAATTTATATATTCTTGTTCAGGAGGAAATTCCGCACAATTTGAGTACCCACAACATGGGTTTTGAGCAAAAAAATATTTTTCCCGTTTTTCCCATTTTCCGGGAAAACGGGACGTTTCCGAAAAAAACGACAATCATTTTTGAAATCAGCGTGAAATTTCGAACATTTTGGAAAAAAAATTTTTTAATTTCGCGTGAGGTCCGGAGGTCGATATAATTACCATTATAATTAATTAGTGCCTACCTCTTTTACACGATTACAGGCTTCGACGTTTATTTAGTGTTGCCTTGCTTCAACATGGAATTTTAATTTCTCAATTTATTTATTCTAACCTCGCTATTCACTACTAAGTAAGGAGTTCGTGACTTCGACTTTCGACTTCGCTTCCACTTGTTGTCTTGCCTCTGTGCTCTGCTCTCGCTTGGATCTGACTTAGGGGAGGTACGAATGAGGCATTTAGTTCAAAATTCCTCCGTGAACAGCGCTGTAGTAGAGAGCACTTTGGCAATGAAGGTTTATCGCAAAAATAGTTCTGTTCATAAAATAAAATTATAAATGTCTCAAATTCAATTTTATAATTTTCAAATTATAAAATTAAACTATCATAACCTAACCGAACTAACCAAACTTGCTGATAAAGAAATAATATAACAAAAGTTTAGTAATCGGAAAATAATTCTGTTTATTAAATAAAACTAGAATTTGCTCAATTAAAATTTTATAATGACTTAATAATAAAATTAAACTGTAATAACCGAACCAAACCAACCAAACTTGCTGATAATAAAAAAATCTTGGACAAAAAGCTAATGCTACCAGCAGGATTCGAACCCGGGACCTACAGTATATCAGCCCGGTACGCTAACCATTAGACCACCGAGGCCGACGGCTTCCGACCGTTTTGTTACGGTAATGGCGTTCCCACAGCTAATAAGAAGCCCACAGCTGTCATCGTAGCCTCTTCTATACCTCCCCTGAGTAAATACCCTCTCGCTTCTCGTTCTCGCTCTGTCTTTTGTCTTTCCTCTTGTCTTGTCTAATGGTCGGTGGAAGGTCTACTCTAATCTAATCCTAATGTCTGCTTCGGTTCCGGTCCAGTCCACCACTCCTTCTACCTAGTCTAGTCTAGTCTGTCTAGTCCTTCCTAGTCGAAGCATATTGGAACGATTGTAACAGACGTGCGTGCGTGGTAGCGGCGCACATCTGACGTGCGAATAGCCACTGCCTTTGATCTGCTTTGATACTTTTTTTGTTGTTTTGTTCTTTGTTGTTATTGTTGACTTGCTAAACTTAACTTGACGTCTTGACTTGACATAAGTATAAGTTGAGTTCTCTCTGAGCTGAGTGTTTCTGCAAGATTCCTGCTAGGATTATACTCACCCGGTAACTTAGTTAATTTTATATTTTTAAATTTTATTAACAAAAATAAATGAATTGTGTTAGTATGCTAAATATTTCCCAAAGGTTAAGTTGTTTGTACAAACGGAATACAATAAACACCTTGAAGAAATTTTCCTCTACTTCAAGCACAAAACCTGAGTCTGGCAATGAAGGTTCATCTTGTGAAAAAACAGAACAAATCTCCAAAAAGCTCCGTGCCAAGACACCTATAGGTAGGCCTAAGCTGCTAGGATATAATAAATTATGATGTAACTTGCTCACTTTGATAATACTAGTAACTTAAGCCTACACTGTTAGATCACAGGGTTGATCCGTTAAGAAGGCTATTAACTTATTTCATCAATCTTCAACTTAAAATAACCTACGGACATTGGTGTCCATGTCATATCAATTTATCAAGGCCCAAATTAGGCCTACTGTTTTTTTAACACGTTCAGTGCTGACTACGTCATTTACGCTTCTCTCGGCCTACATCAATTGATGTAGTTGCGCAATACCAATACCCATTACATTAGTTCAGTATGAGCTCAGCCATTGCCGGGGAACGTTAAAACTGTTGCTAGCCTGTAGCTTAGAATGTGAGCTATATTGGTGTAGGTTGGTAATAAAATTTCTCGTAAAATCCCGTCTGACAATGCTTTTGTCCCGGTTTCGGGGATTTTCTCTCTTCAAGCCATATTACAAGGCCACTGACTACTGATCCAGGCAGTGCTGCTACCTTTGGGTGTTTTAGGGAACTACGTCCAATCTCGGGGTAACATAATACAATCACCGCTGCTCTTTTGTTATTCGTCAGATTAATATTAAAAATTAATGTTACATGTGCCAATTGCGTTTGCTGTTATGGGCCTCGCCGCCATTGGCGAGCGCCTGTTGGAATGCCTGCCGCACTGAACGTGTTAAGTAACTTAACCTACTGTAGGTACTCAGGCCTAGCCATGCTTGGGCTGAACCAAGGCCTACTGTAGGTATTTGTCACACAATAGGCTTATTTTGTGGTCGGGTCATTCCACGCCAAATCATCCAGCCAAAAGTAAGACTTGTCACCCAAGGTTTTCTGATTTCAAAAAAAATTTTGCATAGATAATATAGTATAGGCTACATATAGATAAGAAGAAATCCAAAATTTTATCTCATTCTGACCAAGGGCTTCAGAGATACGGCCATTTTAAGTTTCTCACAAATTCAGTTTCCGAGGCTTATTTTTGCGCTAAACTGAAATGCATATATTCTCGTCTTTCTATGTAAAAAGGACAATTTTGAAGATATGGGCTTCAAATTTTACTTATATATCCAAAACTCAATGCAGAATCATATTACACTTAAGTGAAATGATAACTATTTCCTATTATCACCCAAAAAAGATTCCTAAATACCGTACCTACAAATAATTAGATTTTTCCGAAATCGGAACATTGAGTTACAAAAGGTTTCATAACAAAAATCTCTCTCCAGATAAACCTATAAAACTATATATATCACTGGAAAGAGGATAAAATTATCTTTCAAATGGTATAATAAATAACATGAGTGGGGTTTTGAGTATTAACATTGTTATCACACGTGCTGCAATGGAAACTGGGCATCCTCAAGAGTAATATTTATCTAAGGCATGCACGATTAGACATAAAAACATTTCCTGGGGTAGCCAACTTGGCTGTTGCAAGATAGATTTTCAGGACAAAATATTTACCAGCCTACTGTACACACTTTTTAGAGTATTTTTCATGTAGGCCTAAGTTTATTAAATAACCTAAGTGCAGCCATCAAATGTTTATTTGCTAGTTATTAAACTCTGTTTTTTTTTTAATTTCTATGGAACAAATCAATTGTTTATGAGATCTGAGATCAGTATTTAATAGTTAGGCTTACATATAAATTAAATCCATCTTCTTACAGAAATAACAAAATTAGCCTAAAGATAAATTTAATTAATTATTTTCCTTCCTTAGGTAAACTTGATGAGTTGGATGTGGGAAAGCACCCTTTTCAAGAGAAAGAACCTTTACCTGAGTGGCCAGACAACACCAACCCCCACACTGGAGAAATAGGAGGTCCTCGTGGTCCAGAACCGACTCGCTATGGTGACTGGGAGAGGAAGGGGAGAGTCACCGACTTCTAAACGTAGATCATGTACCGGTACCAGATATGTATAGCCTATAAATAAAGTTCTCGTTGTATATAAAATGATCAGTTTTCTTTAAAACCTGTTAAAATTATAAATGTCGATAATCTCTGCTTTTAACGAACTTATATTTCATATCCATTATAGAGAGATATTTTAGTCAGGCCTAGTTGGATTTTTGAAATTTCATATTAATTTTTAAATCAGCCTGGACAGATACGAGACTGACAAACAGGACAAAAAGAAAGAGTGTTTAGCATTTGACTCATTCTAGAGAGAGAAAATGTACACTAACTTTTAAACTTTTGATTAGATTTAGTTGATAAAGTAGTATTTCAAATAGCTGTGTTGCTTGAAATGTAAGTCTTTTTCTTTTAGTCTAAAATACTATATATGATTAAGTTTACAGCTTTAGCTACTAGGCTAATTAATTGTTATGTTTATGTTAATAATATAGTAGGTTTTATAATAGTCACATTTATAGAATTCCGTTTCAAGAGAAAAAGCTATTCCTATATTTATTATTTCAAAACCAGAACCAATGCACTTTTAAATTAACTTGTAGTTTGCAGGTTAATTCAATTCAATTCAATTCAAATATCTTTATTTGTTTTTATGTACATTGTACAATAAATAGTGTCAAAATAATTACAATAAAAATAGTGTCAAAATAATTACAATAAAAATAGTGTCAAAATAGTTGAACAGGATAAAAAACAGCAAAACATGAGGAATGGTTATAAAAACAACAAATAGGCTACATTTTACAAATCTAGTAAGTTAATTTATCATAGCGACTGAGGGAGGTGAAAAAATCGTCAAAAGAATAAATTGCTAAATTTATTAAAAACTCTTTCAATATTTTTTTAAATTTGTTTGGATCTGTTTCTTTTTTAATATTTTTTGGAATAAATTTAAAAAATCTATTACCTGCATAGGATGGTTTCTTTTCAAAAAATTTAGTCCTATGTGGTTGTAAATTTTCTTTCTTATTTCTTAAATTATAAGAATGGGATTTTTCTTTTGGTTCCGAATATATTTCTTGTTTTTTTGCAATTATTATTGATTCATATATATACTGCCCGTAAACAGTTAAGATTTTTAGGTCCTTAAAATGCTCTTTAGCTGACTCATCACGCTGCAGCTTAAGCATGATTCTAACCGCTCTTTTTTGCTCCTTTAAAATGCTATCTAGATTACATATTTTTGTTGAGCCGTAGAGTGCTATGCCAAACGTGATATGTGAATGCACATGTGCAAAATATATATTTTTTAAAGTTTTTAAATCACAGTAAAAAGACATACTTGATAAAGCATGAATTCCGGAATTAATTTTACTTAAAATTTTGTGGACATGTTTATCCCAATTCAAGTGCTGATCTAGTGTTAAACCCAAAAAATTTGTACTAATTTCTTCATCAATGTTTTGTAAGTTATAGCTGATTGTTGTTGGCTCCTTCTGTCTATTTTGTTTTGTCTTAAAATTTATAAATTTAGTTTTTTGTAAATTCATCATCAAATTGTGGTTATTAAGAAAATTTCCAATACTTTCCAATTCTACATAAGCGAACATTTCTGTTTGCTCTATTGAGTTGGATGATATAACCAAATTCGAGTCATCAGCATACAGACATAGTGTTGAATTTTTATTATATATTAAAGAATCTTTCATTCCACATAGATAGCACAAAAAAAGCAAGGGCCCTAATATTGAGCCTTGTGGCACTCCGAAAACTATTGGCTTATAAGTTGAGCATGATTTAATAATTCTATTGTAATTTGTCAAGTGAGTTATTTCTACGTATTGAAATCTTTCAGTGAGATATGACGTAAACCAATTAAGAGTTCGTTTTGCTACTCCTAGTCTTTGAAGTTTTTCAAGTAAAGTAGAATGCCTAACACTGTCGAATGCCATAGATAGGTCCATAAAAATACCAGTTGTACATTTTCCCTTGTCAACCGACTCAATTACAGTTTCAATAAAAGATACAGCAGCACTCACAACCGATCTTCCATTCCGAAATCCATGCTGGTTATCATCTAAAAGATTAAATTGTTCTAAAAATTTGGAAAATTGAATGTATACTGCTTTTTCATATATCTTAGAGATAGCAGGGAGCACAGATATTGGTCGATAGTTAGATACATTTGTCAAGTTATTTTTCTTATGTAAAGGTATTATTTTAGCTTGTTTTAATTTCCTTGGAAAAATTCCAGACACAAAAGAGGAATTTATTAAGTGGCATAGAATTTTACTAATGTTCCCTTTTACAGCCTTAATTACTGTTATAGGGATTTCATCATACCCACTAGAGTATTTATTTTTCAAAGAATTTATGATTTTTTCCACCTCCCTATCATCAATTGGATTAAGTTCAAATTTTGGCTTTATACACATACTAGTTGTATCACAAAAATTATCATTAAAATTTACATTAACAGGACTGTTCTTACTACTTAAATCTCTAACAGTGTTGGCAAAATGGTGATTAAATATTTCAGCGATTTTGTTTGGATCTGAAACAATTCCAGAATCATCTTTTAAAGTTATGTTATTGAAAGTCTTCCTCTTGTTTTCCCCAACTTCAGAGTTTATAATATTCCAAACTGTTTTTTGAATATTAGTAGCTTTAGAAATTTTTTCGTTGAAATATTTATTTTTAGCTTGCCGAAGCTCACATTTATATTTTTTCTTTTCCTGATCCAAAAGCAATTTTAAATTTTTGTTTGTTTTTCTACGGTATTCTTTTGATAAATTTATGATGTACCTACGTTTATCTTCCAATTCTGAAGTTACCCAATTCCTTTTTTTTTTCTTTTTTGTGATTAACAATTTAGGGAAAGCTAGATTAAAATAATAGTTTAGTATGCTGTAAAATGCATTGTATTTTGATTCAACATTAGCATCATAAACATCAGTCCATGTTTCCTTTGAAAGTAGGTTTGAGAAAAGAGTTATATTTTCAGGAGAAAATTTGCGCATTTCTTGTTTGATGGATTGATTGGTGTTTTTTATAGAGTGGTTGAAATTAAGTTTTAATAATTGCCCATCATGATCAGACAGAAATGTTATCAGACCTTCTACCTTTATACTGGAGGTTTTTATATTTTTTACTAAAAAGTTATCAATACATGTTTTTGAACTTTCCGTTACTCTGGTTGGGAAATCAACGAGGTACCTCATATTATGTCTTTTAAGTGTTTCTTTTAATAATCTATGTTTACTGTCATTTTTCAAAACATCAATATTTAAATCACCAGCAACAATTAATTTATCACATTTATTGCTGAAGTAATCAAGTAAAACGTCTAATCTATCTGTAAAAATAGCTGCATCAGAATTAGGTGATCTGTAAAGACCTATGATGATAAATTTTTGTTTATTAACCTTCCAAGTGCAAGCACAAAATTCAAACTGCATTTCTTCTAGCAATAAATTAGATAAAGAATCTGGCACAGTCACCTTCCGCAACTCAAACCCCTCTTTTGCTAGAATAATGACCCCGCCCTTAGACTTTTTCCCCCTTGAAAAATGAGATTTTGTATTATAATAATCAATATTTAATCTTTTAATTTCCTCGTCTTTCATATCATGTTCTGATAAAATTACTATGTGAGGTTCTATTTCATTTAAAGTTGCCTGAAGGGAGTTAATTCTTGAGGCTAGATGCTGTATATTCTGGTGGAAAATTATAGTTACATTTTGCTTGGCTATTATTTTATTGGAGGAGACTTTTGGACCCGTGAGTTTAAAGTTGATTTAGGTGACTGAGTGAAACTTAAACTATTAACTGCGCTGAGAGTTTAAGCTATAACTATAACTCTTTGCTAAAACTGCCGTTAATATTTATATAACATAATTAAATGATAATAATGTGGTAGACTTCATTTACCTTTTTAAACACTAAGTTTTTATTAGTGAGACAAGTTTATTATTTTAGCTGAGATATTAAACAGTCTCCATTTATAGTCATTTGTCAATTTACATTGCTATGATAACGTCAAAGAACAAAAGAAATACAGTAATATGCAGTATAAAAAGAAAGAGTAGGCTACTTGTCAGGTTAATAGGTATAACAGAATAAAACATCACAAATAACAATTAGCAAAAAATCAATATAAACGATGAAAATAAATAATAAATTATAAATCCATATAGGCCTATAAATCAAAAAGTATGTGTGAACATTTGAGAAAACTACAAGTCACGCCCCCATAAACCCTATACTTAAAATGTTAGTCATGACGAGAAACATTGCGCAAAACTAATCCATTATTTCATAAATTGCCCTTTAACGCCGTAATTCCTTTCTAAAGGGAACTTTCCATATACCTAATGTTAAAAATACCCCAGCTGTACTTATTTGTTTGTTATTCTTTCAATTTATTACCTTATCAAAATCAGTGATTATTTGTTTGTATTAAGTTACTGTATTCTGTTTTGTTTATTTCATCTTAACTTAACCAATCAATAGTTTTATTAATACTTATTAAGTCAAATGGGGCGAAGCCCTTGGGTAACAGCTAGTTACAATCACCAAAGCATCACTGGATCAAAGCTCATAAATATTAAGTTAAAATTTATATGCTAAAAATTCATCAAGAGAATAAAACACTTAATTTATAAACCAGCTTGACAGTTTTGATTTAAATGGTTGGATTTCAAGGTTTCTGATCTCTGGTGCAATTTATTGAAACACTTGATTTGTAGGTACCGGTATTTGTTTTCCTGCCTATTTATATTTTGTATTTCTGACTATTGTTTTCCGCAATCTAGAAGAGGGTGGGACGATATCTTGTGCTCTTCTAGTGTTATAATTATGAACTTTGTAGAAACTTACATAATCACTCTGGTTTTCCTTTACATAAACAAGATTTTGAAATATGAAAATGCAAGGGACAGTCATTATATTGTAATCAATAAAAATTTGCTTACATCTTGATAAGGTTAATTGTAAATTAGCCAAAATCCTTACTGCTTTTCTTTGCCAAGCAAAAACATGGATAGCACCTCTACTATTTCCCCAGAGCATTGTGGCATACAGCAAATGGGAATGAAAATCACTAAAATAAGTATTTAACAACATATTACTTGTTGATGAACTGGTTGATGAGGCATGGACACATAAGATTGAACATCAGTGTCAACGACATGAACATCAAACAATGCCTCCATCTGAGTCTCCCATACGCCTCTACAAGCTAAATCAGCTTTTAGTGCAGGTTCATTTAGATGCCTGCCTTCTGCCTTGTTCCATCATGTTACGATGGTTCGTTTATCTTTATGTTCGTTTATCTTACCTACTTCATTGCGACGTTTCAGAGCATGTATTGAAATCATTTCCGCATCCTTCACATTTTAATAGGTTTACTGGTGTTTTCCCGTAACGTAGAGCAAGGGCATCCCTTAATTCTTTTGGGGAAATGTCCAGGTAAAGTTTCTTCATAGGCACCCATGATAGCCAGCATCTGTTCTGTTAAATATTTCAACAAAAGAATACGTAACTGGACACTCAGCAAATCACAATGATCTACAGACATTTTGCATTGTACATTCAAACACTTAAAAAAAATGTGTTACTAAAAAAAAAAAACTTCTCCTACACACCTGACAAAGTGGCCTTCCTTGCACTGATTATAGCACAGAAAGTTGCTGATTGTTTCATTTACTTATTTTTGCCACACTTTTTTTACTATTGCTGCACTCTTTTTTTGTCGCAGTCCAGTATTCCAACCAAACAACACAAAACAGCGAGCTTTTTTTTTTTTTTTTTTTTGGCAACACTTAAAGATGTTACGACACGATCAGTTGGTGCAGCGTTTGTTTCCCATTTCGTTAAGGGTTTGGATTTAACCTAACCTGAAAATAGTGTACAGTATGTTGTACAGTGTTTAAAAACTAATGGTAACTGTAGATAAAATATAACGTGTAACACGAGTGCAAACTGCCTTTGCTGCACTCGAGAAACTTTCCTCACTCGCCTACGGCTCGTGCGTAAACATTTCTCTCATGTGCAGCAAAGTGCCACTTTGCCTACTAGTTACACAAATATATATGTAAACTGGATGTTCAAATCTAATTTAACTTTTCCACTAGTTCAAACAATCCCCAATATCAGGTCATTGTGTTTTTGATTACTGGTACTGGAGGTTCCATTGTACTTTGCAACGTCTTTGTGAATGCTTACAGCTTTATCATTCTGTTATACTTCAGGGGGCCCCAGGAGGTAGTAGGCTTATCCCTGATGTTAACACTTAGTGCTACAGCCAGTCAACAGTATCAGTACTACACGTCCAATGATGCCTTGGAGGACTTGTACGAGATGGAACTAGCTCTCCTTACTAAGGTGGGAGAGTATATTCAGGAACAACAAAACATCCTTACTCTCCTTATTGGGTAATCTTATCTTTTGTTCTTAGTGATTTTACAAAATTGTAGAATATCTTGTTAAAAACATATGATTTTGATAAGCTGAGTCCATTATTATATGTTGACGTGTATTTCTTCCTAAAGACTTATTCCTCCTATTGGTAACTTACTTCTTGGTAACATCACCTCCAAGAGAGTAAGACATGTTTGCTGTCATTTTTATTTTTTGTTAAAACCCCTAGAATTTTTAAAAGTAGAGCTGAGAACTGTGGATAAGGAGACTGCAGTCAAGTTAGTGTGGGCCATATTGCATTACCATTAGTTTATTTTACATGGATCAAAGAACAAGAGATTTTTATGGAAGTGGTTAAAATAACTATTTGCTCGGAGTAAAGGTGATGATCACGTCCATAGGGTAGGTATCATATTTTAACGAATGAGGAAGAAAATGAATCAACAAGAACACTTACTGTGTTTCCTTTTTACATAAAGCCTATACTATATGATGATTAACTCTGTAGCTGTATAATACAACTTAATAATTAGAGGATTCTGTATATTTTGACCCTTTATCTAAATCTTTGATCTGTAAAGAGTGTTTTATTTTGTACAAGAGATACCCACATAATTCTGGATATCCATTCCCTTTTCATTATTTAACTCATCCCGGACGGTTGAGTCTTATGGCCTAGGCTATACCGGTAATGGGTGAAATTTTGTAAAATAAGAATAAGTGGCAAATTTGAACAAAAGCTATGTTGTAAAACAAGTTTAGCTTGAAAAGGGTGGTACCGGTATGCCATGTTCAAGGTCACAGAGCACTTTAAGTATTTTATTTATTTATTTTTTAATGAGAAATAGCAACTTATTATTGGAAATCCAAATGCAAGTTATGCAAAAAATTGGAATTTAATAAAATCATCCTTATCATGTCTCAACTTTGGAGGTTAGGTTTGAAAAGATCATGGCCATGCATCTAAGTTCTCCACTATGTCTTTGTAAATACTAAAATACTCATGTATATTCTGAGTTTGTATTAGTAAAAATTATATTCAACCGACAATATCTCAAGTAAGAGATGAAAAACAAAAAGTTTAGCTTAGCCTAGGACTGATGATAACGCTCCGGCGTAGAAACCTAGGTCTCCACAATAAATCAATTGGATCGTAAGGTAAGCCTTAGCCGATTACACGATGGATTTTACACAGTCAAACTGATGAAATGACTTATTATGAGCTAAAGCAACTGTTGTGACCCAGCAACTATGTCAGTAACGAAAAATAAGGTACAAAATAGAGTTTTAGACACTAGAGAAATCTGTGACTGGCTCACACAACTACATTCTTTTTTAGTAAAAAATTTGGTGACAGCTGATACAATACAATACAATACAATATTGTATTGTATCAGCTGTCACATAGATGGGATGTCTTCTTCTGTATCCAATAGTCAATGCTTTAATAACACTTAAAGTAGTGCTATAATGGCGCAAACCATTTACCCATCTCCAAAATTGGCGGACATATCTTATCCACTGGGGCTTCATCTAAAAACATACACAGTGGTGTAGTGGGGCGGGAATGTTCCCACTCTGCTTTTTCTAAAGAAGCAATATATCGGTAAGCAACCCTTATTTTTTGCGACAATCCTGAGTGTTCTCGCTTTAGAAAATGTACTAACACCACTGATTATGCAGATATCCGTTGGCCATCCAGGAAGCCCATGGTATAATCTGGACTAGGATTCCCCACTAGGCCAGATAAACGAGAGTTGGCTGTATTTGTTCTTATAACATGTAGAGAGCTACTTTAAAGTTAACTTTTATATTTAACTACAACTTTATTTATAATTGAAAGATAAGTTAATCCTAAATCGTTCCTTTCTCCATTTCAGCCGGTATGATCAAGCCGTGTACACACTGTCTAACATAGTCAGTCGGGACATGTATGTGTCCAACCCCATCAATGCATTCTCCTTGGTACGCAGACTCACGCAGGACTGGCCTCGTACATTGAGCCTCATCAATAATGGTACGTTTGCTAATCTTGAATACGATTTTAAGTTGTAAAATGGGGTAGAATAAGGCAGTAGCTAGTCAGGTTTGCCCTATTTTACAACTAAAAATCGTAAATACTTAAGCTATTTCTTATTCAATCTTTTTGATCTTGGTATCGTTTGATAGGGAATTAAAAGTGCTAAATAAAAGTGTGCTTGGCATTTTTTCATAAAATTAACCGTTTTTGAGTAATTTAAGTTTAAAAAATTAAAATGGCCGCCATTTTAAAATTTTAAGTTGAATCAAGATGATTTAACACAAAATTAAACAAAAAGGTTTGTGAAGCTACCAATACCTATATCGAAGTCTGGGAGGCCTTTGTGTGGTCCAGGGCTGTCCGAAGCAGGTCCAGGAGCGGCATCAACGTGGTGGATGGTAGCTGTCCATAGTGAACAGTAAAGGATGAGAGTTGTATGATTGATGTTTTAGCCTTATTCTTAAGTGGTGCCTTAACCAGAATATTTTATAATTCAAAGTCCACTGATCAAGGACTAGTTTTTTAACTATTTATTCAAAAGGGGGTAACTTTCTAAGGATTGAGTCAGCTGCATATGATTTTAAAAGGTACATTTGACTGAGAAAATGTATTTATATACTTGTAGCTTCATTTTATTTTTTTTTCTTACACTTAAAACTACTGGCAAGTCATACTGTAATGACACATACATGTGTGAATTGTAGGTTTTTATACTTCAGAAACATGTTGCAGAATTATTGAAAGACTTTAGCCTACCCAAAGAAGAAGACTTTGCAGGTGCAGTGAGAGCATTAACCAGACTGCAAGATGTGTATGATATCAGTGCTGAAACTCTGGCCCAAGGACACCTGCCTGGCACCCACAGAACTGCCCTGCTAACTGGTAAATTGCAATTGTGTCTGTACACCATTTGAGTCCAAACGCTGGTCTTATTACTGTGGGTTTGTTCTTTGTTACCATGGAAACCAATCAATATTTACTTTCAAAACTCTCACCTCAGAACTTTGAAAGCCTGCGGGGCAGAGTCCTAGGTCAATATCGAAGTGGAAATAGTTCTATATGTATCCTCGGAGCTGTAGCTTTATTTTTGTCCATTTTTAGCCCAGTCGGTTCAGTAGTTTTTTAGTTTATCTCATATAGACAGACAGACACCACTTCTTCTTAATAATAGTATAGATAGATAGATAGATTGATAAAGACCTTTTGCTATAGCAATTATTGATGAGCATTTATTGAATGAACAATGATGAATTGCATCTGGGTCTACAATCTCGCTTTGAATCAAGCCAACCACTCTTAGATTTGAATGCAAAGACTATAAACACTTAATGGCTCTTTTAGAAGTGAGAGCAGTCTATTTTCTACATACAGCAATTACAGATATTGTTTCCTTGTCTGGGATTGTTCCCTTTGGTACCACACACACTCTCTTCCAGGCAGTTGTTTATCTCCTCGCAGAAGTCACAGATTACCTTGTTGGGGTTAGGTGGATATTGAAATAAGTCCCTGCTCCGGGCCCATTTTAATGTTTTATGCCGATATAAGTAGCTGCGAAGACCTTAATTATTGTAAAAAAATGTCAAGGCTTAAGCTTTTTGATCTCATCCAGATGTTGGTCATTAGCATTTATTAAGGGTATGCACTTGCTCATTGCTAATAAGAGTGATAACCTTGTTACTGACTAAGATGTTTTTGTCCATAGCTGCAGACTGTGTATCTGTCGCTCAGTTCTACAGAGCCAGGATGGACTACACTCTAGCTACCGATTGGTTACTAGAGGCACTAGACAAGGTCTATGATGACAAGACTTGTTCACCAGCAGTTGTGTTGGAAAACATCTTCATCACAACTTGTTTTGAAGGTTCATATCCTATATATCAAAATGTGAAGGGTTTTTTTTGCAAAAATATTATAAATAAACCATTTGACAGATTTTCATGACTCATTTTGGCATGATTGTGAAAGACAGTACATCTATATTATTAAAAGAATTCGTTGGATTTTTGTGTGCAGGAAATCGACCCATAAATATTTATTTTTATGGGCAAATTGGGCATCAATGTAACCCTCCCAGTGTTACTTGACGAAAATTCGACAAGCAGCACACTTTGTGTAGTGTTACTTGTCGATTTTTCGACACGCAGACATCGTTTACGGCGAAGGCTCTATGACTGACTGAATCGGATTGAACTGGATCGAGTTAGGTATCGTTCTTTCCGTAATATTCTAAGCTTTCTCCAGAGGTCTGTCTCTAAGCGCTATTCATTTTAGTTCCAAAAATATTGTAGCAGACAGCTGACGTGCGTGTATTTGTAAACAGCTAGGTTCCCCCGGACCGATGACTGATGTGTTTTATTACGTTTATCATTGTTTTAGTATTAAAAATCAAAAGTAGTGATATACGTGGTGCATTATAAGAAGATTTAAGTGGTTTTGAAGTGCTGGTTGATGATCCTGAAGAAGTAGGTAGTGATATTGATGTAAATTATCAGCCAGATTCCTAGCTATGGTTAGGCTATGCATTCTTAGCTAAACGCTATGTACTGAAATCAGTTTTTTGCCCATAACTTATTTATTTGCAAATATACTTCCTTATATTATTATATATTTGTAATCCTCATAAAATTTAGAACAAAGTGGCTATTTTCAAATATTTATAGGCCTATAATTTATACAATTTCATTGAGCGCGAACTTATTTTTTTTTTTTGAAAATTTTCGAAATTATATTTTTTTTACCAAAAATTTTTTTTTTTTTTAAATGTTCCTTATGTTTTATATATAATATTGAAGCCCATGATTTTCCAAAGAAAATGGTATATAGAACATTAGAATTAACATTGTTTTAAGCTTCTCAGATCCGTTTTAATAAAACCTTGCAAATGCGCCAAAAATAGGTGGACATTAAGGCCTAAACTATGGACACTTGGAGGGTTAAAGCTCTTATCCTCTAGATGTGCCTTTTGCGGGTCTCGATGATATCCCATGAAAGACCTTTGACCTATAGGCTTAAAATTACATAGATTGTGCTGAATTCTGTTGTCAATCATATGAACTTTTTCAAGTTTACATTTGTTTACATCAAAACAGATGGCCATGATACAATTTTGTTTACATCCATACGGAAATGGGGTTATCTGTAGTTGGTGATGTTTCAGTGAATTCAAGTAAAATGTTATTTGTATAAAATGTAAAGAAGAAAATGACTTACGTTAGGAATCATGTTAAGGAATCACACGAACATGATTGCTTAGGGAAATAAAGATTTACAAATAAATCAACCCAATGATTAAAATGAACTAGGCCTAGAGGTAGTCCAGTGGTTGAAAACACGACCAAAAATATGTAGGCCTACAGTTGGATTTTTTTAGCTAGAATTGGTTGAGATGTTGGAATATCTTTGAGGATGAACCTTTTTGGCTGTAGTGAGTGTGATCATGTGTTAAATGTTCACATGTCAATTTTTGAGGTTAAATCCAATCAAACAAACTGGCTTGTTGTCAATTAGGAACAATGTTGTATTACTTACGAAAGACTGTTTATAGAGATCAAATAAATTAATTTAGTATATTATGTCATTGTCTGATTTATTAGAAAACATTCAGTATTTAGGCTACTGCATTTTATGAACCAAACTCGAATCATGCCTTTCATTCCTTGGTCTATCGTATAACGTTTTCCTGTTTGGTACTTGGTAAACTTACCAGATTGCATAAGTGAATTATTAGCGATACAATTTAGCTGTTAATTTTAATTTAAATGGGTCAAAACTCAAAACGTTAGTCTATAAAGGTTTATCTTGTCATCTCGAGAGTATATAATTCTGAACCCTAACTTGAAACTTAAAGGTGGGTCTATTTTCAAACGAAACGTATATCATCATTATGCCCCAACAGTTTATCATGTGTATCCCAGTCACAGCAACTACATTATTATATTAAAATAATGATCGACATTAATTTTTGCATGAAGATTCAAAATTTTAATATTCGCTTACATTAAATAAATTATTTTCAAAGCAACCATTACTTAATTTGAAGACAATAATTAAATAACAATTTATTAATTAGTTGATATGGAATTAGGAATCATGTCTCTATTTCACAGTAAATATTCTCTTATGACCAAGTGATTTTATAAGTAGAGTAAGTATATTTAACTATTGTCAATTAAAATAATATATTATGCCAGTTTGTTTGTTTTGATTTAACCTCAAAATTTGACACCATGAACACAATGATCACACTAAAACGGTTCATCTTCAAAGATATTCCACCACAGCTTAATCGTTTCTAGCTAAAAAAAATCCAATTGCACTGTACAGACTTCTCTACTTTTCACTCCGCACTGTAAATAAAACATATGATTGGAATTTTGTACATTTGTTTTGATTTTCTGTTTATATTTCGTTGTTATTTCGTCACCAGAATGGCAACCCATAAAGCCCATGTTAATATTTTTTTAAATTTCAAATTCATTTTTTGTGCTTATTTTTGAGCCAATTTTAATTTTTAATGGTATTCTGCACATCTACAGGAAAATGTCTTTCTAACAGTATGAGTAGATTTTCCCTGCGATGCACATGAGCTGAGAAAAAAGGTTTAAAAAAAACATGCTTGGCTATTAATATATAGAAGATAATTTACAAATAATTTGGTTAAAACAGGTGACCACGAACTATCTTCATTCTACCTCAACAAGCTGCTAGATCAATATCCCTCTCACCTTCCTCCCACCAGTCACTTGAAGGACTACAACCTGGCTCTCTCAGGGAAGTGTGGTGAGATTACAGAAGCGAGAAAGAAGATCAAAGTAAAAGTATGATGGTTTGTGATATTTGTGTGTAAGGCCACTACCTCTGAAATTTTGTTAAAAGAATAATATTTAATGTATTCAATATTCATTCAAACATCTTTATTCATTTAAATATATATGGTACGATGAACAGTGTGACTAACATAAGGAATGAATACAATAAATAACATAAAGGGTAAAAACAAAAAAAAAAACAGAACATGAAAAAATCATAACATTGACATTTCTTTTCTAAATTACTTAAATTATTTGAGGGAGGTGTAGAACTACTCAATGGAATAGATTTCTAGGTTCAATAGATAGGCCTACTCTTTTAATAATTTGCCAAACGTTGTAAGATTTGTTTATTTTGCCATTATATGTTTCAGTGATTGAAACTCTTTTTAAATTGATCGACACATTTACCTAAAAATTGTGAAGCATGAAACATTTCTAAGATGTCAAATATAATTTTCCAGTATTTTAGAGTTCATTGCTTGGTTTTTCCAGAGCATACCGGAGATGCCAGAGGAGGGGATAGATGAGTACAACTCCATGTGTAGAGCACACGTGAGTTCTCCAGCTTCTCATCTGAGATGTCACCTGGTTCACTACCACCGCCCACACCTGCGTCTACAGCCATTCAAACTGGAGGAACTGCACCTAGACCCTCCAGTAGTCATGTTTCATCAGGTCATCTCAAATGAAGAGATCAAATACCTCCAGCACACGGCTTATCCTCTGGTAAATACTGTCATGTACCACCCTAGCAGGTCTGACAATTGTTTCACCATCATTAGTACGTAACTGTTTGTGTAAATGGTTTGTTACCGAACAGCTTTAAAATGGCAAAAATGTCGTTTTTTTCTAACAAAGTTTCACAAAACATCACACTTGCCATTTAAATGTTTGTGAAATCACACTGGTATTTGATTTCATTTTTATGCTCGCTTCGGATGTAAATAGCTGTGTAAAAGATGATACAAACTGCTTACTGTCAACTGTAATTGATAATTTATTGGCTCCACATACATGTTTGAGACAATTCCATCGGCGGGTGGATGTAGCAGTAGCACACTAAACTATTATATAGTTATAGTTACAGTTATATAGTTAGTGTAGTTATGTCTATTTACTGTTTAACTTATGATTGATTATTCTGCATGAAATGATTGTCTGTTCAGTAGATGAAGCCAGCCAAGGTGCGGATGTCTGATGGTAATCACAGTGTTGCCAACTACCGCACCAGTCACATCGCATGGATAGACGATTCAGACCCTATCAGCGCCAGGCTATCTAGAAGAGTGGCAACACTGACCAACCTGCACGTGTCGTCTGCAGAGATGAACCAAGTGAACAACTACGGACTGGCAGGCGAGTACGCAACCCATCTGGACGCTGTTGAAGGGGTTGGTATTTCTTGTCTTTAATGCATACCAGGCGGGCGCGTATCTACTGTATTCAATTATAAACAATAACAATATTGACAAGGATAATATTGACATAAATAAAAAATGTCCATGTATGGGGTACAAGTTGATGCCCAAACATGAATTGGGTTGTGGACGGAAGGAAAAGTTGAGGTAACCCAGTGTTCAACCAGGAAAGATCAGTGAAGAATATTTTGAAAGAATACAAATTTGATGCAAACCTATGAAAAATAAAGATATAATGAGACAATTTCCACTTTTCTTTGCCACTCTCTCATTATAATGCATTCTTTAGAATTCCTCTTAATCATTGATAGTTTTACCATAGATAAACATACTCCCTTAGTAGTTTTCCCATCCTTATGGAACAGCTGAAGCTAATTTTACTGTTAGTCCTGTCCGTGTACTGTAGAGTCGTGTTTTGTTTACAATTCGTTTCTTGCTATTTGAGTAATCTAAAACCTCGTTTAACCAAATCAAACTATCTAATTATAAACAATAACTTGTCCACTAGCTATATAACCAAACAGTGAGGCACAAATCATGAGAAACTAACCCTAAAATAATAGAAACAAATTGTAAACAAAACACGACTCTACAGTACACCGGACAGAGCTAACAATAAAATTGGCTTCAGCTGTTCCAAAAGGATAGGGAATCTACCAAGGGAGTATGTTTTTATCTAAGGTTTTACTAATTTTCTTTAAAATTAAATCCAATCAGATGTAAATTGTTAAGTTTAAATTTCAATGTAAAATACATCTTATTTATTTATTTATCTATATCTACAAAAGAGGAAGCATGTATGTATCGACAGATTGTAATGAAACTTACTTTCAGGCAATATTAAGCATTATTCAGGATGGTTTGTGTGAAGTTTGGTTCAGATCCGTCAAAAGGGCTCCGCCCTAGAAGGTTTTAAGGGGTTCAATGTCAGACTTTTGTAACTAAAATGTCTACAAATAAATATATGCCTAATTTAAAAGCAGATCTTTACTTTCACCAACTGTTTTGTAGGTTTGAATCATCACAACATTCTGTATTAGTCGATTTGAAATAGTGCCACACTGTTTCCACAGAATGCAGCACAGAAAACTATTTTACTTTTGGATAAGTCCAAATACATTAAACCCCAATCGCAGCATACATGTGTACTCAACAACGCTTAAATTCTCCAATATTAAATATGTACCTATATGTGAACTTAAAAAGTAAAAACCTTTTTCAAAGAATTATAAACAATAAAAGGGATGGCAATGCCTCATAAATTTTATCTTTTGTTCCATACCTACACAATCTAACATAAATTATTAAGTGAATAATAATCGTGCGTGCTATCTCAGATATTAAAATGCCTCCCATTTTTTTCATTAACCCACCAGATTATTGTCATTAAAAGAAGGAACTCTAATAATACTAATGCCAAACTTAAATTCACCCAAGCTGTGCAACGGAACCAGACTGACGATAAAAAAAGACACCAAACTTGATCGAAGCAACAATTATCAGTGGTAAGTTTCAAGGAGAAATATTCTTAATCCGAAGAATACCGATGATTTCATGCGAATTACCCTTGAAATTAAAGCGACTACAATTTCGTTTGTGTCTTGCTTTTGCAATCATTATTATAAGGCATAAGTGCAATCCCTGACCATCGCTGGTTTAAATTTAGAAAATGCATGCTTATCACACAGACTGCTGTATGTTGTGTGCTCACGTGGTGGTAGGTACGCCTAAAAAGTAAAAACTTATATATTTATACAGTTAATGAAAAAGCAAAAACATTGTTTATCCACTGGCAATTAAGTAAAATAAATATTCTATTTTTGTTTTGGTATACATTTTTAGTATCTATCGTAAAGAACAAATTACAATTAGAAATAATAGTTGTTAGCTCAGCAACGCGCGCCAGGTAACTGCTAGTTTTATATACTTGACTCTCTCGTGATGTTAAAAACGATGTTAAGAAAGTGAAGAAATGATGTTAAGAAAGTGGTAAAGAATCCAAACTTCTAAAGATAAACAATTGCAATAAACAATTATTTTTCTAACTTGAAAACCACAATATGCTTTTTTCTTGTAATAATTTAATCAATATTTTAGGTAAACTTAACTCAAGGAGATCCTGATGGCAACAGACTCGCTACTTTCATGATTTATGTAAGTACTGCTTACAAATATTACATTTACAATAGAAAATTAGTAGTAACTGACCCTGTTTTGGGATAGCAATGGTTAAGAAAATTATAATTTGTTTTAGAGTCCCCTCTGATAGCCTGGAGTATCAGGCTACATACAATCGCCCACCTCCTCTAAAAGGTTGAGTCCCAAAAAACCCCTTGATCTCCAAAAAGTACTCTAAAGATTACCTATGTATGACTGCCATTAAAAAATACCAAAATATTTCCGAAAAATAATGTACCATTCATTTGAATGTTAACATGTCAACCATCACTCTGGAAAACGGCTGTTACTTAAACAACATTTGTTGTTAATTGAATTTAGTTGTGATTTCTCTTCTGACACCATGTGACTAGTCTGGCTGAATTTTTATTTCAGGATTAGTGTTGCCTACAGTATTATTTTGAGGCTTCTGATTGGCTGAGGGAACATCTTTACCGCAACGATACGGATGATGTCAACGGCCTCGGTGGTGCAGTGGATAGAGTGTTGGGCTTATGATCCGAAGGTCCCGGGTTCGAATCCCACCCGTAGCACTATTTTTTTATTGGATTTTTTTCATTATCAACAAGTTTGGTTGGTTTGGTTAGGTTATGACGGTTTAATTTTAAAATTAAAACATTATGAAATTGAATTTGACCCATTTATAGTTTTATTTTATGAACAGAAATATTTTTTTCGGTTAAACCTTCATTTGACTTTTCATTGTTAGCAAGTCTGGTTAGTTTGGTTAGGTTATGATAGTTAAATTTTATAATAAAAAAATTATAAAATAGGATTTGAGGCATTTATAATTTTATTTTATGAACAGAACTATTTTTTCGATTAATAAACCTTCATTAGATTTTTTCATTGTCAGCACGTTTGGTTGGTTTGGTTAGGTTATGACGGTTTAATTTCATAATAAAAAAATATAAAATTGAATTTGAGGCATTTATAATTTTATTCTATGATCAAAAATAATTTCTCAATTACTAAACCTTCGTTATAGTCAATCAGAAGCCTCTAAATGACACTGTTGGCAAAATTAATCCTGAAAAACAAATTGTGCAGACTGAGTAGATATCTAAAACCAGCTACCTTGCAGGTGTATCACTAAACTTGTATCCCATGTATACCCATTATTTAGCAAATATCAACATGACGTAAAAATAAAGTAAATAAAAACATAAAAGTGATGTCCTGAAAAAATGTTTGACGTCAAATTGAGTGAACTTCTTTCATTAGGTTGACATCAAATTGACATAATTTTGACACAATTTGATGACAATATGATGTAAAAGATATCATTGATATTGATTTTTTTACCAGTTTTACATACTTCCTTGCTATGTGGGATAGATGAGCGATGTCATTTGGGGAGGTCACACAGTGTTCCTAGACCTTGACCTGTCTGTGAGGCCAGTCAAGGGCTCAGCACTGTTCTGGTATAATCTGCATCAGGATGGCTCTGTAGACTATAGGATGAGACATGCCAGTTGTCCTGTAATTGTGGGGAATAAGTGGGGTGAGTTGTACAAATATTTATGTAGGGTTTCTTATTAATTGAGGAAATTCTAAACCTAAGGATAAAATATTATGAAGGTTCTCTGTAAATTTAGGCCTCTATTTAGCTCCGATACAGTCAAGTTTAATTTCTGAGGTGTTGCTTTCCGGATTACTTAACAACCACTAATCTAGAGGTAAATAATTTAATTTAATTTATATAACTTTAATTGATTTTTATGTAATTTTAATAACTTAATTTCTGGGGTAAATACCTTGTCAATATAATCCATGGTAGTCTTAATAGCTACCGGTTTTGACACACGTACGGTGTCATTGTCAAGCCTAGATGTGGTTGTCTCTCCTAGGAGGTTGCCAGAAAGTCTTTAAAACTCATAAAGAAGAACGAGACGAATAAATAATGAACATGGACACATACAAACATTTCTACAAACGCATAATACTGTATGCCCACTCGGTAGCGACAGGCATTAGAGATAAGATCGCTGACAACAACACCTTGGTCTGCAAAGCCGATAAAGGCAACTCAATAATAATTCTTCCGAAATTTGACTACATAAGGAAAGTACATGCTTTTTTTTGAAACTATTGACAATGGAAAATTGAGTAGCGATCCAAAAAGTTATTACAGTAACAAAAAATATTCCAAAGAAATAAACAAACAAATTAATTCTAGTACAACGCTCCTATCAAAATCTGAGATCTTCGCTCTTAAGGTATTTAACCCTCCGAGTGTTATGTGTCGTAAAAGCGACTCATAACACATCCGCTGTAGTGTTATGTGTCGCTTTTGCGACTCACAAACACTGTTTACGGCGACGGCTCTGGGACTGACTGAATCGGATTGAACTGGATCGAGTTAGGTATCGTTTTTTTCAGCAGATTCAAAGCTTTCTCCTGACGTCTGTTTCTATATGCTTTTCATTTTAGTTCCGAAAATATTGTAGCAGACAGCTGACGTGCGTATTTGTAAACAGCTTGGTTAACCTCGCACCGATGACTGATGTGTTTTATAACGTTTATCATTGTTTTAGTGTTAAAAATCAAAAGTAGTGATATACGTGGTGCATTATAAGAAGATTTAAGTGATTTTGAAGGGCTAGTTGATGATCCTGAAGAAGTAGGTAGTGATATTGATGTAAATTATCAGCCAGATTCCTAGCTATGGTTAGGCTATGCATTCTTAGCTAAACGCTATGTACCGAAATCTGTTTTTTGCCTATAACTTATTTATTTCCAAACCTACTTCCTTATGTTATTATTTTTTTGGAATCCTCATAAAATTCTGAACAAAGTGGCTATTTTAAAATATTTGTAGACCTATAAATTATAACAATTTATTGACTGCAAACATAATTCTTTTTAATTTATTTTATAATTTTTGAGAAATGTTAACCCCACAAAAATTGTTGAACATTTTTTTTGTAATGTTTTATATGTTACATTGAAGCCCATAATTTTCCAAACAAAATGATATATAAAACAGTATACTTTACATTGTTTTTAAGTTTCTAAGATACATTTTAATAAAACCCTGCGATTGCGCAATAAATGGGCGAACATTAAGACTAAAACTAGAGACACTTGGAGGGTTGAGCTCCTATTTTCAGAGGCCTGCCTAAAATCCATAAACCTGACAATCCCATCAGACCATTGGTAAATTTTATTCCATCAGCTTCCTATAATATTGCAAAAAAGCTAGACAACATAATAAGGAGAGAAATTAAAATAGAAAATAGTTCTAGTTTAAAAAACAGTATTGACTTAAAAAATTAGCAACATAAATAATGTAAGACTGGAAGATAAATACATCCTAGCATCACTTGACGTAGTAAATTTGTATACTAATGTGTCAATAAATGAAACAATTGCTATTGCATTGAAAAACTCCTCATTAAGTAAGGTATTAAGGTAAGGAGTAGTTGACGAGCTAATAAAACTCACTAAAATAGTTCTAAGACAAAATTACTTTCAATTAATTGGAAGACAAAATATTTTTACAAAAACTAAAACAAAAAAACTAGCTATGGGATTACTCTTTTATAGTATTTTTGCAGAAATATACTTGAACAACTTGGAGAACAAATATCTGTAGTCTTATAGTAACTGTCTGAAAGACAAGATAATATTTTATCATCGTTAAGTGAACAACACCATTGTCCTTTTTAATGGACTAAAAGACAGTTGGGAATGTAATGCACTGTCCTAAACAATATACACAGGAATATTAAGTTTACACTTGAGATCAAAAACATTTTCTGGACCTAAATATTTTAAAATTCTCTGATGAAAACAAACTAAAATTCAAAATTTACTCAAAACCTACTACCACTAACCAGACAATACATAATACCTCACACCATCCTCAAAATTAGAAATTAGTCGCTTACCACAGTTATGTCAATAGATTATTATTAATTCTATTGTGAAGAAGATTACTAGGAGGAGGTAAACACACTAAAATACATTGTGGAGTCCAATAGGTACAATAGCAATATCATAGATAAACTCATTAAGAAACACAAAGATAAAATATCCACACTAGCGAGAGAGCAAACAAACTCAAATCTCTTATATTAATACGTGAGGGCTGTTTTTTGCGAACAAAACTCCTCCTTTATTTCTGGACCGATTTTAATGTTTGAGGTGTCAAATAATTTGTCTCAATTCGTAGTTTTGCATAAAGGTTTTAGAATTTTAAAACTCTTACCCTTAAGGGCACGAGACGCTCTCAAAGGCTGCATTTTCCCCCATAAGAATTACATTGAAAACAAATTTAAAAACAAAAATACCCCCGCCGCAGCAAACTTGCAGACTTAGCGAATTTCCATTTGCCTGATTGGATTTACACTAAAATGTCTCCTTAAAAATATCACATTTGTTCCCTATTTAAACAGAATTAGTTTAACGAGTACTTAGGTTTGCTGCAACAGGGAGGGTAAAAAAGCTTTTTTAAATGTAAAATGTTAAAAGGTAGGCTACTGTAGTTTAGTAAGAAATTAATGTATTTTCCAAATTTTATCAAAATATGTTCATAAACAAGCAAACTACAGTTGACTTATTCTCCATAAGAATAACATGGGAATTTTAAAATTACAATTTTTTTTTTAATTTTATCCGTAACAATAAGGCGCATAATAACGCTTCAATATACTAAATTATTTGTTTTTTTAAGCTCTACAAAATGGTTTAGAAAGAAACTGTGAAATTTTGTGTTTTTAGGGTCAAAAATGGGAAAAACCTATTTTTACCCCATAAAACCCCCCATAAACCCCCGTTCCCATAGTCCGATCATGCTGGTTCGCGAACTCATTCAAGTTTATCCCGCCTTACACCTTCAAACCAAATTTTATCAAAATCGGACAAAAATTACTCAAGTTATCGTGCGGATGGACACACACACATATATATATATATATATACTAGCTGACCCGGCGAACTTCGTATCGCCAAGATGATCTCGTTCGCATCGCTCAATCACGTCCTGGTTGAAGTTCGTTCGCTACGCTCACTCACCTTTGGGTTGGAGCTCGTTCGCTACGCTAACTCGCCTCAAGGTTAGCTCGTTCGCTACGCTCACTCGCCTCCAGGTTGAAGTTCGTTCGCTACGCTCACTCACCTTTTGGTTGCAAATTAGCTGTTGTCATAAATGTAAAAGAAATAATAGTGCTGCACCCTGTTGGTAATCCTTGTAACTTTAATGCTATTGAACATCATAGAACAGAACCAACTTGTTTAATTGAAACAGCTGTTAAGATTCATTAATTCCATTTCTCATAAGGTTAACATGGGAAACTCCAGAGCCACTGGGGCGGAGCCCTTTTAAGAATTTCGAAACGGGAAATAGTTTACGTCCGATTCGCATACCTACAGAATTTACACACCAAATTTCATTACGATCGGTGAAGTCGTTCCGGAGGAGTTTGCAGACAAACACTGTGACACGAGAATTTTATATATTAGATATACTAGCTGACCCGGCGAACTTCGTATCCCCTAAGTTATAGGTTTCCCCTAAGACAGACCGATGGAAAGAAAGTACCGTTACGTTTAATTTTCAAGATGATCTCGTTCGCATCGCTCAATCACGTCCTGGTTGAAGTTTGTTCGCTACGCTCACTCACCTTTGGGTTGGAGCTCTTTCGCTACGCTCACTCACCTTTAGGTTGGAGCTCGTTCGCTGCGCTCACTTGCCTTCAGGTTAGCTCGTTCACTACGCTCACTCGCCTCCAGGTTGAAGTTCGTTCGCTACGCTCACTCACCTTTTGGTTGGAAATTAGCTGTTGTCATAAATGTAAAAGAAATAATAGTGCTGCACCCTGTTGGTAATCCTTGTAACTTTAATGCTATTGAACATCATAGAACAGAACCAACTTGTTTAATTGAAACAGCTGTTAAGATTCATTAATTCCATTTCTCATAAGGTTAACATGGGAAACTCCAGAGCCACTGGGGCGGAGCCCTTTTAAGAATTTCGAAACGGGAAATAGTTTACGTCCGATTCGCATACCTACAGAATTTACACACCAAATTTCATAACGATCGGTGAAGTCGTTCCGGAGGAGTTTGCAGACAAACACTGTGACACGAGAATTTTATATATTAGATATATATCTATATATAGATATATACAAATTTGAACGAATGGTGTTTTTGGCCTCTGGGGACATCAAAATGAAAAAGTAAATCGGTCCCGGGCCTAGGTCTTACCATGAGACCTACGGTAATAGCTACTTCCCTATAGGGAAATTCGCAAATATTCAATGCGGGTACATTACATATTTTCGGTCGAGTTTTCAACCACTGGACGACCACTAGTTTTTATAAAAAGAGAGGTTGTTTCCTAAATACAATTGAAGAATAAAGAGTATGAGATTTTAAAGGCTGGCAAGAAATCCCCCAACATGTTCCCAATGAAAAAAAACTTTATTTATAAAGCTGCCTCAAAAATCAAAATCAGAATACAATGGAACTGATAACAATGCGAGGGGTAGGAGGGGAGGAGAAGGACAGGCAATGGCAGGAGGCTCTTACATCCAAGGGAGCTTCTTCAGAAGGATGTAGTATATATAATATCATTCAAATTACTTGTTTTGTGTGCTGCCAACCGTGTTTGTAACTCTTTTATTGAATAAGTTAGATGTGCATTTTTTCCTTATTCATTATGTTTCCATCATAAATAATACTGAAATAATTGTTTTGACCCCAGTTAATTTATCAACGTTGAAGATTGCTTCTTACAAACAGTTATGACATTTTATGTTTCCATTTTACCCTAAAAAGGTAACATCTTTTGAAGCTGCAAACTGCATCTTTTTGTGCCCTACGGTTGTTAGGCTGTTAATTATTCATCCTTACCTAACAATAATTGTTTAATCCACAAGTAATCTTAAAGTTGCCAACAAAACTAAAATTGGTGTAAGTTAATAGTTTTGTCTTCACTTGTCAACATTTTTTAATGTTCTAAAAGCATCCTTTATGTTCTTAGTGATAAATTCCTTTTAGAAATAAAGTTATGTCTGCCTTAAGCTAGATAATGAAGTATAAGGAGATTACCAATCTTATTATTGTTTAATTGGTCTTTTTCCGCAATTCCAACAACTTAACTGTTTATGTTTCAGTTCTCAACAAGTGGTTGCATGAGAAAGGTCAGGACCTCAATGATTACCCTCCTTGTAAGCTCCGCAGGGAAGACAGCTGGAGCAACTTTTATCTCTAATTTGGATAATCTATTGTGGCTACTCATCTTACCAGAAACCCTGAACAAATTTTTAAACAGTTAAAATATTAATACAAACCATATAGCATATCTATTAGGAATTTGTAAACCCAAACAAAAATAGGACACCAAATCCTCTTACCTCAATAGAATACAGTTCCTTATATATTTTCTTAGTGTATTTACCAGGTTTTTGTTCTCATTAAAACATTAGATAGGTATTTAATGAACATCAGTTTTAAGAAAAGTAAGATTGTAAGTTGTGTTTATGATATTGGTGCAAACAACTATAGGTCTAATCTAAATTTGTTTAGTGTCAGAGGCAATTTTATATTTTTTTTACTATTGGCAGGAACAAAAATACATTATCCTTTATTTTATTTACATTTAAACAGAAAGAAAACAAGAAATATTTTCTAATTATGTTTTTCTATGCTTCTCTTTCTTAGTACCACTATAGTTCAATGAGATAAATGTTAATTAAATATAATTATAAAATGTTAAATATCAATGAGATAGATATACCCATACTGTATCTATCTATATCTATATCTATCTATATTATTAATACGCTACATTAAACTTTGTGAGCAATAAGGCTTTTTTGTTTTAAGATTTAACCCCAAATATATACCGAAATGTTCGTCTACGTGTGTATATTTGCAAACTGACCTTACATTTTTGAAAAAGACCCTTGGGCTCTGCCCCAGTGGCTTTTAAAGATCCCATGTTATCCTTATGAAGAACATATTTGTTTACATTATGATCAGCTGGATACTTTAATTGCTGTTAATATTTTAGTTGCTATTTAAGGAAACATGTGCTACAATCCTAGGGCCGGAAATGAGGTTTTGCCGGCTTGAGATAGTTTTTAAAGTTCGAGAGAAAAGTCGAGAACTTAAAACGATCGAGAGCTGCAAAACCATTTCGGTCCGTGGTACAATTGGTACAAACGCTATTTTTACACCACACTATATCCTATTACCACTATTCACCACAAAATAATAATGCACACTGATAGTCAACACAACTACAACTTTAAGAAGAAATAGTTTGAGGAATCAGCAAAAATAATAATAAATAGTTGTTAGGCAGCGGTAACAATAAAACAATTCTATTGCAATGCTATGGACACTGACAGTGTATTGAATATGCATTAATGTTTTAAGTAAGCGGGCAGATGATTTTGCGGCCCTAGGATTTAAAAAACTGCTCAGTCCCCAAATGACGGTGACAGCTGGCATGGACGAAACTTTCAGCCACCAATTAATGTATGTAAAACAGCTAAAAACATTATAGTGTGGCGAAAAGAATATTTAACATATTTCTAGATTAAATAGTACCTTTGACAATGATAGTAAAAAGATATGTGTACATCTATGAAAACAGAACAAAAATTATTCTATAACCACTTATTGTACACTGTACAATTTTACCTGGGCAAAGTCGGGTTTTGCTGCTAGTATATATACAGTATATATATATATAAACTAAAACGATAGTATTTATTAAAAGATTGTTGTTGCAGTAGTTATAAATAATGGATCTAATTCACTTACAGTTAGCGTAATACACTCAAGAGGAAATATTGATGTCAGAGCCAATATTGATGAGTGTAAGTGTCTGCATTTCCAATCCAACCAACTACTCGTTGCTGCTCTTTGGTCATCTTATGAACCATATGGAGCCACTTGCCAGACAAATTTAGATAAGATACTTGTTTTACAGTGAAAAAAAATAAGAATAATTTTAAATCTATATTATAATGACACTAAAGCAACACTTTGTCAATTTGAAACTATTAACTGTGTTTAGTTTTCTATGTACTAGAATGTATTGTACATTTAAAAAATAATCAGGATAAATTTAAATTACATTGTGAAACATTAATACAACACTATAGTTCGGCCGCTTAGAAAGCGACCTCCTCTAGCATTGGTTAAGCATTAGCACGCAGGTCGCTTTCTAAGCGGCCGAACTATAGAAACAAAAATAATATAGTTCTACCGAAACACAACCTAAAAATGTATAAAAATAGCCCTCATATGCCAGTGTAAAGTTTTTAAAGATAATTGAGCGGAGCGAGCGAAGCGAGCGAAGCTCTTTGGGATCAACTTCAATACTAACAATATAACACCATCACTCAATAACGGCTGAACACATTTCAGCCAAACTTAACAAGACTACTTAGACTAATAATGAGATGGTTTGTAAACAAACAAATTTCAATTAGATAATGCTAATGCAATTTAAAACGAACTTAAAATTTCAAAATTTTTAACATTAGGCTTATGGGACTAAAGTAGCTATGACAGTTTTTTTGTTTACAAGAAAAATGTAAACAAGAGAATCATAAGGTATTTCTAAACTTTCTATACTTTTATTTTTAACGTTTTTAAAACATTCCTATGATTTTAATAAACAAGAAAATGCCGTTAAAACATTTTTTAAGGCGCGGAATTCACTGAAAATCGAGAAAATATACGGAACTACTTTCTCAATGCGCGTAGCATAAACAAGGAGCGGAGGGATACGGACCGGTGACTACTTTCTTGGGAACCTATTTGTGTTGCCAGCTGATTAGAAGCAGCCAATGTTAGAAATCAGGATTTAATAAGCGATATATCGAACCGCATCGAAATCGGTATTTAATCCGATAATACCTCATAGGTTATATTATGTTGAATTACATCGACGGTACAGTAAGTTATTACACTTATTGATAAAACGCAGATTGAAAACTGATCTAATTTAGGCATGTGGGGAGGTAGGTCGGCGTTTATGAGTATTCGTGACTACATTAAGTGTTTTGAAGTAAGGTTAGATTATAGGAAGGTAAAGTGTAGGTTATAGGTAGGTGATCGGGTTGTTTATTTTTGTTGCACCATATAATTTTTATCTTTTGGAATGGAATAGTTGGTTAAGGTTAAACGGGGAAACAATGTCAAAAATGCTTTCATATGGTCTTAACTTAACAAACCATCTACAGTATTCTAGCTTTGACTTTTTATAAAGTCAATGATTCTAGCAAATTATTACATACTGACCAAAAGAAAAGAGAACATTTGGATTTGGACCTTTGACCATAGCAAAACTAACATATAATTTATGGAATGTGAAAAGTTGTATATCATTATATACTATTCTGTAATATTAATAATTGTTTGGCAGATCCTCATTTTAATGGCTCGGCTGAAAATGGAATCTGCATTTTGTGAAACAGTAATTTGGTAACAATTCAGTCATTTCAAACGTTGATAACAGTAGCCTATCCTATATAAATACTGTTATTTGATTGCCAAGCCACGGCAATACGTCCAGTTACAACCGTAATAAGTAAACCTGGGCTTATAGAAGTACACTTTTAACCACAGTATGGATAATTGTCTAGGCCTGTCCAGAAGTAGGCTACTAATTTCTAATTATATTATCTACATTGTATATTTAAGGCATGTCTTCCCTACTTATTATATTATTCTGTTTTCACTTAAATCAGCTGAATGCGATGTTTACTTATTACTTATGTTTATGCCTACATTTCAGCCATCTTATTTTATTGTTCAACTAGCTGTGTACCCGTTCTACGCACGGGGATCTTATAATATTCAGTTGAAACCTTCTTATATAAAGAACAGCAGTTGGTTTGCATATTTTAAGATATGCTGGCCAAACTATTATACATAGCTTCATTTTATGTTCTTTTTTGTTGTTCCGGATCGGTATGACAATCAATAAAAGGTTAAATTACCTCTGTGTCTGCCGGTCGATCCTATAACGGTAGGCTTACTTTTATTTTTACTATCTGATCTCGTTTGCATGGCTCAATCACGTCCTGGTTGAAGTTCGTTCGCTACGCTCACTCACCTGTATGTTGGAGCTCGTTCGCTGCGCTCACTTTCCTTCAGGTTAGCTCGTTCGCTACGCTCACTTGCCTTCAGGTTAGCTCGTTCGCTACGCTCACTCGCCTCCAGGTTGCAAATTAGCTGTTGTCATAAATGTAAAAGAAATAATAGTGCTAGTGCTGCACCCTGTTGCTAATCCTTGTAACTTTAATGCTATTGAACATCACAGAACAGAACCAACTTGTTTAATTGAAACAGCTGTTAAGATTCAATAATTTCATTTCTCATAAGGTTAACATGGGCTTCCAGAAATTCCACGTCAAAAATCGACAAAAACTTGATTTTCAAGGGTTTACTGTTAAATATCTAACTGTCTCATATTCGATGAAATACGTCTAAAACCATCTCATATATGTATAGTATTTGGAAAATAAGTTTCAGGCGGGACAGTGCTATAGTTATTGAGGAGTAGTTGTAATAAAGTGCGTATTTTAGCGTTACCAAGAGAATGACAGATAGACAGACAGACAGACAGACAGACAGACAGACAGAAATTGAGATAAGGTTTGATTCGGTTTCTCTGACCTATGAAATGTAAAAATAACCAAAAAGTTCATTATTCTAAGCAATGTACAGACAAAACTCTAATTTTATTTATATAGATAAGTAAGTCTTTTTGCAGTTTTTACGTTTTTACACATTGAAATACATGACTGATAATTCAGTTTATTTTAGTCTTTTAAAGGCGTTTTACATTTGAGTCTTAAATTAAAATAGCCCTACATTTTTCTAGGCCTATGTTTTATCTTTGACTATCAATACAACTAGACATTCCATCCCCATGTTGAATTTGTAGCCAGCATTTTCATCAAAATCTACTGTATTCAATGTTCAATGGTATTATTAAGGCCAGTATTAAAATCTAATAATGGCAGAAGACCTACATTCCAGTTACATTACAATCATATCCTCCATCAAGAATACTTGGTACTAACAATCATAAATTATTTCCAGCAAAGAAAGCTGAGTTTAACCGATGTTTATGCTGCACAGTTGAATTTAAATGTCACATTTCCTCTCCTGTTGTTATACAAGACTCGTTTTTTAATAGGTACTGTTTTTTTATACTTAAATACTTTAACCAATTGTAAGGGTGAAAAATGAAGTCCAATGTTTTAGTTGTAGGCTACAGTTGAATTTGAATGTTAAATTTCCTTTCTCTTTTTTATACTTTAATGCCCTTTTTGGATGTTAATATCAGATTCCAGCTACTGTAATATTTTCCTGGTCAAAACTACCATAATGCACTTCTCGACAGTTCTCGAAGAGGTAAATTTGAATTATTATAATTTAAATCTTTAAAACCAGCATTAGTAAATAAACCTATTGACCTTTTTACATTTAGTTACTTATACAAATATCAAATCACGTTTGTTCCGCTCAACTGGCTTTCACCTCTCTGAAAGCAACCCTAGTACTATTGACTATACAAAGAACTATGTGTGTAGTCAATAATGATACCAAATGAAATAAAATAATAAAAGATATTAAAAATAAAAAAAGTTTAGGCAAAAACTTGAATTTTTCATACGAAACCCCATCTACTCTAGAGATTAACTGTTTATGACCATATACAGCTATAGATAGTTTTATTTTCTGTATTTTTGTTTAGTTTAAGTATTTGTTCACAGTAATTACTGTATAAGCTTGACACTATTTACTGTACATTTTGTACATGTTTTAAATAAAGTTAATATGAATTTGAATATTGGGGTCAGAATTATCAAATTTGAAGGCATGAATACAAGAGTAGATACTTACATGGAGAAAATTTCAGTTGAGACACCAGGGGGCTTAGGACGATGGGGGGTATGGTATGGGCATACCCCCCAGGTAGAGGGGGGCCCGGTAAAAATTTTAAAATTTATATGTCCATAGAAAGAGTTTTTGAAACACCTGGTTAAGCAAAGGTGTCCAATGTGTAATTATTTGTTAGGATTTAGAGTATTCATTAGTTATTCCACCCCCCCCCCCCCACCGGATTTTTGGAGAAGAAATTTTTATTTTACCCTTTCCACATGTATCCGCCACTGATTGAATGAAATATCTGCCAAACATACATCTCTCCATTGTAAGGCGTTGTTAAGAGAGTAATAATTCCATGGTGAATCTTATCTTTCTAGTGATCTTTGCAATCATCCCAGTCGGGGGTATATTGTTGCAGAAAATATTGAAGGGACTTTTATTGAGTTTATCCTTATGGCACACCATGTACCTCAGTTTGGGAGTTGGTTACTTTCCCTGTGACCTTAATTTCATTCAGATGGAAGGTGAAAGGTCAGTTTGAAGAAGCTCCATTCATACCCGAGGTTCTAAGGGGGTCATAACATAACGGTCTGAGACACCTGTTCCCTACGACAATCTGCTACAATTAGACATCTGTCTAATCTGTGACTGTGACTCAACGACACAATATTTGACCATTTGATCGTTAACTTGGTTTTACAGGTATCTTTTTAAAACTGTTATGGGATCAGATTAAGAAATAGTTTTTAGTTTATCTCAATACATTAACATATTTTAAATTAATTTTACATGCCAACAGTTTATTAATTAATTGCCATTAAGTTGATAAATATTTGATTTTATTCTGAACTTTCAATGGTTATGAACTTTACATTAACTTCATATTTATTTGATAGTACTTAATTTTCAGAGGGATACGTGATGGAGTTTCCATAATTGGGGTTAGGGGTGTGGCACCCAATGTCTTCCCTCAAGGGTAGCTTGTGGTGGGCATAAAAATGATGTAATTCATTCATCCCAAAAATTATCTGATTGTCTTATTCCTCAGAGTATTAAAGTCATTTTTCAACTTAGAACCTCACAATTCAAATCATAAAATATAGCTTAATTTATTTTGTAACATTTCAATTACCAACACAAATGTCATTAATATCAAGTCTTAAAGGATCTGGATTTAAACCTATATTTTCTGCATCCCCTGAAACAAGACATTGAAGAAAGGAATTGTTAAATGAATAAATAAAAAAAGATATAACTTTATTAATGAAAAACTAATATTTACAAGTGTAACAATTGGATAAATTATTTACAGTAACTGGCGCTACGCCATACTAGGGGATACGTCAAGACATATATGAGACAACAACTTAAAGCTGATAAACAGTATTTTCAAAACAAACGTTTTACATTTGCGAGGCCAATTTATAGTAATACTAAATAATTCTATAAAAACTGATATATAGCTCAATATTAAAGCTCAATTGTTAACAATAACAGACAACAAAAACAACAATAAATAAATTAATAACAAAATAAAACCAAATATCCAACAACATTTTATTTATTTAATATACAATACTAAATGACATAATTATACAAATTGTGAATACCTTGTTTCAATAAATAAGTTACACATACATTCACATGCTCTCAAATAAATAACATTCACTACAAACACACAAACTCTAGCGATTGAGTTAGTAACCTTGGTTAGCCTCAACCCATGTGCGTGGCTGTGTAAGACATAAACTGTCAAACTATATAAATCTGTGTATATAATATAAAAAAATGTGAAGATTGTTGCAAATGTTTCTGTAAATAAAATACACTGTATTGAAAAAATGTTATAGTGGTGGTTTCACCCATGATGATGCATTACTGTACAATTGGGTAACTTATGATGTATTTTTTACTATTGAACTAAAAAATAAGTCTGAAACATGAAACTAAATTATTTTATACTTTTAGTGTTTACAGTCAGTAGCTCTCTCTAAGACATGTACATATCCTTAGCATGAGCTTGTTGGATTAAATAAAAAACCAAAATTAAAAAAAAAATACATTAGTTCCACAACAGGAAAAGTTTAAATCTATGTAGCGCAAAATAATTGTAATTACTTTTACTTACTTTTTTTTACTTTTACTCAGTAATGCTTGAAATTCTATGTGTTCTTATTTTGAGACTTAAAAGGCAGTTTATACAAACTAAATATAATTATTTATTTTTTTAAATTTCCTATCTAAAAATATTTAAAAGTTAATTTAGTTCTAAAAGTGTAATAATCTTGCATACATACCTGTTTTGTATTGAGAGTTAACTCTAAATCAAAATTAACAAGTGGCTGGTAAAACATATTCTAACACAGGGACGCGCACAGGTTTAGAAAGCATAAACCTAAATATAAATATACCCGATAACACTTATATTGTAAATTATTCAATAAATAAATATATACACTTATACAAGTACACAAATCCTTAAGTTCTAATTGAGGGAAAATTGAGCATTTTCAGAACAAACTAGTTGTCTAGAGTTTGAACACAATTCTAACCTGCAAATCTCACCCAACAGTAAGGGTGGTAACAATCAACTTAATAAGCTCCCAAACTACATCACTGCATAGAAAACTCTGCAATCTGGCTATAATCTGAATATTATTTGACACATAAACAACAACAAATAAGTATGTGGGACCATCACAAAGTAAATATACATCGACATAAAGGATGTTTGATTATATTTTAAGCGTATTTAAAAAGAAAACAGGAAAGTGAAGTTTTTCTTAAGCGTAAAAATAATGTACACTGTAACTAAAAAACCCCTCTATTTTTGCATTTGTACTGAGAAGTGTGTAACTATTTTATATACAGGCGGTTTTAAACAGGCCTTACTCCTACCGTATCTACAATTAATCAAATTGCGTGCTTTGGCAGATGGCTACTCCTAATATAAAATTCAGTCTGAAATTTGCATGAATTTGATTTTAGTTATGTAGAAAAATCATGACATTCCAGATAATTCTAATAATTTTTTAACATGTTATAGTTTCCTACGAGTACTGATGTCTACGAGAAAAAACAGCTCTTAGACTTTTTTGGCGGATGAGGTTGAGGGGCAGGATAAATGGGAGATACGACGTTCTTTAAACTCTTACTGGGTCTGAGACGAACACAGAGGAAAGCAGATAAGAGACAAGACGTGATGAGGATGCCTAGAAGGACAATGAGTGTGGCAGCAAACCCTGGAGTAGTCATGCAGATCATGCTGTTAGCGTCATCTCTAGCAGGGAACACCATGGTGGGGGCGGAACTGTTGGAGTGGTCATCCAGAGAGAAGGTGAGGTCACCCGTGGACACAACACGGATGATCCTGTTGACTCCTACCTCCTCGGAGGAAGTGTCCCTGCGGTGCCTCCTGACTCTGCGCTCGTCCCTCGGCTTTCCTTGGAGGTACGCCTCCAGGGGCAGGGAAGGCGGAGGTGGCGGCCCGTAGGCTGTCTCCACTGGCGTGTGTTGCACATCAATCAAGCCGCTGTGCAGGATGGAGTTGGGGTCAGAACACTGGTCTGGACACTGATACCTGCAGATCTGAATGGTGCATTGAAAGTGAACTTCCATCGAGTCAGGGAACTTGAATGCTTGGAAATGTGCGTAAGAAAGTACTGAAGCACTTGCTCCAAAGTTTTTGATCTTAGTGAATCTAGACATTAGCTTAGGCCTGGTGACACATCCCTTTTGATCGACAAGTTGAATTGGTGCTCTTTTGCCATCGTGAGCCATGCAGTTCCTTACCAACATGTCGAACTTGGAATCGTCGTCTTTGATGGCCAGCACCATCGTCATGGTTTGCCCAATCTTTACTAGTCCAGACACCTCTGATGCCCACGGTCCTTTCCCAACTTGTATCTGCATCCAGCATCCTACGTTGTCTCCTGCAAAGTCCGCCCTGACTACATCTAGCATGTCCACAGGGAAAGGTCTGAATGTTACGCTCTTTTCGTACTGGTCGTGCCATGTGCACCTTAACTTTCTAGCCTGGTCCCAAACCTCCTGTACCTGGGGGTCGTACTGGATCACGATGATATTCTCAAAGTATGTCCCTGAACCTGAGTCTGCGCCGTAGCCGTACAGCCCGTTCTCCGTATTTCCAGCTGTCCCGCACGCGTGAATACTAATCTCAAAGTTAGCTGATGTTCTTCCCAGCCCAGCAGGGAGATGAACACAGTTGACGTTGCTGTAGTGACCTTTGCTGAAGACTATTCCGTAAAAGGGTTTGTCAAACCCAATGTAAACCTTCATCAAATTCTTCTCACACTTGACATCAAGTGATACGATCTTGGGCATATCTGGAGTAGACGAGGGCCAAGGATCTCCTCCGTAGAGTTTATCCATTGCCTCTTGCGGAGGTTTATTGCCAGCTCCTGGTGGTGGCGGGGGCGGAGGGCCGTGGTACGCTCCATGGTCAAACACAGGAGGTTTCCCTAGATGGTTTCCAAAGGGCTTGTGTGAAGGTCCAGGTCCGTTTCTAACAGGGTGCCTGGAGGATGTTCCCGTGTAGGCCAGCTTCTGTGAGGACCCTGAGGCATCTTGGTCTTTGGCTGTCTCTAGCGCTATCTGGTCCGAGCCCTCCGCATCATCTCTGACCGCGTGTTTGGCGTCTGACTGCTCTCCTGCTACTGCCTCCACTACCTCCACGTCCTCTCCTACCTGCAACACACAACTCACATAAATATAAAATAAGCTAATGCACATTCAAGATCCCATTGGATTTTCCTCTTTTCTTTAATTTCTTGAAGGGCCCGCCAAAGAAGCTGAATTCTTAGTTAATGATAACCAAATTTGTATAACTGACAAGACGAATCATTTTGTGGGACAGCTTTTTGTACAATACTGTTAGTCACTTAAAGTGAAAACTCAGTACATATACAGGATTTCACTGAACAAGTAAACTAGACATACATTTTTGAATTATACTGTTTTTATAAAATCGTACGAGTAAAAAATTTCAAAACGTTCGGTCGATATTTGTTCATTTTCTGGGGTTTAATCGCTATTCATAATTTTTCAAAAATAATTTTCAACCCTGTAAATGACTGATTTATTAAGTTAATATTGATTTAGAAATTTTTGCTATTATATACTTTCTTATTAATAATCTCTGTTTTAAAATAATATTTTAGAAAGTTTTCAAATCTGTAAATTACCCTATTTTGATTTCACTCAATATTAAAAATTAAAAATATTAAATTTTAAATGGGATTTTTTCACTTATGTAATCACATTCAACCCACGACGGAAACGTTAACCCAATAAAAAAAATTATCAAGGAATCAAAATCTCAAATAGCGTGTCTATGCTTTGATGAAATTGAAATAACTCAGAACAATTAGATATGATTATAAAGGGCTTTTTACCAACTTAGACCTAGGAACTTAAAAACAATCGCGGGATGATTAGCCTCTGAGTTTATTTGAGCTAAATTTTCAGTAACATTACAGGGTGTTCAAAAAAGTGGGGACAAAATTTACTTGGTAATTCCTTAGATCAAAATAAGCAATAGTATATTTCATTACTATGACCGAAAGTGTCATTTTTTGGCGCACGCTCAAGTTTTTGTGAGGCCTCACCTCACACAGGTAAACCCAATTTCACGTGCAAGGCGAAGCCGATGAACGGGAATAATGGAGCAAGTGCCGGATAATAACTTTTGGCACGAGTTATAAGCGATATTTTTTATCACGACGCAAAAATACACAAACACAGAATAACAGACCTCAGTATTATTATTGAATAGTCATTGAATTAATTGAATAGTCATTTATTCAGTCTTTGAACAATACATTATTGTAATTGACATCGTCATTATTATTTTAAAAAGATATAAGATGCAATACTTATATAATTAATAAAATTTGGAATGAAAAAATCCAAAATATAGGCTGCCCTTAGCTTAACATTTAACAGGTTTAAAATAATTTAAAAATATTCAAACTTAACAAACTTAAATTATGAATAACAGTGGGTCTTTCTTAAAAAAGGCTAATGGTTTTCACAGGTGTAACAATGAACATAGAGGGACAAAATTTCTTATCATTACATCACAGATGGAATATGGTAAAAAAAAAACATCAAAACTTAACATCACTTAACATGAAACATATGAAAATTAATTATAGTACTAGTGTACATGTTGCTCGAAATCGAGCAATTGCAAAGAAGTACAGGAGTTATTTATAAACAAATAACTTGTTTAAAAACCAATTGTCATTTAACTAACAGTCATAATTTCCGATTATTTTAAAAGAGTCGACTAAAAGATTATTAACTAATGGAAATACTCACAATTTACATTAACAGTCCTATTCCAGTCTAATGAGTTAATTTTTAACAATCGAACTGCCCATGGACGGGAAAAAGTAAGCTTACAAATTAAGTCAACGTAAAAAGGCTGTCAGCTTTTATAAAGTACCGAACTTAAGTTATTTAGCCAATTTGTAGACAATAAGGTGTAGGCTACTTTAAACTCTACAGGACAGAGTTAGGCATGGTGTCATTTATCATATAGCTTACTCATATGCCAAATCCATAAAATGAAATTCAATAACTAATAACTTATATCATTAAACACAAACCAAGAACCAAACCCAAAACTATACACATTTTTAATACAACATACATAAATTATATATACATTGACCTTTTACAATTAACATATGTTCTTCTTCTCACTATTAATCTTTGCTTCGCAACGGGAAAAATCTGTTTTATAATCATTGAAATAGATCTATAATAAATAATCTATCGTAAAGTTTATGATTAAATAAACCTACCACATAGCTGTTTTATTTTTTTGAATCAGCTGTCCGAAATTGTTTAATAGGCATTTGACAGTTTTGGTTGTTTACATTTAAATGTCAAAGCAAATGTAAACATTGTGAATTTTCTCATGCTTCCATGGAGACCAATTATTAATATTCAATTTCTGACAACAGCTGGAGTTTCAAAACAATGTTTGTTTCCCATGTTAATCTTATGGAGAAATACGAAACTTTAAAGGGCCTCAGGGCTTCACTCTCTAATTATTTACCTAAAAAGAAAGTTTCCTGCACAACTTCACGTTACGCTCTTTCCAATGACACCAAAAATATGTCAATCGGTTCAGTAGTTTCGGAGGAGTAATTGTCACAAAAATCTTGCTTGCGTATTAAATAAGTACTAGTGGTCGTCCTGTGGTCGAAACTCGACCAAAAATAATTAATGTACAGACTTCTCTATTTTCTCCCCACACTGTAAAAAAAACATGTGATTGGAATTTCTTCCATTTGTTTTGATTTTCTGTTTACATTTTGTTGTTATTTCGTCACCATCATGGCAACCCATATGGTCCATGTTAATTTTTTGAAGTTTTCAAAATCATTTTTTGTTCTTATTTGTTAGCCTATTTTAATTTTTAAAAGCATTCTGCACATCTACAGGAAAATATATTTCCAACAGTATGTGTAGATTTTCCCTGCGATGCACACGAGCTAAGAAAAAAGGTTTTAAAGAAACATGCTTGCCTATTAATATATAGATAGATAGATTACAAAATCCTATGGTAAAATCATAGCCTAACTTAAAAACATTTAAATGGAACAGTTGGCAAACAATGAGATCACATTCGAAAAATGTCTCAATGTTGTAAAATAGGTGAAATGAAATTATATTCTTGAAGTTGGCAGCACTGAAATAACTGTTTCCTTGGTTACAAACTTGTTACTTTGAAAGGAAGACCCCAGCACATTATTTTGGCTGCAACCCCATATTCCATCATTTTGGGAATTTATTGAGTAAAGATATGAACTTATATAGTATTGAAAAAAAATTAGTGTGTTGATTATAGTTAGTTTTAGAATGCTATATAAATTTTTTCAGGAGAATATTTCAAAACATAACGTCTCTAGGATCAAAATAAATCATGAGTTCATATGGAATCATTGGGAATCTATGGCCAAGATTGAAGCAGGATTTTCATTGGTTTGAACTATCACAAAGTATACAAATTTCACGCAAATAAATACAAAATATAAGTTCTGCTTATTTATTTGTGTGTAAATATATTCTCAAAGAAATACACATAAAAATTTAACTTATTTGGCAATTTACTCTGAGTGTTACATGTAAATTTCTATTGAAATTTACCTAGAAATTTGTCTTTAACCAACTAAATATACTACAAATAATAAATAAAATCCCATTATGTAATATTCATTTTTATATATTGATATTTTAATGCGTTTATTCTAAATATAAACAATTTTTAGTATCTTATCAATACGGTTGTTTCAGTGTTCCTCCATGTTGTAGATTCTCAATGGCTCCGTGGACTCATGATTCTAACTTTTTATAAAAAAAAAAATTGTTCCAAACTTGATGTATTTTGCATATTTACAATGTAAATAGACAGAAAACCCACAGAAAACAAAATTATTGCTATTTCTATGCTTGGGAATGAAAGGGTTAAAATGCTACATTAGCCGGGCAACCCATGTATAAAAAATTGCTGTTTTGCTGCAGTATGACGAAAAAAGTTTTTGTACACATGTTCTATCTCGTTTCGTTTAGTGCCTTTCTGAATGTATGTGTTTTTCAATTACCAAAAATAAAATTATCTTTCTGTTTAGGCCTACTATTGTTGTGCAAAATATAATAAAAAAACTTACGAACCGTTTCAAAATTGCGACTATTTTAAATATTTGAAGCCAAACTCATCAAAGACGTTATAAAAAATACATGATAAATTAAATTTAGATCATCTTATGCAGACTTAAATTATATTTCACTAGCAACAAAGTCCGTTGGTTGCAGTTAAATACAACGGTCTCTAGGAAAATAACGGTTATAAAATTCGCATACACCAGTTTACTCACTAATAATTTTGCTAAAGATTAAACACACAACTTTAGAAACACACATGACATAAGGAACACACTTTAAGCACATATTCAAATTGTGAACAACAACATGAAAAAGAAAGCAAAATCAATGAAACAACAATGAACAACAATCAGCTGTTATAGTAGTTTAGGCAACAATTTATTGCGTAAATTACTCGTGTTAATGACACGCGAGTAGAAAATTTCAGAAAAATTCTACGGGTGTAGTTAACACTATTAGGTACGCGAGCTGTGTACACTACTTTACCTACGACAGTGTTAATTACTAAAAATAAAAAAAAATCACTACTTAAACTTCTAAGAGAGATTATGTTTTAATTTATAACCTCTCATTGCTACTGACAGTGATGCAACGAAACATTGTACCAAACACTAATTGCACCACCCAACCAACAATTAAATTGGCCTGAACAGCTGATTAGTTGAAGTTCGAATCATTACAATTTTACTTCTTCTCTCTCAATCCTTGAACCTCATTGGTCCGTTACCCTTGTTGTTAGTAAAAACTATGCTGTTATTAGAATAAGCAATGCTGTTACGAGAAACTTTTCAATTCTAAGAATTGAACTGAAATGGATTCTTTAAACACGGTCGTAGGTAAAATTATTAACACATGTTTCATATGATCAGATGATGCATACCAGCAAACACATTAGTGACATATAAATAAAAAAAATCAAACTTTCATAAATAGTTTTTTATTATATGTATAAAGATTTCCATTGACCTATTAATTAATCAAATTGGCCCAGTACCAGCTGTAGATTACGC